TTTAGTTCACCTCTTTTTATTGCATGAACCCAGGGCCCATTGAGCTGCTTGCGGTCCTGAGCGCTTGCATCGTTGGCTTATGTCACACAACACCCCTGTCTGTGGTTGGTGTTTTTAATACTGTCATGTGCCACCATCCTGTTTATGAAGAACAGAGCCGTTGCACTGACACGCAAGCTACTTGTGATGGAGGACAAATATCTTGTGTATCATGCAGGCATCACTTACAATTCTCTCCCCTCTGATAAAAAAATATTGCCATTTTCGAAATGTGACACTTCACTTGTATTAAAACGTATGGAAGTGATTAGTTGTAGTTTCATGTTTAGTTTAACATAACGTCCGTAATGCACATTTCATCTACAACAATCACCGAGGACCCACAGACAAGCTGCAAGTTAGCTGGCAGGTGGTGAGCCGCAGCTACCAATAATTGCCCAAGCTCAGCGGTCCTCTATACATTCAGATATTTTAAACCAATTAATGAGTGTATACATGTTGATGAGTGTATACATGTTGGGAGGCAACCTGGAGCACCCCGAGGAACAGATGAAGACAGATGGTGATTAATCCACACTTTTTGTACTGCCGATTCCTGGCAAGCCAGGGTATGTCACCTCCTCGCGCGCCCATAGGAATTGAGTTGGAACAGATGGAAATTAGTCCATACTTGCTGTACCACCTTATGCTGGAAAGCCAGGGTATGGGACCTCCTCGACGTCGCAACGTGTGTGATCCACGAACACTTAGCGAACTCCAAAAGTTCTGGATTATAGAGGCCACGTGCACCGCCATCACAGCCCCTCTCACTGGACATGTGATTAAAAGAGCTTTATAGCTCATCGGATTCCTCCAATATAAGTAATCTGTATCATGGGACCTCCCTTGCCTGTAAGCTGATTGGACCAATCAGTTTAAAAGACAATACATATAATACCAGATAATTTTTTGTTTGCATGTTCACCACAAGTATATGTGGTTAATGTAGACATGATTCTTTGTAAAAGGTTTCAGTTTTATGTTTTAACATCGTAACACCTATTCTTGGTTCTTTCGGTAAAGTCACGTAGAAGGGAAACAGAGAAAATCAGACTTATACGCACCGAACTAGATCAGTTAGACAAGACACTCTACAAATCACACTTATCATTGACGGCAACAATGTCCACATCGGATTGGGAACATGTAGACAATATGACTGCCTCTTCAGCTGCCACTGTCGACCAAATTTAAGAACCTGATTCCAAATTTAACCTCCTCTCCAACAAAAGACCGGACCCACACACCAAAAAGCTAGACGTTAACAAAGTCGTAATTAATCGCAGTAATAGTTCTATTTCCGATGGTCTGAAATCCGTTTTAGCTAAAGGGCTAAACTTTGCAGTCACACCTAAACACATACCAGTTAATTATATCATTGCCCAAGTAGACGTGGCTCTCAAGGGCCTGGGTCACATCGCTGCAGACGTAGCAAGATCTGAAATAGCTGCAACCCTCAAAAACGCTAAGATGCTAGCTAGTAACCTCAGCAAAGATAAGCGTTTTGAATTATATAAATTAAAAAAGAGGGATGACATTATCCCCTCAGCCGACAAGGGCAATGCCACTGTCATCATGGATAAAATAGAATATAACAACAAAATTCAAGAATTACTCAACGATGGCAGCCATACAAAAATAAAAAGAGATCCCACCAACAGCCTCGTCACACAAACCAACAAAATAATTTCTAATTCAACCGCATTAATTGATCAATCTAAACAGTTTTCGTTGAAACCTTCTGCTGCCAGGCCACCAAGATTATACGGCTTACCAAAAATACATAAAGTAGATACACCCCTTCGTCCCATCGTCTCTACTATCAACTCCCCCACCTACAAACTGGCTCGTTTTCTGTCTGAAATCCTGCGTCCTTTCACTGGAAAAACCACCTCTGCGGTACAAAATTCTACTCACCTGGTATCGACAATCAAGGGTATTTCCCTGTCCCCAGACGACCTGCTTGTCAGTTTTGATGTAGTTTCCTTATTCACCAAAGTTCCTGTACCTGACACCATCGCAATCATTGAAGACTTGGTTCATCAAGGACTAAACACTGAGGTACCCCCCCTGGTGAGACACTGTATAACCAATACATACTTCACTTGGAATGGAACTTTCTACAAACAAACTGAGGGCACCCCAATGGGCCCCCCCTATCTCCGGTTATAGCTAACATTTTCATGGAGAAATTTGAGACAGACGCCATCCAGACTGCCACTCTGCGCCCAACCTTATGGAAGAGGTACGTGGATAACACTTTTGTCATCTGGCCACATGGCCGGCCTGCTCTAGACCAATTCCTCGACCACATCAATTCCATACACCCAGCCATCAGATTTAGCATGGAAGTCGAAAAAGATGGCAAGCTACCTTTTTTGGATGTCTTCATAAAAAAAGAGACCTGATGGTTCAATGAGCCACTCTGTCTACAGGAAAGCTACCCATACGGACGCTTACCTGAAACCGGATTCCCACCACCATCCATCCCAGAAGCATTCCCTCATCAAGACTCAGCACCATAGAGCCCAATGCATATCCGACCAGGAACACATAGCCAGTGAACTCAAGCACGTACACCAAGCTCTTAAGGCTAATGGTTACTCCGACTATACAATCTGCAAAGCTATCACTCAAACCATGAAGAAGGACCCTCTTGAGGAGCCTTTCAAAACCATCACTTTACCCTACATTGCGGGGATCACAAAAAAGATCTCCAAAATCTTGAATAAACACAAGATCCAGGTCCGTTTCAACACATTACATAAAATCCGTGATCTGGTTCCGTCTGTAAAATATGTGATTCCGGACATACAGTACCCTGGTGTCTACAAACTAAGTTGCCTCTGTGGTAGTAGTTACATTGGAGAAACCAAACGCCATGTCTCGGACCGCATTCGTGAACACAAAGCAGACCTTAAACACGGTAGGACCAACACCTCGGCCGTGGCAGATCGCTGTTATAATTCAGTAGGCTCACATGACATTGACTTTTCCAAGACAGAGGTTCTTTGCAAGCCATCTGGCTACCATGAGAGATTCATTCATGAGGCTATGCACATATACAAGCACAGAGACAATTTCAACCGAGAAGATGGATTCTGGCTTAGCAATTATTGGAAAGATTTGATAAACCATTTCGGGTCTTAATTGATTGTTCACGCTTACGGTGGCTTTCAGACCGCATCCATTATTTTCGTCTCCCCCCTTCTCTTTTCCGAACATAGATGGACTCGTCCATCTGAATAACTGCGAAATCGCTCTCCGTGGTGCTAACGTTAAAAAAACCCGCCACTTTTTTCAAATGTTCTTGCTGTGGTTTTCACGCCTGATGATGATTGCTTGTGTTGCAGTCGAAACGTCGTGAGAATTTTATTGTTTTATATTTTTATTATTTTATTGTTTCCCTTCTACGTGGCTTTACCGAAAGAACCAAGAATATGAATCACTGCAGTCACGAAAGCTTTAAATCAAAATCGTAACACTTGATTTTATTGCCAAAAAAGGGTAAAACCTATTCTCATGTTCTTATGAAAGTATTCTGATTAATTGGAGTGCGATGACACACCTAACCCTGACTTTAGTTTTTTTTTAATTTACAAAGTTTGAAAGTGGGTGTTTTACAGCTCGAGTGATAATTTGCTCCCGCTGTTGCCTGTCAACCCAGTCGCCCTTAACAGAGCCGCGTAACTCAATTTGGCTTTAACTTGGGGCAATAAACTTTTGACTTCTGGCACAGCCTAGGTGCGTATGTGAGATAAGAGTATATATGTCTACGAGATAACCTGTGCTTTGTTTGCTTATTACACAGAGGCTGGAGTGCTTTTCGCACACGTTATCGTCCGTTGTTTAAACACTTAAGATAACCAGCGTCGTACACCGAATTACGTCTTCTTATAATGAATACAGTAAAACCTTGGATTGCGAGTAACTTGGTCTGCGAGTGTTTTGCAAGACGAGCAATATTTTAAAATAAATATTAATTTTATAAACGAGCGAGGGTCTTGCAATACTAGTAAGTACGTGTACACGCTTTGTTTGCCGAGTGTCACGTGATCACAACTGATATACGTTGTGCTTTGATATACGAGTGCTTTGGATTACAAACACGTTTCCGTAACGAATTATGCTCGCAAATCCAAGGTTTTACTGTATTTTATTCAAATTCATCAGCTCGCATTACGAATCGTTCGAATAGGCGAGTCGTCACCGCACAAAGCGAACTCGCATACATGTCAACCCCTTGTCAGTGCCGACCTTATTGGTCACCCTTACACATCTCAGCGTTCATCCTACAAAGTCCCATCACAAGGGAGAAACACAAATAGACAATCATGTTCTTTTTGTCCGTATTGAAACGGCTGTACGCACGCAGTATGGACCTGAAAACTCAATTTCCTTGTACAACCCATACGGGGTAAAACCGTATGGGTTGACAGCTCTGAGTAACTTGAGTTCGTTTACCTTACAATACAAGAAGAGCCTTATACAAACGTGAGCGACCGGGGCTAACTTGTGTTAAAGACATGTTTAGAAGCTTAAAGCAATCATTGCAGTAGTACAGTACAAATGCAGTTGTACAGTACAAGAGGGTGGGGGGGGTGAACCGCAAGAAACCTGCACGTGGCCATTACCCCCCCCCGCCGCCTACGTCAAAGGCGACCCGGCCGGCGGAGGTGACGTCACCACGCACGTCAAACACCGGCTAGGCCGACGTCACCGGGGCAACGGCTTCGAACGCCTGTCAGCCAACGCGCGAATGACGTCACCGCGCACGGTGGGGGGGGGCGTGTTGACGTCACCGAGCACGATGGTGGTGGGGGGGGGGGCGTGCTGACGTCGCTGCGTCCCTCGCCCGCTCGCCCTTGTCGAGGCGAGCGTCGTTATAGCGTGAGAGAGGGGGGGGGGTGACGAAACGACCCCGCCCCCACACCCCCCGCCCCGCCCCCCACACTCCCCACCCCCCCACCCCCTCCCCGCCGCGCTCGCGCCGATGGCGGCTCCCGTCGGTCGTTTCGTCTCGCTGAGGTGACGCTGCCCTCCGTAAGATCTCCTCAAAATCTTCGGGCCAAAAAAACAAAACACCCCCGCGCGCGGGGAAGCGATGACTCGCCTGCGAGGTAGGCTTGCGAGCTCGGACACACCCGCCGCGCGTAGAGAGACAGGGAAAAAACAAAGAACGGTGGTGTGAGGGTTAGCGCGTTCGAGGGGCCGAGTTTGAGGGCCCCTCGACCGCCAAGGTGCCGTCGCCGTCGTCGTCGCCGCCGCTGCTGCTGCTTCTTCTCCGAACCGTGGTCGGGAATCGAACCCGGCTTTTATGTGTTTAAGCGCTATTGCGGCTCCCAGCAACAATTAAAAGGACGAGAGCTCGTCCTTTTAATTGTACGGCCCCGTTAATGGGGTGCTTGGGTGGAAGGCCTCCCCTCCCCACCACCTCCTCGGCGTCGTCGTCGTTCGGAAAATGGGGGGGGGTGGTGTGGGTTTTGTTTTGTCCATACTTCACCACGCCAGCAGCAGCAGCGGTGGTCAGTGCGGATTGGTGAAGGGAGAGAAAGGCGCCCGGACCGGTTCAGGTATCACTCGCCACTGCCGCTAAGCCCCCCTTGACCGGGAATCGAACTCGTGTGTGGAGGCGAACAACTGCGCCACCGTCGCTCCACGCCAACGTTGACCGTGTTAGACGGGGCAGCAGTCGGCCCCCTTTTGTTACTCCACTGCTGGATGATGTCCTCCCCCGCGCCGCGTCTTTCGTTTGACCATACCTCACCACGCCGGGCGATGTTGTCAGTAGGAGGAGGGAGGGCGCTCATTGTTGTACACCGCAACACACTGGGTTCGTGTTTCAATCGCCTATTGCACGGCCATTATCTTGTGCCTCTCAATGGCCATAACAACAAGTTGGGTGACGACTCGGCGTACGCGTGAACGGCTATCATTTTGTCAAATCAATTGCCGTGTGCGTGTCGTGTAGGTCATTTTACCATACTTCACAATGTTGGTGGTGTTTTCTTGAATGTGGGATGTTGCCGTACACACGATCCGAATGGGATCCACACGTCGCAACCTTTGTTGACGTTTAAAGCTATCTCTGTATCCGCCTTTTCAAGACGTACGCGGTTGATCTCATCAAATCTCAGCAGCTAATCGGGGATGATATTGGATAATAACAGTGTCCAGGATGGGCGGTCAGCATGCATGAAAACAGGCGTTATAGGTTGCTGCGACGCTCAGTCGTGAGCAGCAGAGGGCAGTGTGATAAAAAAATATATATTAATATACGGTACTACGTGGCCACTTGTATTCTGCCCACTTGCAACAACCCATACTGACCTGTATGGTGAAATAAAACTATATGACCCGCACGGCGTTGGCTTGCCCGTATCCAGCCAGGAGCGGATTGACGAATGGCTGTAACATGTACACAAGGTGATCAAAGTCGTTGTTGTTACAGGGCTGTGTCAAAATCTCATCTGTTTGAAGCAACTTGCTCCGCGGGATTTTGGGTTTTTTTTTGTGGGGGGTTGTGGAAAGGCTTTGATGAGATTCTAGAATAAAATGTGCTGCTCACAACCAAACGAGTTGGATGGACCCAATCGCCCCCTCTCGTTTGTAACCCTTGTTATTGTTATCTTATCGGGTCATCTACGAGGACTTTATAACTACGTAGAGTTTCTGCATTTAAAAAAAAAATATATGATATGAACATATGCTCCATTTTGTTATTTGACTGAGGGTCGTTGAGGATTATTTGACGATACTTGACGCTGGTTAATGCCGATTCGTAAATGTGGGAGCATAGATATTGCAGCATAATACTGTACAATAGAGCAAAGCATTCTGCTGCACTTCACTCTGCTGACAACATAGCCTCCGCAGGAGTCTACAACACCTGTCAACAATCCAAGCATTACCAAGGTTGAATTTTGCTTAGCTTCTCAGGTTTGTTGAAATCAGGCATTGCAGGTGGTTTTTGGCATTTGCTAACAATGTTAGTTACTTGAAGGGTGGAGCAGAGGTGAGCACATGGCATTATTAAACGTGATGACTTGGGTTCTATTCCCAGCCATGACTAACAGGGGCGAGTGATAACTGAACCAATCCTGGGAGCCCCTTCACCAACCTACACGAACCAGAGGAGTGAAGCATGGTCAAGCAGTGATCATGACTGATGCTGTAGAGAAGCTTTCTTCTAGAAATATTGAAAGTCTTACTTGAGTCTTAAAGACCATTCAAGAGAGTCCTTTTGCTTTCATATGTTTGGCCTATTTATATAAAGTAGTGTTTTGCAGGTGATGGTAAATCTAGAGTACCAGGCGAAAACCAACACAAAGGGATAACACTCAAAGGTCCACCACAAAGATGCGTTCATGACCCCACTAGGTCTTTATGTTTTGATAGTTTTGCAATAACACAGTCACAATGTCCTCTTCTTAATCTTGATGTACTTGGGTCCTTGACAGCCACTGCATTGTAGATGTGCTTTGGAAATTGACAAATAATTTGTCGAGGTTATAAAAGATTCAGCCTCGAAAAAAAGCTACAGTGACGTTGAGTCTTCAGTAAACACAAATGATCAAGCAATAAAAAACAGGTATATTTTATATTTATGTAGACTCGTTTTATTTGCCGATTATCAGTTCACCCAGAGTGCACCAGATCTCATCATATTTTCGAAATTCGGCAGTGTTGATGCAGGATAGTGCTTGGATGGGCTATTGGTCATGCATAACAAGCATTATAGGCTATGGTGCTACTTTGTAAAGAGCCTAGAGCAGTATAGTTAATTTTTTTACTTCCACCAACCCACATTATCAACTAATCCTCATAACCCGCATAATGTAGGGAAATCCTTATCAAGCAGTGCGTTTACAAAGGGATGTATAGTATAGGTACATATTTGTGTATTTAATTATCACCTTCCAGGCAAACAAAATAGCTGCACGAATCCGAAATAGTTTAATGAAATGGCTGGGTGTATACAAAAATCTGTACAATCAATCCACATTGCTTAAAAATACTTACCCAAGCCAAATTGCCACTTGTGCTGAGCTGGCTCACCGCTTTTGGCCAAACTGTCGCCAAGTATTACTTTGTAATAAGGACACATTGGTATGCACAGCGAGGTGTACTGGGGACATAAAGGGATACGTGCATTGTTAGGGCAGCTGTACAGTAATCACAGGTGATTAGTACCTTCCTACTTCATTAGGGTTTACCTTCATGGCCTTCCTGCCATGAATCTCAATGCCCCTGTTTCGTAGTGACAAATTGGCATGTTCTGTTTACGTGACAACCCTTATTAGTTGGCTGTGTCGGGTGGTGGTGGGTTTTAACGACACGTATATTTACGCGATCTAATCCAAAAAAAACTCTATTATGGATGATATTGGTCGCGAAAGCCTACGTGTTAAACTCACTAAACTCGGTTGAGAAGCTCTGATATTTTTCTTTCTGCTGTTACGGAAAATCCAGTCCACCTGTATTGGGCTCCCCGTTACCCCAGCGAAATGGCTGATCTTTTTTTCTTCCTTGGGCATTAGCTGGATTGACAGTTTGAATAGGAGAGCACATAAAATGTTGAGTTCTGCAGTGCTATTTTTGAGCACGCCACGATTTCATGACCATGGCTAACAATAGTCTCCCACTGGTTCTGCAGTTGGCAGTTGCAGTGCCAAAGAACGTTCACCAGAGAGAGAGCGGAAATTTTCTGCGTGCACTTTTTCCTCATTACGTTGTTTTGAGTAGCCAGGTGTGTAAATGTATCCACACGTGCATGCTAATCCAGAGCACAGTATGGTCCCGCGGCCAAAAGGGATGATTACACTGGAAAATCTCGCTCCCTTGTGTACACAGCTCACAAACCTGCCTGTGCCCCCTGCCAGGACCAATTTTCAAATACTGTATAAAATTACCTCTTGAATTATACGACTTGTGCATTGTGTGATTATTTCACTCGCTCATATTAGTTGCTGCACTGCATACGCATGTACATATTTACGTGCAGAATTTGTTTTTCGTGTAATATACTAATGTAAAATAACGCGTACTACTTTTAGCCGCTTAGCACACGAATTAAAGTTAATTAAATACAACTAGTTGTTTCGCTATGCACTTAAGGTTAGAGCGAAACGTTTAATGCTTGTCAGCATTTAAAATGCAGAAAATAACCCTCATCACATGGCCTTTCTAGCGTGCAACTCACCGACAAACAACAATTCTCCACAATGTACAATAAGTGGCTATAGTTAAGGATTAAATGCTATTACAGGAATTACCCTGATTCGTAAAAAAAAAAAGTCACAAGATGTGCCTTTGAAAGTAAAAATGCATGAGGGTAGCCAGTGGCTTAGACAACAAGCAATTAATTAATCAGGGCCGTGTATTCTGATAGTCTTGTTTGCTCACGCAATGACCAATGCCTTATTGCTTGTGCCCTCCTGTTTTATACACAATTTCCAAATATTCCCCCCCCCCCCAAAAGCTGACACCCAAAATAAACAAAGCCATTGGAATTAGCTTTGCCTGGAAGGGTAATGTATCAGCAAATATGATATTTGACCTTTGGCAATTTTGTGCAGACGCATTGAAACATTGCAAACAGTTGAAGGGGAGGTGCCTGCTCATGGAACCCTGTTTCTGGAAATGTCAAAACACGTCCAACAATTGTTCACTGTAAGACATCCCCATCACCCGGCAGTGTATGTCACTTTTAGAAGCCAGCAGGGTCACCTTTTCCCATCTGCACATCATCTGAGGGCTGCACTTCAAGAGTATGGCAGTGCATTGTTGTCTGGTTGTTTCAGCGACTGCCAGTGTTCAACATGATCAGCGTTTTGTTCCTTTTCGTATGCTGGCAGTAGGGAGTCCTTAATTTACATACTGACATGCTGCCGAGTTATTCCTTGAATAGCTTTCCTTGTGCGTACTGGATGTGATTAAGAAATACAAGCAAATACTGCAGTAGTGCAGTTTATGCACCTTACATAAATAACACAGCCTGGACCTTTTCACTTTAAGCAGAGACTTTCTGTCTAAAAGTGAGATAAAATGACTGGACCATTGATATTTTACTTCATTCTAAGAAATATATATTTGAAAACGAGTTTTCTTTCATTTTCCTTGGTTGAAATGTTCGTCCGTAGAACTTGCATGTAATTGTACAGTACCTTATACATGCTCATTTTACACACCCAGAGGAAAACATCACTCAACAACTGTGCATGCAATACAGTATGTGCCGTTTTTTTCACATTTGTGCAATGTCATGCGAGGTAAAACACCCTAAAGAAATATTCGGCAAGGGTCAAAGCCCGGCAGGACCATTAATATTCAAGCCATTGCATGCTAGCTCATGCACTTCAACATTCACTTTGCCTACATTTGAAATTATCTTACATTTGCCTTTGAATCCGATAAGCTATGAAGCTCTTTTTTTCACAGATGTACAATAGAGGCAGGTCAGCAAGACCGACACAATCATAAATTCAGCAGGTACAGCTACAGCTTCTTGGTCCAGGAGTGGTTTACGGCTTTGTTTTTTTTTGCTATATTTTACTCTGTGCTGTCAGTGTTATATGATGAGACAAGGTAATGGACTGCTCTGAGGTCTTCGAATTGAGTATTTTCAGGAAGCTTGATCAAATAAAACTCTTCTTTGGTTCTTTCGGTAAAGTCACGTAGAATGAGAATAAAATAATAAAATAAAACAATACAATTCTCACGACGTTGCGGCCACAACACAAGTGGCCTTCTTCAACAACATGTCGGGACGACAGAGCTAGTTCTGTCGTCCCGACAGGTTGTTCCTTTCACCTGAAGAAGGCCACTTGTGTTGCGGCCGCAACGTCGTGAGAATTTTATTGTTTTATTTTATTATTTTATTCTCATTCTAGGTGACTTTACCGAAAGAACCAAAGAAGATGAATCCTTGCAGTCACGAAATTTTTAAATCAAATAGAACTCCTTCAAAGATCCTTTTAAGGGACCTCATCCACACTAGGGGGTACACTTTTCCATGCCTCCCTGCTGCGCAGAAATATTCATCGCATGGCACTCAGGCTGATATTTTAAATAATCACAGCTGCAATGTAGCCGAATGTATTGAAAAATCAATTCATGCTATCTTTTTGGCGCAATCATTGGTGGTCAGGCTGAAACCATCGATTGACTACGCTGAGAACCCAGTGTTTATTTTTAAATTACGGGCAAACGAAAACTAGGTTCGCGCTTAGGATCTCAGGGGTGCTGGGTCAGTGCTGACCCTTGAGCCACCTGGTATGTTTACACTGCTTGAGGTTAAACAGCAGGTGCACCTTGGTGTATAAACAAAGAACGCAGTTCTAGATAATCAAATCATACGCTATGAGATGTACATTAATGCAGGTATGCAAAGTTTGCAGTTTAGGTCCAAAGCTGAGTTAAAAATGGGGGCAACTATAAATGCAACCCATCAGCTAAATAGCCCCCGATTCATACCCTCATTGGTATGTCACCTTTCAACCTTTGGCATCGTGTTGGCTAAAGTGTAGGGTTTAATATTAAATCCGTCCATGTGACAGAAGCCTTCATTAATTGCTGAAGGCCTGAGAAACACAGAGGTTGTGTTCTGTGTGCAGACTGTTGGTTCCCACAATCTTCCTAGCCTCGAAGTCCCTTTGTGTGGCTGAAACCGGAAGTGAAGGTAAGTACGCGGTAATGCTCTGCTCGCCTTTGTGGGAATTTTTTTCATGGTACTATATCTTTTTTACCACATTAACCATGCCTTTTCTTTTGGTTCTTTCTCTTCAGTGAAATCCTGAAGAGAAGAAGGAAACCACGAGTTGGGAGGGAGAGCAGATACCCTCACGGTACATATGGTTGCATATGCAAATCAAAGCATTTGTGTTTTGGCCCTATCTCAATATTGTTTTAATTGTATGTCAAGATAGCAGACATGAAACTTGAAGTGTCTCCATATTGGAGATAAAAAAAAAAACTTAAATGGTTATACACTTCTCAAATCTCTCTCATTGATAATACTTAAGTATTTCGTAAAGATTTACTCATTCATCATCCTTATCAAATGATGGTAACTATTTAGCAATACCACAGGACCTTTTTTATGTCTGATTTATTTATGTGATCATTACATGTTTATTACAGTTGGCACCAGTTGAGTGATATTAAAATCTCAGCGTGACTTTCATGCGCCCTGTAATTTTACATTCGTATAAGTTCATGAATGAAAAATAAATAAGTTTGCCTATATTTAAGCTAGGTATGTAACAATGCATCGATTCAGTGATTAAAATAGATTTTCATGTTCATGATACACAATTTCTACGTGTATCATTTGATAATTATGTAATTTATATGCAAATTACATGTTCATGTTACAAAACTCAACAGACGAGAAAAAAAAACAACAAAAAGCAATTAACAAGATTTTTTAAAATGAAAAATCAACAAAAATTGACCACCCCCCCACCCTCCCAAATTGAAGCAAATGTTATCAGATACCTGCTGGGAGAGGGGTATGAGTACATTGCTCTTGTAAATGTGTCATGGGAGAATATACATTGAGCCGTGACCTCAACTCAGTGTTATCAACAATATCTCCACCTGCATGTCGTGAGCAACCCGACCCTAGGCTAAAAACTCTCCCCCCACCTCCTTCCGTCCATGGCACGCCGCTGGTCCGTGGCAGATGGCGTCGTCTCGCGCTGGGTGCACGAAACGGCACGATGTGGGCACGGACAAGCCAGACGACGTCGGCCTGGCGGAGCTGGGCCCGCTGCTGGTGACCACAGGGCAAGCCACGTGCTCTGTGAGTCCTGCGCGTGCCATCGCTCACACCGTGCGTGGCTGGTGGGGTCAAGGTTCCACGGTTTATTTGTGCGTTTGCGGGTGTCGCCGGTCAAGGTCGGCTGCCGTCTTGCACCCCGCACCTCTTGCATAACAGTGTCACAGCTTGTTTTTGCTTTTGTCAGTTGTTTACGCCTCGTGATGACACTTGCCAGCGGCTTTAATTTCAAGCCTACTAGTTCAAAATTGGCCACGAACGATGTTCATCCATCACTGGTCGCACGTAGACTGCACTAATTGAGTACTAGAAGATATTTTTTTAAAATCTGGCAACACTTAATATTCTACCACCAAAGGTATTTAGTAAGGTCTGCCCTGCCTTCTGATAGGAAAAGTCTCCCCACCACTGCTGTAGCGGTACATGATTTTTTAATAATATATTTTTCTTAAATCTTGACTTAAAGCTTTCGTGATTGCAGGAATTTATCCTCTTTGGGTCTTTCGGTAAGTCACGGAGATCGAAAAATTATAATTTAAAAAAATCACGACGTTTCGATCTCAAAAGCAAGCAGTCGTCCTCAGGTGAAAAATACGATTGCTTGTGTTGCGATCGAAACGTCATGATTTTTTTTATTATTTTTCTATCTACGTGACTTCACCAAAATACCCAAATAGTATATTTTTTTCAAGTTTAGAAACGGTTTAGCAAAAGGGTTAATTTCAGACAGGTTTGAACCTATTTAACACTGATAGGAATACCAGTTGTATGCTTGGGTTGTAAGGTGATCAGTGATAGTACTTAAGAAATGGACACTTGGATTTATCTGGGGAGATATTCTCAAGAGCATTTTTTTTGGAATTCGGTAACAAAAGAACTATTTCAAGAGCCGCAATGCATGTGAATACATAGACATTACGTCACAAAGCAGTCTGTAAAGAGCCGCATGTGGCTCCGGAGCCGCAGATTGCCGACCGCCGATATAGGGCTTTATTATTGACGCTATGGTGAAGTTTGCTGTTAAAGGTTAATTGAAAAGCCTTCGCTATGCACTCGTCTGTGTCATAGCTGCCATTAGTTTTTTGCTGCTGCCAACTCAGTTCACCATTCTACTTCTGACCCATGCTCGTTTACATCTGTCTGGATTTTCGTACACTTTGTTAAAAAGTTGGTGTTCCCCATTGATTTTGCAATTCATCATCACACACTTTATCGGTGGTATTGCAACACATAATAGTACTTTTGTACTTGTGTATTACACTGAAGATGACAGGGACCCTGCTGAGGTTGAAATGTCCGTGAATAAAATATATTCTGGTATGTGTAAGCCCCTGCAGTGTTGTATGCAATTGTAGTGTGTTTTTTTGGAATAAGAATTTCTGTCAGGATTTTTTTTAGTATAATGCCAGTGGGCTTTGTAAATGTTAAGGTTAATGCACCCCCAAAAGGATTTGGTCCAAACGCAGCATGTTCAGAGCAAGTCTAAAGTTGGCATCTTTAATTTTCCTTATCATGTAATTGTTGACAGCCTTCAAAGGTTTTTCATTCACTATATATTTCACAAACATTAAAATTGCATTGCCTTTTTAGCCTAATTTCCTTGCGTGGTCTGTAAATATGACCTCATGAATTGGCGGCATTTATACACACGTCTTATGGTGATTTATGATAAAATTGCTGGCAAGCCGTGGTTAGCAATTTTAAATTTTCTCGAGCACATTCACATATCGACTGGTGGTTACGGTAAACACTGGTCCTGAATTCAGCACTTGGCACCAAAGTGGCCATTGTGTTATCACGTAGCCATTAACCCAATTTCACCTCTTAGAGTTAGAATTTTTTCCACCAGTGCATAATTACACCTTAGTTACTTGATCTATAGTTGGTTTTAGACAAGGAGCTATTTGGCTGAAAAACCTAAAATTTTGCCTAGACTGCACTTTTGGCCATTTGAGAGGTTGGATAAGCTAATTAATGCAATTCTGGACATGAGGGACATTCTTGTTTTTCCCAGAAAGTCGGGTGCTAAAGCTCGTATACATTTTTACAAAATCTGCCGGCCATAGGGATTTTTTTCTGGAGCCACCGTGGTTTCTAGCCAACTTGATAATGTTGATGGCTGTGCCAGGATTTGGACGACTTGTATGTCATGGTAAATTTCGAATGTCCTTGCGGATTCGCATGAGCCGTGTTGTTGCTCAAAGATGCCTAGAAAATCGTTCAGTGAACATTTATTCGTCAAAGGCTTTAGTGTGATACACATCGGAGCAAAGCTTGTACCATTTTGCCTTGTAAAAGGGATGACCAGGGACGACCATTTGGCTTTAAGGTTGCCTACTGCCTTCGACCCAACCTTAGAGGCTTCTGATTTACTCTACAGTGAAACAGCCATTTCTAAATGTGTCGGCTGAGTGGGCTGAATTTGGTGAACAATTGCAAAAAGATCCAATTTAATCCCCTCCACTAGTGGTGTTGTCTTAATTATCGAGAAATCTTAGTCTGAACATGTTCACTTTATCATATACTGAAAGCAGGTGGAACTGATCATTCAAGTCAGAAGCTCGTCGTGCCAATACCACCATATCAAAAGCACTGGGAATATGTGCAACCATATATGATTAAACAAGGTACACAAGTGAGATCTGTTCTTGAAAATATGCGGGAAAGTGGAATTCGCTAATTCACACCTGTTCGGCACAAGTACCCCTCATCCATGATGCAATGTTGCCAAATTGCAAATAGTCAAAGAAAAAGGTGCGAAAAGTTAAACTTAATAATCACATTTGCTGAATAAAAATCTGGGAATTAAGAGTTTTTACTGTATTTAACTTAGTTTCCTCCTAGTTTGGTTTATACCAGAATTCAGAATTAAAAACATTGCTTTGATTTGACATGCAACAAATGCTCTTCGTTTTCATATAAAACGTGTACCCCGAGCATACCTCTAGTGTCGGATAAGGGCCAATTTCTGATACAAGGTAGTGCACTGATAGCTGTGAGCTTCCAATGGAAACGTCTTCATCTCATGACTAACAGCACACATGGAATGTCAGTCATTTGTCTTGCGGGTAGATCATAAGATATTTGTCCACAGTTTCTGGCTGTAGTGTCCCAGCATCGCATATATCTGTGTAGGTTAGTGCCAGTTTTCCTCTGTTTCTCTTCCCACGTGACAGCCTCCGCATTAGCAGTTTCATGACTTTTCATCATGCCTTCTACAGTACAGCGCAGTGAACCTGAGCCTCTTGTCCTCCAGTCTCTTAGTCAGTTGTCAGTCTTGATGTGGTTCTTCTAGATGATGTTGGGTGCAACCCAGAGTGAGCCTGTTTTAAGCTGTTCCTGGGCAGCTGTAAATTGCTTTTGCTTCCAACTTAGAGGATTGCAATAGCAACCCCATTGTAAGCCATGATCAATCCACTGCTGGGTTAAGGCCATCTATGGCCACCACCATCTCTCGTGGTCCCACAGCACAACAATCCATCTTGCACCCTGCGGTGGACATGCTCTTGGCACGTTCCCCACCTTGGCCACCACACCGTCATTAGTCTCAACCACTAGCCTTCGTCCTTGCTGGTGATGTGTCCTACTGATGCCTTCTTACTTTACCTAACAGTCAATATGTTGTGCTGTCCCTGTGCAGGTGCGGGAAGTGGACCAGGTCCATGCGGACAGAGAGAGGGATGAGGATGGCCCTGAGCCCCTGAGGGTCATTACGCTGCCGCTTCAAGCCCACCACGCCATGGAGAAGATGGAGGAGTTTGTTTGCAAGGTTGACCATTGTAGCTGTATCATATTCATCATGCCCGGGGGTGTCCTACTGACCCTGTAGCCCAGGGACAGGTTTCGCCATTTCTGACTAAGGTTTCTTTGAGCTTGCACCTCAGTTTTAATGTTGACTGTTGCCGCGGTGGCGAGATGATAACTGCCTTTCCAGGTATACAGGAGGTCGTTGATTCGATCCTGACCCTGATGCCTGTACGTTTGGAATTAGCGTTTTCTCCCTGTGGTCGCGTGGATTTTTCTCTGCGTCCTCCGGTTTTTCCCTCCACATTTAGAAACATGCATTTCAAGTATTTGGCTGCTATAAATTTCCACATGATAAGCCACTTCGTTGGGTTATCATTTGTACAAGGTCGCTTCTGAAAAAGAGCTATATATAGTTCAGTGGGCATTACCTGGAATCAAAATGACCAAATTGAACAAAAATGTACTGTCTGAAATTTTTGTTGTAAGAAGTGGGTTTTTGACATTGGAAAACAGTTAATTTACCATGCTGCACATTCATCCTTTATTTAATGCAAGTGTTATTCTACATAGCTCCAGAGCTTGTAATGATTTATATTATGTTCAGTCATAATATTTATTGAAAAAATCAATACCACATTTCTAGTTATTATTTGATTTCCTTTTAAGTTTCGTGTTCATCGAGTATAAAACTGTACGCAGTCTAAAAAATTGAAACCGCTGCCCTTTTTTTTCATAACTGATTGGTTTTTAATATAATGTCAAATCTCGTGGAAAAAAGTGCAGTTTTACAGAATATACCGGTATTAGTTTTATGGCTCAGGCAGACCAGGCTGCATTGTAGAGTGTTCTGGGTTCACAGTTACATTCTTGGTTGGCTGTGTGCGGCGGTGAATTGTGACTGTTAAGGGACACTCAAGTTCAGCTCACACGGTCTGCGCAGCATCGTCCAACATAACAATGCTTCTCGTACAGTTAGTGGGTCTGTGTTTACAGGATGTTTTGTCGACGGTGTTATTGACTGTTGGGAAGATTCATATTTGTACGCTCACTGCAAATGTAAGGATGCATTCTGTCCATAATTATACAAAATTCTCACAATTTCAGGGCCACATTTCGGTTCATGAATGTATTCCCTTTTGGTAAATATAGAATTTATAGTGGTATAAATTTGTGTATGTGTACAGCTATTTGACAATCCACTGCTAAATTATGGCCCTCACGCTGCCGTGTGTGTTATGCGAGTTTATTTTTACCCTACTTCAGACTCAACAGTGTGGGTTGGTAAAGGCGGGGAACATAGATGTGGAGCATAGAAAAATAATAGTGTTTTTCTGCAGTGTCCTCTTGCGCATTAAGTTTCCCAACACATACGAATGGGAAATATCACACGTAGTTTGAAACGTATGTTGAGCATAACACTTTTTGCTTTTGTTAAATGTTTATTGAATCCCCACTGCTAATCTGTTCAACACTATGTTATTACTTGATTATATAACTTGGCTATCCATGCCTGGGTTAGATAAGTGCCCCGGTTAAACCATAGAATTTCACTGGGAACCCATGTATCTGAACCGACCGCAAAGTGAGAAATACATTCTGCGCCAATAGCCTAAGGCATGTATGCTAACCAGAAATCCTCTTGTGTCTTGATTTCGGTCGCCAAACCTGCTCTGTTGCCTCTCGCGCTCATGGCGTGATATGAAATAACACAGCTGCCAGCGATCGGCGTGTGCACGGAAGTTTAGTGGCAGTCAGATGCGTGAACTCGCACCGGTGTTTTTATCACGCGCAGGTGTGGCAGGGCCGCTGGCGAGTGATCCCGCACGATGTGCTGCCCAGCTGGCTGCAGGACAATGAGTTCCTGCTGCAGGGGCACCGTCCCCCCATGCCGTCCTTCCGTGCCTGCTTCCGCAGCATCTTTCGTCTCCACACGGAGACCGGCAACATATGGACGCATCTAATAGGTTTGCCGTGTTTGCACATTGCTAAATCTGTTCCTTCCGTTTTGTGATGACAGTTGCGGAAGAGCTCATTATGTTCAGGTGTTCGTTTGGTACGCATCCGTCATCTGTGCCATTGGCCATGATCTATCCCCTGCTGGATGCAGGCATCCCTAGGCCGTGGCCATCTCTCACGGTCATGCAATGTAACAATCCGTCTAGCTCCTGCACGCGAACAGATTTCATAGCTCCATTGCCATGGTGGACATCCTCTCAGGCACGTTTCCTCCTTTGACTTTCACACTGTTATCAACGTCTTACTATCTTTCCCCCAATTGGATGCACTTTGAACTCTAGATATTTCTTGTGCTACTCTGGGAGCAGTAGTGGTTTTTATTTGTGAAGTGTATATGCAAAGTGCTGTATCAATTACTGTTTCCCATGAAAATAACTTGAAGCACTTGAATATACCCTTGCTTGTTTTCTGCAGCCTGTGTGCATAGTTTGTGAAATAACATTGATTCTTATTGCATTGTTTCACATTGTGCTTGTAATGAAACATCACGGTTGGCATAGAATTCCTTTGTTTTTAGATTTGAGAGTTCAATTTAAGGCAATATTAGTGAGCATTCATTCCACTTCAGCCTTTACACCACTTTTATTCTATCTAGAATTCACTCAACCTCAATCACAGTTTTGCTCTGCTGTTCGTCACTATTTGACAATTGCAAATGTTTTTAATTGTTTGAAACTATTACTTGATACTCATAACTGTCCTATTTTCAAATGATGTTTTCTGCCTTGTTGTTCTTTACATATTGCAAAATGCTGTTTTGCCTTACTAATTTAAAGAGTAATATACCTCTAGACTCAATGGGCGATTACCTGGTTAAAAAATTAAGCATATCCATCTCTCATCTAATTTTAGCTTGCGTTTCTGCTTTTTTGTGGCGCAGGCTTTTTCCTATTTGTCGTCCTGGCCGTCATATATCTGTTCCGGCCAAACATGAGCTTCGTAGCTCCTCTGCAGGAAAAGGTTGTGTTTGGCGTTTTCTTCATGGGCGCTATCCTCTGCCTGTGCTTCTCCTGGCTCTTCCACACCGTCTACTGTCATTCCGAGAAGGTCTCCCGCACCTTCTCCAAGTAAGTTCACGAGCCACGCTCTACCGGCAGGGCGCCGTCGGGTGCATTAAGTTACGTAGTTTGTTTTGAGAAATCACGCAGTCGGTTTGGGTGGCGCATGGTGTTTCTTGTTCATTTCCTGTGTCAATATCAACACTGCATACAAAGTAAGTTTACAACACGATCGTATATTGTAGGATGTGCATTGGTCAAACAGGAATTTTAAAAAGTTTACAAATCAGTGAGCTATCATTTTACGCTGATATTACTTAATTGTTTTGTTTTTCAATACCCATCGAGTAGCACTTGGGTAAAGTCTTGCTCCCAAAAGATGCTCTATAAGTAACGATGGTGTCGCAGTTGATAAAACTACTCTTATAATACAATTTTGATTTATAGAACGTGCTTTTAGAGTGTTATAGTGGTTGGTGCACTGAACTGTAAATCCAGTGACCTGAGTTGGACCACAAAAGCTGATGTTAGTGACGAGATATATCTTAGCCGGTCCTGGCTGCCACCCTTCAACCATCCTCATTGAACTGGCATGGTGATTTGCCTTCAAACGTTTTCCATGACTCAAATGCGTGGAAGGGCCTTCATCCAGCAGTGACTTGCATCCAGTGATCAAAAGGAGATGATTGTATGTTAAAGCTGAGATTCATATCATTCATTGAGTCATGGGCAACATTTGACCAGCTGCTGTTTAAAAACATCCAACGCCTAATGCCATCTCATGGTTCCCTTTTGCCACTACACAATTGTTTAAAAAATGTCCCATGTCATAGGAAATTGTTCTTGATTATCGCGTACCATATTTACCACTCTAATTCCTTGGGCCTTTCTGTGTTGTAATTAAGGGCCAATCCCCAAAACGTCATATATGTTTTTTAAGCCAATGCTAATTGACGAATGTGTTGCGTTTTTTTATTTACTGACATGTGTGTGTTTTGCCTACACTGCTGTTTTCATCAAACAAATCGTTTTAAACATCCACCATATATCTAAAGGACCTCCTAATTCTACAAATTTGCAGTCGCAACCTCAGAAGTTAACTCCCTGCTGTAACAAATACCAGCTATTAAAACTAGGTTTAGCAATATCTCTGTCCACGCTGCTGCCCCATGTTACTGCAGTGTTAGTGGAATGCTCGTCTGCTGTTACTTTTCACCTTCTCATGATGGTTATTTTGTTTGCTCTATCCATTTTGCTTTGCCTCGCGCTCACCTCTTTAACAAGAATATGGCGGTTTATTTTAGAATATGCCAGTTTATTTTGTTCATATTGTTCGTCTTTGTTCATTGAGCACAATTTTTTCCCTGCACCTCTGACGTACTCTGTTTCATTGCCGCCTGCTTTGCTGTACGATATCACTTCGATGATGATGTTATTGTTGTTCCGAATCTGTGCCGACGCGCACGACAGTGTATCTTTTGCGAACTGGCAGGGCAACTGGCCAAACGGGACTTATCTGCATAACAAATGAACGTTGATTGATTGCTATCGCAGATTGGACTACTCGGGCATCGCTCTGCTCATAATGGGCAGCTTCGTGCCATGGCTCTACTACTCCTTCTACTGCAACCCGCAGCCACGGCTCATCTACCTGGTGACCATCTGCGTGCTCGGCATAGCGGCCATCGTTGTATCTCAGTGGGAGCGCTTCTCTACGCCACAGTATCGCGTGCTCCGTGCCGGTATGTGCAGTTGCGGCTGGTGTCTTAGCTATTCTGTCCCAGTCCCCCTCCATTCACACATTGCCTAAAAATATACGGTTTATATCAAACAGAAGCTCGTGACCCCCGGTTGTAGCATCGCAAGCACATCTAGTTTTAAAAAAAAAAATCGTTATTTTTTAAGATTCCAGTTTCAACACAGCAGGGAAGGTTGCCGTGAGACACCGGCACATACTAGAACATGACCCCTGCGTTTGATGAGGTATTATTGTCCTCTGCTGTTGTCTACCTTATTCAGTCTGCACTTAGAGGAGTATAGTGAAGCATGGCCAAATAGCCCACATCCATGACTCAATGCATAAGGGAGTCTGTCATACAGTAGTGGATTGACAGGTTGTATATGTACCACGCATCTTCAAGGAATTTTCAAAATTTTGCACAAAGCATCCGTATGAATCATAGTTGACAAGCAAAACAAAGTCAGTAAAAGTACAATTTAAATAAGAAAACATAAAATACAAAAAAACCCTAACTTGTCAGCGGTGCAAACACCATCCTCGGCCTACCAGCCTGATTGTTTTGTTTCATCCATGTTTTCTTCAACAACCGCACTGCAGCCTAAAGCACCTCTTTCTGCTTGTTTCCTGGTACTGCTCGACTTGGGAGTTCCCTCCCACATCTCTATTCCCAAGCTCTTTCCCAACCTCAATTCAAGAAACGTATTTACTCTTTTCCAGTACACATTACATTGTGCTTTAGGTTGCTGTCTGCTTGGATTTTTGGCCTTTGGGTCTGTGCTCGGCAACCGTGATAAAACAAAAACAACTACACCCTGTCAATGTGCATTGCCCGTCGCTTGTATTCCACGCCGCTTGTATTCCACGCAGCCGTATTCCTGAGCTTGGGCTTCAGTGGGATCGTGCCAACCGTGCACTTCATGGTGGTGGAGGGCTTCATGAGGGCGACGACGGCCGGGCAGACAGGCTGGCTCTTCCTCATGGGGCTCCTGTACAGCATGGGCGCCGCGCTGTATGCTGCACGCATCCCCGAGAGGTTCTTCCCGGGCATGTGCGACATCTGGGTAATTATTCAAATCGCAGTAAATGAGCCACAGGTTGTCGTCGCACCTGCCGCCTAGGTGTGGTTTCAGCCGCTTGTGATGTGGTCGGTGGATGGCGTGTTCTGCTGCAGCTGGTGCTGCAGCTGCTGTTGCTGCAGCTCTTGAATGACGTTGTAGACTTTGTGTGTTGAAGCACATCATTGTGGCTCTGTGACCCACTTTAAAGCCTGACTTGTTGTAGCTTTGATAGGGTTGCTTTGAACTGTTTAATACACACATGCGCGTGTGTTACGCAGTGTGGTTTTTTTCGTGTAACCGTTGCCTCAATCTAACCGGCGATTAAGTGGTCGCGATGCAGTTAGTCACAATGGAGTGTCTGTGTGTGGTATAAATGAAATGTTCAAATGCACCTTGCATTATTTAAAGTCTTTTCATTCTGTGTATAACTCAAGAACTAAAAGTGGAGGATGAGAAATACACAACAAATTTGCCCAAGAAAACTTGTATAATTAAATTTGTTTATTGAGACATTGCAAACCTTTAACACGTAGGCTTTCGCGACCAATATCCATAATAGTTTTTTTTTGGGTTAGGTCGCGTAAGTATATAATTGTGTCGTTAAAACTCGCCACCACCCGGCACAGCCAACTAGTAAGGGTCGTCACGTAAACATGGCATGTTCTGTTTACGTGCCAACCCTTACTAGTTGGCTGTTTCGGGTGGTGGCGGGTTTTAACGACATATATTTACGCGATCTAACCCAAAAAACCTCTTATTGATTTCAAACCTTATCGAACAGGCTAACATGTTAAATGGAGCAATTGATTAGTTGTGAATGCACCTATTGATAGATGGCTCATTCATAGGATCAAGAAAACTAGTGAACATGATCAAATATATATATAGTATAATGTAAAGCAGTCAAATTAATGAAATGGTTGCCCAAAACTTGGTGGAAAAGAATAGTGCTAAATGCATACGTATTTTTTGGCCAAGATCATGATGTTACATACCATGTACGCGCCCTAGCCATCATTGTGTGACATCTCGTTATGCCGTTCAGAAGATAGTGCTATTATCAAAGAAAAACCTCTTGAGAACAAATACACGTTGCACAGTTACAGAATCCATGCATGTGCACGATTGTTCTCTTGAATTTTAAAAGGGAAGACCTCTACATGGCATCACCTGATGTAGCCCCCTTCACCCCACGTCTCTCTGCAGTTCCACTCGCACCAGATCTTCCACGTACTGGTGGTGGCTGCGGCGTGCGTTCACTTCCACGGCGTGTCGAAGCTGCAGGAGTTCCGTTACAGTGTGGGAGGAGGCTGCACGTCCGATACTCTCCTGTGAGTCACGCCTGGAGAGGTCGGCGCATTCCCAGGAGGCGTGCCACTCCGACCCAGCTCGGCGTAAATTCCCCGCGAGAGGCAAGCGGCTGGCGCACACGCGCGCTCCGTTCTGTGTGATGACTCTGAGCAGAGCTGTAGGGGTTTTCCTGTTCCCGCTAGGACCTCGATTGGCGAGCGTTGAAGCAATGCAGCCAGGGAATATTTGGGCATCGTATTCGATCGGAAAGTTATTTTTGGCAATACTGGATGACAAAGGCCACACAAAAGATATGAAAACTGCACAAATGTTTAATGTCACTTTATTTAAGGTTACATGGGGAGTATGCAGACATGAATACACATAAAATGATGCCCAAATGTGTCCCCTGGTTTATTTTACATTCGCGAGGGGGCTTGCTTTAAGGTTTATTTTTCAAGTGATGGGCCCTGATTTTGACACACCTTGCCTCTATTTGTTGATGGCAATGTGGCAGGAAAGTCCCTGTTCACTTATTGGGAGCACAGGTTTACACAGGAGGCCCTCTAGCACCCAGACATAGTCCTGCTCTCTATCTCCACCGGACTCCAGTTAACAATAACCCAGTTTACATATTAGAAATTAGTGTGCATACAAGTTGGCTTGCAAATCTGACCCTTGTAATGCTGGCTTTTTGTAGGGCCGCCTCAGTGGAGACTTGCTCTACGGTAAAGCTGCTGAGCATGCTGTGGGTTGACATACTCGCCCAGCCACTTGCCTTCACGTCGAGTTTTATCGTCAATTATTCTGTCCCCCTATGCACCCCATTTGCTGTTAATATGTGCAATCACGTTTACCCAAATGTTAAAGGTCTATTCAGTGATACGATCCGAAAACAGGGATATCATGTATCTACTAAATACAATGAAATAATATTTTATATATAAAAGTTAAATGTTCAAAAAAGGTTTCATTATGAAGTAACTCAAATTATGTAAGCGTGATAACTTTTTTTTAAGCAAAAACTGAAATGATAAAAAAGTAAGATCTACAGTTCAATATTTTATTAGCAAGCAATAACAGTACTTACACAATTTTTACCATTAGTCATGGATGTTTTTTCTGTTAAAATTTCGGCTTAGAAGCATTGAAGAGTGCATTTCTCTCTCTTTTGAAATGGGATGTATTTTTGATGCCGTATCACTGATAGCACCAGTAATGTTTGTGGGAAGCTTGAATATACGTGGTGTCTGATGTGCCCTCACACTGGTTTCAAACTTGACAAAGGCCATGCTCGGAGACCTGGCCATGTGATTAGTGACGCCGACACAAACCGGCTTTTATTGCTGCTTGCGATCATGGTGCTCAAGAAATGTCCTCGTCAACGTTATGAGTAACACTTGCCACCGGAGACACCTCGCACGCGCCACCATGTCCTTTTATGGTCGGATTATTTAACCTTGCCACAGTGCACCTGCATTGAACATAACGGAACCGTTCTCCGACTGCTTTTACATTGAATACATGTCTCATTTGCGAGATAATCTTAGGCGCAGCATTTCTGTCCACAATACAACTGCTCAACACGTCTTGGAACAAAAACTAAAAATTGTGCGTGCGAGCGTTTATATATGTAAACGTTGCATTTACCTTGCTAGCTTATGCAACCGGGATGTCCCTTGTGATACCAACAAATGTCCTTGAGTAAACATACTTAATAAATAAACAAACTGAGATTAGCATTTGTCAAAGGGCAGCTGATGACCTTTCCACATCGCACAGTGTTGTGCCACTTAATTGGTGCCCCGCTCACATACCAGTCAGAGGAGAGTGCTCCCCCTTGACATCGGAGTTTTGTGGCCTCATGCTGTGCCACTCTGGTCACATGGTTGCATGTGGGAAAATCGAATGGCTCTGCGTCCCCAGCACGGGCTATTGAAGGCTTCCTACGTTCGGTTAGTAGTACTGAACGAATCATGAGCGAGGTTTGCACAGCTTGGCCCATTCACCGGCTCTGCCATCCTCACAACTGCCCGCCTGTAGTAATACGCTTTTTGGACAAATCTAGACGTGCAAAGTTCAAGTGCGAGTTTCTTGCATGATCTTTTTCTCAGGGTTAAAGGTAGACATCCATTTGTTTTTGATAGGCTTATTCACATCCATCAAGCTCTCTGCTTTGCTCTGTGCTTGCAGTGCCATTCTGCTTGCCATTTTGTTTCTCTCAAGAACGGATAAATCTTTTGTATCGACTCGCAATCACGAACACAACAGAGGGTGAACAAACTCGCGCGCGGGGAAACGTGAACGGAAGCCGCACCCTCTGGGTTATTCTCTCCCTTAACAGGGGCCGATTGGGGTCCATCGGGTTATTTTCCCTACAAACGGCAGTAGGGTCAGAGAACGGGAGACGCAATAACTGACTTTAAAGTGTGCCGCATGCGTGACACAAGTCCTTTTCACTCGGTCGCTCAGCACCTCCCCCTCTGCATGCCGGCATCAGCTTAGCCATACAAACGTCTGTCACTTCCTTTTCCCCTGTTGCTCCAGTGCTTTGACGTGGAAAGGAAAATTGGGGCCAACTCATCTCACCTTAGGCCTAAAATGAAAGCGTATCTTATCAAAAGCTCTTGTCACGTCGCACATCACTCCGGACGCTGTCTTAGCACCGCCCTTTGAATGCTTTGTGTCATTTTCCAAGTTCAAGAGCCAATAGGAAGCAGCCATCACGGCGCGATGGTTTGCTTGCAAAGCCCATCCACGGCACAGGACGCACACCCATGTGGTGCTCGTAAAACAGCTTTTCCAAGCTTCCGCGTACGTCACCACGCCGTCGTATGATAGCACTTAACTCCACGCCGCACCTTTACCCCTGCTGTCGCAGCTGAAGTGCAAAGCTAATGGATTATTCGTTAAGGCTCCCTTGAATTGCAGCCAGACAAAATCACGTCATTGCAAACAAACATGACTGACCCATCCCGACTGCATGTAAATCTTACTTTTCTTCCCCAGTGGTATTGTACGGGTTTACCTGTCACACATTGCTCAAAGTTACCATACAGATTGTGTACTGGGGTAATCGTTTCAAGTGATTTATCAAGAAATATACATAGTGTGTACTGGATTGTTTTTACATTACATTTAGTGCTGGCAACAGGGTACAACCATGCTTGCCCTGAGATATTACCTCTGCTGCATTATTTGAACACCCCAATGAAGGGCCTATTAATAGAAAGCTGAAATGGTCAGCAAGCATTTTCATCTTCCAGGTTCTCCACTTCCAAACAGATGTCAATGTCTGAGTTGCAGCATGGCATTTATTTGACGTTGGGGCATGGGCTCTTGTAATTTCACAGCTGCTGTTGCTTCTGATTGAAGCACTGTTGGGGGTAAGGCACCCTGGGGGTACTTTTTCATATGGCTTTGCCTAGCAGTGTGGCATTTTTCCATGGGATAGTGAAATGTGCCTCAGGGACCTTCATGGATGCCGTGGTTGGTATTGGCAAAGGTGTCTGGCAGCCATGCTGCTGTTCTCGCCTGGTACGATGCATAGGTAATGGCAGCAAGTCCTTGCCCTCCCCATCGGCACAACGCGTTAAGGATGGTCAGAATGGGATTTGGCAGCCTCAATTAAAACTCGTGTGTTTGAAAATAGCAGCCGCCTGCCAATCGTCATGCCCAATTATCTTGAGCAATGCATCACACAGCAGGCAGTTGTCAAGAGAACGCTTCCAAGCAAGTCCCTATTTATACTGCCTTTCTCATCCAGCAGCATGTTTGCTTTGCTTACGCCCTGGCATGCACAACAAAAACGCCAGTGTCTGCTGGCTGCCCCCGATCATCAGCTCCCGTTCCTGCCGGCGACTGGAGCATTGAAGCTTGCGCACGCAACTGCATGCATGCACACGACTCCTGTGCCGCACTTCGCCGCACTGCCGGGGTCATGTGAGAAAGCAGCCTGCTGGGCAGCGATTCTTCCTAACACAAGGCCAACGCAGTGGCCGAATGCAGGACAGGTGGAAGGGGGGGGGCGGGCTTCGTTTAAAAAAAAAAAAAGTGGGGGCGCCACTGCCCGCCGCGAGCCACTCCCTTGACGGGCGTCCGTTCGAGAGCCGGGACGTCTGAGATAGACGCGTGGGATGATGAAGGTGCACTCAGTGATGCAGATCAGGGAGCAAGCTTTGTTTTGAGTCTCCGATGCGCTACGTTTGTCTGAAAGTCTCCATTGTCGCGAAACCGTTTAGAGCAACGTTTATTCTTGTGGTGCTGAATGAAACTTCTTACGTGCTTTTGGCAAAGTACCATTAGGGTCTGCCGATTTAACGTTCATCGTCTCGCAAACAACAAACATCGCAATTGTGATGAATGAACATTGAACACTACTATCGCGAAATCCAAAGTTAATTTGAACCTATACTTTGTGGTGCAGCCTTTGAGCAGTGGACCTGTTGTAGGTGTTGTCAAAACTATGGAGAGATTTTAATTTTTTTTCAGCATAATTGTGTCGTTATATTGCAAAAAATGCTTTGTAAATAAATATATTTTTAGACTGCATTTGAAGAAAGTTGGTATCACAGAGTGCACCTCTTAAGCGGAAGAGTGATGGTCATTTGTCTGCACGTTGTGGAAATGTTGACACTGTACTGAAAGCCACCATGACGTTAACGCACAAGCCGTGCCTTTCAGGACTCTAACCAATTCATCCAACCCATCTGGTGCTGTCGATCAGCTAATTGGTTCCCAGACGGCAGGGCTAAAGCTTAACGCTAAGGTGGAGAAGAATAAAGAGCTCTAGCCACACTCAACTTCATCTAAATATCATTCAGGCCAGAGCACCACACTGCCTTAATGTTATGGCTGGAACAGTATGGGAAGTAATTCCCAGTGCTTGTCTAATAATTTTTGTTTTTCCCCAAGAAAAGAGCATTTCCAGCCCCTCCAAAGCTTTTAAAACAAAATTGGGTTTCTAATGTTACAGCAAAGAAAATTTGCACTAATATGCGTATATCCTTGCCGAAACTTACTTATGTTTGTCATGTGTAAATGTGATGAAGAGTCTTGGCTATTTATGTTTTAACTTCGTGTCTCGTTTGGGTTTTCCCCTTTAGTTTAATTCTGAATTAACCATCTTGGACACTGTATAATTTGCATGCTAATCTTAACTGTTATTTTGTCATATTGCATTTACTATAGTTTATATTTTTTGCCAATGACATGCTTGCCGTATTTAAAACAATGAAATATATAGTGTGTTGACATTTATATCTTGTTTCATGTGTTTTAAGCACCTGTAAATTAGCCTGTTGGCCTGTCTACTTCATGACCTTTTTCCATGTTGTACATTGGATATTTTCAATAAAGAATAGTACTGTAATAAAGGATGGAGAAAACAAACCATTTAAACTTTTGTTGAAACTTTACGCAACATTGTGCACCTATTCAGGGTTGGGTAATATTTTCTTACCTGCGTATTTTTTTGCAAAACTTTATTCCAAGAAAAATGGACTGTTGTTTAATGGCAGTAAATGTCATGCAAATAACGTTTTTACGTGTAAAATTATTACAAAAAGGGAATATGTACAATAAAAAAAATCTCAGCTGGGATGAAACGTATAATATTTGGGGGCAGCAGTATGTTACGCATGTCTCAATGTTACAGGGTGGACGGCAAGTCCCTATACTCCGTAAATATAAATATATTTCCAATTGCTAATAAGAGAATGGTGTAGCGATTTTTTTTGCCCAGTCTGACTCGCGATGAACCACTAATTTAGCCCGTTCGGGCAGTCAGTGTCTCCAAGATGAAGCTGCTCCCCCAACTCCCACTTGGCTGTGTCCGCTGTGCGGGTTCTTCGACCATACTTAAACACGCTGGTCAGTGCGGGTTGGTGAAGTGGTTGCCCATGACCGGTTTGGCTGTCGCTCGCCTCTTGGATGTTTGCCCATGGCCAGGCAACGAGAAGTGAATGAGATGTGCATGTCTATGACCGAGAAGCTACCAAGTTCAAGAATCGTTTTATTTTGATGCTTACCCACCTGAATGCTCTCAGTCTCAACGGTAGGACCACACCAAACAATGCCACAGATTAACAATTGAGCACATTACATGCACTTTTCACAAGGCAACAATACAGACGGTTGACTTACAGCATGCATGTGTGTTAAATATTAAAAATATATTTAACGGCCTTTTGTCAATTTACTGCCGGATGAAGGCCTGCCCATGCTATTTTAGGCATGGGGATTAACCATAATGTCCCACGCTCGTCAATGCAGGCTTGTATGATGGGGTGGCTCTGAAAATGTTCAGCTATCACGTGCCACTGATTTCACCCATGGCTGGGAATCGTACTTTGGTCACAGGATTGTTAATGTAATGCGCGAACCGCTGTGCCACTGCTATTTCCCCACTTGTATATTACAGCAAAATACTTCAACCGCTTTATAGGTAAAACGTTTAATAGTGGATTGGGATAATCTGAGACGAAAAGGTCAACTCCAAAGTTTCATTGGGACACTACAGTTCAACACTGACCCTGATCTTGAACTGTGCCTTGGAAATCCGACGGAAAATCTGATAAAGAGCTTTGTGGCTCATCGGATTCCTCCGGTAGAAATATTCTGCTTCTGGAAATGTCACGCTGAACTGACAAAAAAAGGGACGTAGTGCGTGCCTTTGTTGATTTTGATACACTGAGCGAAAAGGACAAAGATCCTTTTTATTGGAGCCTGCTCGCAAGTGTTGGCAGGTTTAACCCAACAACCCAGGCAGTTGGGAATGGAATGTTTGGCATGCTCACCTTCGAGTTATGTCCCCCCCCCTCTCCCCAACTAAAACTGTCTGCTTCACATTTGTCTCTCAACGGAGGCATCCTTTGAGATAGTGGTGGTAAGGACTTTTTTTTATTTCGTCGAGAAGGATGCGTAGAAAAAATGTTTGGAGATAGCATTACAAAATAAAGCTGACGAGTGTAAAAAATATATATATCGTCTGCTGGACCCATGGGAATGTTGTTTACTGTTGGGAGAAGTACAAAGTGAATCCTTGGGACGAGTCGGGGGCCCCAATTGGTGAAAGCGCGGAGAGATGTGTGATGCTCGCTGGGCGCGGATGCACATCCCCCCTGAACCGTACTCTTGGCCAGAGAATCCAGGGGCGAGACAAAATAGTCAAATGTCCTGCTCGACCGCCGTTGGTGTTGTCGCCCTTCTGTCGCCCGGCCGTGCCGTTGAGTGAGCGGCGGCGCTGTGCAATAGTTGTGCATGAGCAGACATGAGGCACATCCAAGAGGGGGTCGAAACTCGATAGGCATTGAAAGCCGGGTGGGACGGGGGGAAACGAAGAGCCTAAAAGCGCTACCGCACCTGCCAAACGCAGTGTCCTGTGTTGAGGGCGCATTGCCTGCATTAACGGAGTGTGTAATTTAAAAATGTACCGGGAGCTAGGTTATGTTTTAGTAAGAACGTCGAGCAAAGCTGAGAGCTCGGTGGCTTGTTGGGTTTAAACCCTTGCTATCAGAGCTCTGTCTGGGATCTCGAGGCCACAGCTCGTCGAGTGAATGCCGTGCTTCAGATATGCACAAGCAGGGCATTTTGGAGGCTGGCTGTGACAGGTGGATAGGATTCTCTGTGTCTCGAAGTGAAGCTTCTTGATCAGGCGTGGGAAATTCTGCACGATCCTATATCGCAAGCTTTACCCTTTCATCACAGCAGTGCCCGTGTGTTGGGGTGGGAAAGTACCACGTGTTGCCATTAAGCACGATGAAAACACCATGTATCGCATGCTACTATGGGCAAATTCGTTTGTCACCACAAGAGTAATATTACATAGTGCTGTGACGGTAAACCCCAAAGCCAAAATGTGGGTCTGGTTTTCACCCGTCATTTATTGGCACCTATTGGGCAATTAATGCCACGAAACAACGATTAAATCCTCGTCCCTCGACTTTATCCATAAATAAATCGACGAGCAATAACAGCGCCGCACTTGCGATTAGCATCGATGGTTACGTACGGTGCGAAAGAAGTTCAACATACATAGAAACAGCTCTCTCCAAGCTGTTTTCAAGTTGTAACGGCGTGTGATGTCCAACATTTCGCGCAAAAGCTCCCGGCACATGGGAGAGAAATATCGAGAGGGCTCGCATCACGCCGGACAACACCCGGGGCAGTACAAACCCAAAAAAACATGCATCGGAAGAGCTATCCAGCACACCCACGAGAACGTACGTCCGTCATCAGTGATGGTTGTTTAGAGTGTCCGTGTCCCAACTTCTCAAGCTGGTGGCTACCTGAAGAAGTTGCATGCTTGTCAGGGCAGTCGCGTGCAGATGTCATTGTTTTTTTTTTACTGTCAGGGAGGGGTGGAGAGTGGGAAACCTATCCAAATAAATAATAAATCGGCTAACACGTGCCCGACTTTTCTAAACGACCCACGGGCACATGGCCACGTGTCACAGTCGAATAAAGCAGAACGAAACCATCATCTCAAACACCTCTCTCTCTCTCTTCAAATGCTGGCAACTCGGCGTCTTCTAAGAGATAAAAGGGGAAAATCAAATGGATCCAGCATCTGCAGGCTGCTTGGCAAACGTCATGCTGGTGTTCCAAACACAGCAGCAGTCGGCGGAGACTGGAGCGCTGTTGATGGGTGTTGATCCAACGGAATGGAGGTACCCTCATTGGGTTGTCGGAGGTGAATATTTCAAAAGGCGGCAACTTTTACGCATCTTTTGGTCGCCACTGTGTCTGGCTCTTGAATGCGCCCTGCGACTCCTGCCGACGTTCACATTTGCCGCGGTTCAAAGAGACGGCGCAGGAGCCGCGCGATGAAGTCATGCGGTGAAACATTTTCTCGAAGGCTTTTTCAAGTTTGGCGAAGTGCGCGATGTGTGTGTGTGCCCGCTGCGAAGCGTGGGTGTCTCCTAGAGCTCAAAACGCCGCAGCTGGCGGGCTTGATGTCAGCTGTAACATTTGGCAGGCATGCTTGCGAGTGGAGAGTCTTTCGTTTTCGAATTTACAAGATACTGTCAGGCTCACCACCTGTCCTGGTTTTCGCCGGATTTGTCCTCCCCATTGAGGTCGTCCTGGGAAATGTGTTCGTCTTCCCGGGACATTGAAGAAATCCAGGTTTTTGTCAGTTTGTGTGATAATATACCACTTCAAGATGACGCATTCACATGCAGATCTCCCCTTTTCCGGCGTCGTGAGATAATTATTCTTGCCGTGATAATATCCGGGTTTTTTTTTACCTCCGAGGTGGTATAACCTTCGAAGTTGCCCACGATCACTTGGTTGAGGGTTCATCATGGGCAAGGGGTGCAGGTAGCCGAGGATGGGGGCTTTGCTGCATCTGTGAGTCAGGGATGGCTTCTTGTCACCTCCACGTGGCGCAGAGGGCAGCCGCTGGAAGGAGGAGGAGCTGGGGGAACGGCACGAGGCCCATCGCACCACCGCACTCCTTCGCGTTCTCCTACAAGCAAAATGAGCAGCGGCGATGCTTTAGTTAACATATATAAAGTATACTATACACACTGCATGTAATTGTTTTGAATCTTGGCCAGCAGCAAGAGCGATCATGCATGCAAAATGGTGATTTAGAGAGAGAGGAAAAGGCCCAACTAGTCATAAGATATGTCTTTCCATCACCCCACCGCATGTCACATGATGTCACCAGACTCCACGTGTAAACGCACACGGCGTTGTTTCAGACCAGCGACTCAAAACTGTGGCTGTTTTAAAAAAAAATCTTGGACAGCAGGAGCAGCAGCAGTCCAATGGGACTGCTGAATCCAACAGCTTTAAGAGGTCTGCTGGTTTAGGGAAAAAAAATCCGAACTCATAATATGATAATTCTGATAGTTTTTATTTATTACTTATATCATAACCGAACCACTCCGAATAGGCCCGATCTTAGAAGCTCAGGAGAGCTGAGCTTTGATAAATACGTAGACGAGAGTCTGCCTGGGACTATCCCAGGTGTTATGGGATTGGGATGGTACGGTGGCAATGACATAGCAGTGCAGCGGTGGATCCTCGAATCGATGTGCAACACTTTGAGCATCACCTCCCTCGTTCGCATGGGTTTTCTGCGGGAACGCCTCCTACATACCACATTACTGGAAATGGGCAAACAATTCAACAGGGGACATTTGTGAAAGAAAAAAAGTAAGGAGACTCACAGAGGCTTTCATGGGTTAAGAAAATTAATTATTCGAAGAGTATTTCGTACCTCAATGACATGAGGACCTATCTATTAATTAGAGGTCTTTCTATCATTCTCAAAACTAAAAATTGTAAAATTCTTAGATTCTTGTTCCTGGTCAATACATATTATCGGTGCAACACAAGCCTGCTTTATTATTTTGCAATTCCAGATTGTCTTGACGTATGAAATTCGGGACTATACGATTATGGAATAATAAATCCACGTGATTTTAGATTTATATTACAGGGTGCTGATGTAGGCTGAGTATTTCATTCCAAAAATCACCTGGAATATGCGTGACCTCCACATTTCAGAAGCCAAGCAGGTGTGGGCCTGGATATTGCTCCTCTGAGTTGACCACCGTGTACACGAAGATGTTACAGGCGGTTGTGGGACTGTGCTCTATTGTAGGCAGCAGGGAGTAGTGCAGAATAATCCATTGTTGTACTGAGATTCTATGAATCGATGTCTATGATCGCCACCATGGCCAAACCACACCGGTGAAGTACTGTCAAACAGCCGCCATGATCCCCACTAGTCCGCACTTACTAGAGTGGGGAAGTACGGTCAAAAAGCCTCCACAACCCCCCAATAAACTACGCTGATCAACTACGGTCAACTCTCATTTACCCTCACCCAGCAGTTAATTCACGTAAAAAGGCGGCATGTGTATAGCTAGTCAACCCAAAAAAAACCTGTATTATGTATTATGGCACGTGTATATATGTATATTTAAGAAGGGGCATGGCAGGGGGGTGGGGAGATTTGTCTGTGGGGTGTTGCGAGGGTGTCCTTACGTCGGGATGGAAAGCGTGGCATGAATCCGGTCTGCGGCGAACCTTCATCGAGCGCATGCGATTACACTTCACCGATTCATTATGTGAGCACAGTCAAGGGGCCGTTTTGAACAAATGGGAGCAACAGATATTCCGTCGTGGGTAAAGAACGCGCCTGCCATGCGTCGGGTTTGGAGGCCCGTGAGGTCGGCCACAAGTCGAAGCCATCTCTGTGGACCTTGTGCGGGTGGGTTTTCCCTGGCTACTCCCGTTTCCTCACGCATGCCTCTTTAAGGGGAATGAATCCGGAATCCAAAGACAGGACTTCACTGGTAGAATAATGTATGTATGTTGAACTTCTTTCGCACCGTACGTAGCCAATGAGACTCGGTGAGGCTTAACCGAGTAATCAGTGAAGCCTTCTTGGTTGATTGATCCACGCCTGTGAAATTTAGATGTTTTAACTCGCAAAGTTTGTGACGTATTTTTATTAACCTAACGTAATAATAATAATAATCTTGTTCAAATTATTTAAAGAGTTGCCGACATTTAGAAGAAAAAACACACATTATGAGAAGGTGCATTAAAACTCAATCGAAATGTATAAATGATAAAACAAAGACCTCTAAACTTCACTTATAGAACGAGATAAGTACAAGTATTATAATACATATATATTCTGGACATGTAAATAAGTAAAGTTACTCAATGCTGCTGTAGTGCAATGATGAACAAACTGGACTTGCAATCCAGAGGATGTATGTATGTTGAACTTATTTTGCATGCTGGCAGTTAAAATAACGGGCAAGTTTTATTACTTCCACCCTCCCCCCGCCTCGTCCACCCACCCAACATTATAATTGGGTAGCGCTCAGTTGGTCGATCGGGAGGTCACATCCTCCGAGATGTCTGACCAGCATGGAAGAGTAAGCCCTCTAGAGGGGCCTCGCAGTGGCGCAGCCATCGAGTGTGCAGGCGGTGCAACTGCACCAGGGCCCAGAGGGGCACAGGAGCCAGACTACCCTCTAGTAGAGGCCATTCTGCCGGTAGTGGCCGTGAGCAGGCAATTGCAGCGCTGCACCTTTGCCGGTGCTCACAAACTTGCAAAAAAAAATACACATAAACAAAGATCTAAAACGTAAAATAGTTGCGAAACTGGATGAACACTGAAGTGCCCACTTGTAAGTATTGTGATGCACAGACAGGGGTTGGGAGCACGAAGAGGATATATTTAATTTCGTAGGAGTTGAGCAAGATCGGAGCCACGGTGATGCACTCGCAGTCACCGTCCACAACCACCATCATCAGGTTGCTATAAGGGATCTGCTGCATGACAAACGTCCTGGAGAGAGAGAGAGAGACACACACAAGGTCACAGGTGAGACGCTGCACACAACACCGTGCATGAGACACGCCGTGCGGAAACATCTTGGATGCTGCGCTAGTTCATTCTGCAAGTCCACGTGGCTGCACTTGGCATAGCGTGGTTGATACGGGCCCTAGTGTGGGGAATTCAATGGGGCACCCTGTCTAATCTCCTGCCCTTCTTGGTAGTCTGGCTCCTGTGCCCCTCTGGGCCCTGGTGCAGTTGCACCGCCTGCACACTCGAAGGCAGCGCCATAGCGAGGCCGTTGGGTTATGCGTGCTTATGTAAAATAATCCAAACATTGACGAGTCAGAGACTGGTCGTATAAAACACACTTGGTGGCAGTGGGGGGGGGGGGGGTAATAAAGGGCAAAAACATCGCAGGGGATTTTAAGTGAATGGCCAGAAATTAATATCTTCATGAAACAGCTGAAACACATCGCCCTGGCAATTTTCAATGTTCTGCATATTAAAGACATCTGCACATTTTTTTGTTGCTGAACATCTGGTGAAAATAAATAAATGTCAGCACCTGATTCGAGCACAGAGGCGTCTGTGCTCGAATAGAGCATCGGCGAGGTGCGGCATCTCAGTTTTGTCGATCTTCGGTCGTAAGTGGTGGGTCCACATACCCGTGGTCGGAGCCAGTTTATCCATGGCACGACCACTGTTGATTGTTGCACACGTCGTTGCAACATTTCGTTCACCCCAGAAAGATGATAATAAGGGATGGGGGTGGGAGGGAGAAGTGGCAGGACTGGTTGCGAAATTACTTCCTTTCATCAGTGGCCAACAGATTACTAACATAGGTGGGAATCCAACTCAAGGTCCCAGGTTCATGCCGCAGGCTGCTAACCGCCGCGACACGAACGCCATCTGAAATATAAATGTGGAAAAAGTTACGTAAAGCCATCATCATGACTGGGCTCCTCTCTGGAGGAGTCATAATTTTACCCAAGGCCACCAGAATCTAAGCCACGGTCCGGCTTTCCCACTCCGGCGTGACTGTAAATTCATGTCCGTCCGCACGAAAATTACACGTCGCGCACAGTGAATTGCCAGCGTGTGGCATAGGTGTGGAACGTCGTGACAAGGGCTTCTTGGCACCTCATCTCCTGCGCCAGGAGCCAACGGAACACTCTCCTTGGCCAACGGCCTGTCTGTCACACACTTCCCAATCTCCCGCGACGGCCAGCGCGGTGCCCGACAGCGGCACGCGAAAAGCTCAAACGCGCTCGGGGTTCGAACGTTGGCCGCGCCCGTCGCCAAAAGGTTCTGGTGACGCCACGCACGTTTCTGGCCAATGCGCCGCCAGGGCGAGAGACGCCACGTGATGCGCGGCCAGCGTCCCTCGCTGGTGGGCAGCCAGGCGACTTTGGCACACGGCCCCCCGTGGACGAATGCGCTGGCAGGTTTGCCGTCGGTGCGTAGCACCAGGCACGCTGCGGCGAGTGGCCCCGACATAAAAGGAATGAGAGGACAGCTGGCTTTCAGCTGAGGTATTGCGACGGGAGATGGTACGAGCCCCTCGGTGGGCATGCTTTTATGGGTCCTGTCACCACATCTCACCGCAGACTCATCCTGCCCACAATAAAGCCTTTCTGTAAGCACTGGAAAGAATAGGTTAACAGCAAAAAAAGCCCCAGCCTCTATAATAAATTCTCTGGCGTCTGTGGGTTTGCAGATAATAGATCAGTAATTACAAACTGCCATCGTGAAATTTGTGCAGGTATTTCGCAGGGTTTATCTGATGGTGTCAATTTTTTTTTTATCCATCAGCGTCTTCTTCTTTTTTTAATGGCCCATCGCATGCACTGAAGCAGGGATTTCAATTGCAAACGTACGGTAAGTAACTGGAAGGTTTGGAATAGAGAGTGGAAAGTGAGCATACAGATGTAATTATCAAGAGGGAGGTTGCAATTGGCGTGGGGGAGGGTCACGTTGTCAGGATGGTGGGTGGAAACTTACTGAGAGAGGCATTTTACAATGTGCACCCAGGAGTTAACAACCAACACAGAAGACCTAAAACCTGACGCTGGGATATTGTAAGAGCGACTCACATTCTTCCTCCCTCTGATTTTGTGAGTTTCAGTACAGTATGCGCCTCACCGTGTCCCCTTGAACACTTCTCGGCATTCGCTCAGTTTTCATCCGTGAGCGTTCATGGCTACGATCAATGCCACCGAAGGTAACAACCCACTGATGTTATATGTACGCTACATTCCATAGGACCTATGCGTGCAACCAGACGTCTCATAGTGAGACATTGGGAACCCTGCCGTGGGAATGTGGAAATTACTGCAATGACTCAAGAGCCGCCAGCGGCGGTGAGCGCCACCCTTGCCGTTCGCTTGGACGTGCAGACGCTTTGATGCGCACGAAGCATCAGACAAAGCGGTGTCTGGACACGAGCCAGTAGAGGATTTTGCATTTTGCGCAAGCGTGGGATGGTGTGACCAATATTTTTCGTGCAAAAATAAAAAGGTTAAATAATTAAATGAATAGCATTCTCCCCCTCGTGCTTGTGGAAACTGCCAACAACAACAACAAAAATCTGTGGCTCATGCCGGCAAGCATAAGGAGGTTTTTTGTTGTTGTTGTCAAATATCCGATTTAAATGGCCGTCGCTGCAAAGTTAGGACGACTTAAATTATCCCATTCGCCGGGACGGAATGACGGCAGAGAGGCTGGAAGAAGGAAACACGCGGATCAGAGACTGTGGGGCAAGTTAAAGACATCCACGTCGACTGGCAAGAGAGGTAAGTGGGCTGGGGCGGCAGTCGTCGCTTAACGAGACGCATGACCGATGGCCAAGACTAATGACGGAGTGGCAGCCGCAGGAACGCGCCCACGAAGACATCCGCCACGCGGTCATGAACCAGATGGATTGTTGAGACTGTGAGAGGTGGCGACGGCTTAGCAGTGGATAGAGCATAGCACAATTGTGTACGTAGATGTTGAAGCTTTTTTTCGAACCGTACGTACTACGTAGCCAACTGTGCTAATCGGAGGTGTGGAGGGGAAGGACAACAAAACACAAACGGCAGTTCTAAAGCAATGACTTTTCAATCTAGATTTAAAAGGGCACAGCTCCAGTGGCTTCCTAATATCAGAAGGAAGAGCGTTCCAGACGGCCGCAGAAGGGCATCTGAAAGCGCGCGATGCGGTGACCGTCTTTGTTCGACGGTTAACCAAAAGCTGATGTGAAAATGACAGGCGTTTGCGTGATGATGGTTTATGCTCCTTGAAAATAAATTATTATAATCATAAAGCAAAAGTAGTATAATTAATTTAGCTCATAATGATTGCTGAATAAATGCTTAACTAAGTCTCACCATGTATGTATTAGAAATCTTTCGGTAAAGTCACGTAGGTATTTTATACCTACGCGACTTTACGGAAAGAACCAAAGAGTATGGATTCCTGCAGTCACGAAAGCTTACAATCAAGATTACTACCAATCTGTCTAAGGCGCCAACGTGACTGGCACATATGAGAGAGTCGAACCCCGTATAGACTGCCACTGTGTTCCCGTGCAAGGCAGGGCAGGGTCGAAGGGTGTACAGGGGAGTACGTTTCTTTTCAAACCGCTCACTTTCGGCAGCCGCAGTTGAGGATACCGTTGGTCTCTTGGATGGAGCGGTCAGAAATGAACGCGGAGAAGGTGGTGTCACATGGCTCCAGGACGTCATGCTTCCTGTGTTTGTGCGCTGACGACACAAAGACCCGCACCTCCGATTAGCACGGTTGGCCTACTACCTACGGCACGAAAGAGATTCGACATACATGCTGTGCATACAAAGCGAGAGCCCAACATGGTGTGTGCACTCATTCTGAGTTCGCAGGGGTGGACGCTGCGAGCCATCCTCAATCTACCATGATTGGATCAGGAGCTACTCAGCCATCGATTAAATGAGTACCGATTAGCGATAATTCAACAGTGGTCCAATGGAACATATTTTGGCCCCCGCCATAGGAACGTGGAATTTCCATCACTATCTCGGAGTCACCCAATTGCTTTTAAAAAGCTTAATAAATAACTCACCTTCTTCGAATCGGGTTGAGTAATAACTCGATCGCTTGTTAATCGCCACTACCGGCACCATGTCCTGTGAATTAAGTACTGATTCTGCGGTAGTGTTCTGATCATAACTGTCTGTCATGTACGATCCACTACTGGATGAGGGCCTGCACATGCCGTGCGGGTCATGAGGCCTATTTGACCATATGCCTGATGTCACCCCCAGCATTTATCAATTGGTGGAATTTGTCACGAGTAGCTTATATCTTCATAAACCCCATTAATTACACCCTATACATTATTCAACAACATTTAAAAGTTGCATACGTTTCTCTCATGTTTGTAAGTAGGTTAATTCATTTTGGAAGGGTGTGTTAATATTTGCATATTCCGCAAATTTTCTAAATAATATTAAATTTAATACGTTGACCTTTATTTGAACTAAAGAGCAAATAGGAAGCAGGATTTACCACGATGCTGCTTTACCACTGTTTAATTTTCCGCTGCTAAACACTCTAAAATTAACAGTCAATACAAACTCTAACCACTCTATTTAGCTGGGTGGCAGAGGAGCGCGGCGGTTAACGCACCGCACTTCTGAAACCGCCAACCTGAGTTCGATTCCGGGCCACAGCGAGCACATCAACGCTGCGCGAGATGTCTCTATCCCATGTCAACCACCCCACACTGACCAGCATGGTGGCCGGCGCGATGTAAACAACTCCCATGACGGACAGGGCACGAGGCATTAGTGCGGCATTAACGGATTGACAACTGGAAGCACATTATTATTATAATAAACACAGAACTCCATTGTTCTTCGTGGCCTAGACGTGGTTGCTTTCCACGGGACCCTCATGGGCTTATTTTGTGCAGTTCACAAAAGTGCACTTCAATGCGACTCAAGCTTTTCAAACACGACCGTTGGGCATAACAGAAGAAGAATGAGAAAAAAAATCAACCACCACGAAGCGACTTATTGTCACGCCCCTTCCACATGCGTCAATAATTGGCGGCAGATTGACAGGAGGGCAGAATGTAAGTAAATGTGCCCCGTGTCCTATATAATGCGACCCAGAGCGGAGCGGGCGGGCGGGAGAAATGAAATGTGTACCATCTCTGCAAATATATTGCTGTAATGTGTTTACGTAGCCTTCGGCAAACCGCGGAATGAAAAGATCCGACGACTCCATTTATACGGGCACGGTAATGGTGCTTTGAAGTAGAATGAAATCAAATGGAACTTTGAGGTTCTCTGGCTAATGCATGGGCCGCGACTACGCATTGAGATTAACGTGCGCTGGCAGTGCCCTCTGGTGGTGTTAGATCACAGCACGGATTGTTTGAGCGCCACGATATTTTAACTCCTGTGATATTGAAGACTGCCGGATCAAGGCTGGATTGATTGTGACTTCGGCTAATATCACGATGCACAGAAACCACGACGCAGTCAAGGCAATAAACATGAATAATAATAATACTATACGCCCTCTTCTCAATATGCTATCGGACAAAAGGACTCCCCGTGCCGTGTCGAACATGGGGGGGGGGGGGGGGAGTTGTTTGACCATACTTCACCGCATTGGTCTCTGTCGGGTGGTGAAGCAGGGAGAGGGGTTCAGATAACATTTATGGTAGGTGTGCTAAAGAATTAAACTCAGGTCGATAGTTTCATAGCACAGTGTGTGCCACTGTGCCCCCTACCAAAGACAAGATCCTCCGGGTTTTCCCATCCACATTTAGAAACAAGCATTTCGAGTATTTGGCCGCCAGTAGGTTTGCAGAGTACCTTCGTCTTGGAAAAATCTATTTCGTGTGTGTCCACAGCGTTAAAGCAATGATCTGCTAAGGCCGAGGTATTGGTCCTACCGTGTTTCAGATCTGCCTTGTGTTCACAAACACGGTCCGAGACATGTCGCTTAGATTCGCCAATGCAACTACTGCCGCAGCCACAGCTTAGTTTGTAGACACCAGGGTATTGCATGTCAGGGATCACATCCTTCACAGATGGGATCAGATCACGAATTTTATGTACTGTGTTAAATCGAACCTGGATCTTGTGTTCATGATTTTGGAAATATTTTTGGTAACCCCTGCTATGTATGGCAAGGTGATGGTTTTGATTGGGTCCTCAGATGGTTCTTTCCCGGGCAGTCGTCAGGACTAACCGGCTGCAATCCCACCGCTTAAGCTCGATCTCTCTCAGAGAGTCAACTTCTGAGTGAACTCTTTCTGAAAGGTCGAGGGGTGAATATAAACAAATATATACCCCGCGCGTATACTCATGTGACTATGCAGTGTGTTGAACGATCCCTTCGATAAATTATTCACGTTACCTCCTCGCTACACGGATTAAGCACACAGGCATATGCAAGCTGCTCAAATCGCTCCAAGGAGGTAAATCCGTGTGCAAACCAACCGTGGCTTTTGAATTCCACCAATCAGGGGCTGGCTTTTATGATCGACGAACGCGAACACGAAGAGCGGTAGCTCATTACCTCCCTCTCCCTCGCACCCCCCCCCCCCCCCCCCCCCCCAGTTTGTTTTGTAATAAATCATTGGCAGGTCGCTTTCAGAATTCCATTTTTCATGACTGGAACAAGTACAAAAAAATGGCTCAAAGATTCCAAGGCGATATCGATGGAAAGTACTTACACGAGTGGAAGACGGTCTTGGCTGCGACACGTAGGCGAGAGGGCACATTTGATCGAGAAGGGGAGAGGAAAAGAGACGACGATTGAATAATGTACACACACATATCATGGACAAATCATCTCGTAAAGTGCCACGTGAAGCAATTGTGTTTGAAGACCGTTGATGGCACACAAGCTGACCACTTGTCAGACCCTCCCTGCTGATTTGTTTCCAAATGCAGGCTGCACTGACAGGCAGGTATCGGCAACTTGGTCTGAATGGTGCATGTTGCGGGCCGTCCATAAATGACGTCACGCATTTTGGACGATTTTTTACCCCCCCCCCCATCACACGGCGTCACAAAAAGTCAGACCCCCCCTCAAATATGACGTCACAAAGCTCTGCCTCCCCCCCCCCCAAAAAAAAATATATGCTTCAAATCGCTTCCACCTATTGCCATTGTAGTGCGTATTTAATGTGCCGTTGCACTCTGATGTGTTATTTTATTTTATCAATTTATTATTTTATTCTCATTCTACGTGACTTTACCGAAAGAACCAAAGAAGAAGAAAACATTTCTTAAAAAGTCTATTTAATTAAGTAAAACGTGTTGTCTGTATTTATTTAAAGTTGCGCATTTTGATGTGACGTCACATTTCTCAAACACCCCCCCCCCCGTCACACATCGTCACAAATGTCTGACCCCCCCCCCCACCCCCTAGGTGCGTGACGTCATTTATGGACGGCCCCTTGGCTAAACACGTGACAGAAGTTACATTTATCCCAGCACTGCACTTTCTTTAGTGTGGCGGTCTATTGCTGGGTGATGGGGGGGGAGCAGAGAGTAGAAAGTCGTTTTGTTTGCCAAAGTGACAAATTAGTGCAACATGTGCTAAATTATCCAGACACACTTTGCTTGCCAGAGAAGCAAAACCGCGGGACTTCCAATTGAGCACATGGAAAGTATGACATTAAGGAGTCAATTACCGGCCTGTGCTGGCTTCGCAAAAGTAATGAAGTTTTAAATATTTGAACGCCCGCATTCTCCGCTAATATGGAATGCGCTTCGTACAATTGGGTCACGTGAAATGGGAATGCAACTGAGCAGTGTCCGAGTGGTTGCACTTTAACGGGTTCCCCGCGTGAACAAAAGGTATAATTACCTGGGGGGTACAACGCACATTTGTACGGTGCTATGGTGCTTTTCCCTGCGCCTTACAAAGGTTTGCGGTTCTTTGTTTCGGCCCGTTTAGATATTAAGTGAATCCCAAGCAGTGCATTATTCATGAGACTCATAGAGATCTCCCCCCCCCGCCGAACCCAAGGGCTGTCGTTTGCTGATGAATTTTTAATGGCTGCGTTTTGGATCCCTTCGGAAAAAAGTCTGGGGGGGTTTAGTGTTTTTGGCTCGAGCGGGCATTTGTTTTTCCGCTGCCGCGCGTGAGAGGGCGGCGCTTTTGAGCGCTGGCACGGGCAGTCAGCGCCGTCAGTCGCCAAGCGTGTCACGTCCGCGTGTGTGCTCACCGTGCGACGTGTAGCCCGAATACCACCAGCTGTAGACGTTGAACTCCATGAAGAACCTGCCGGGATCACGGATAACTATTCTTTCCAGCGTACAAACCCGGCCGCGCGCACGGTCGGCCCAGGAAGCGCCAGGTTGTTTGTTTTTGGTTTCTTTCTCTGCAGCGTGAGCCGAGCTGTGCCGCCAATGTCACACGCGATGAACAAGTCGAGGCGCATTCGGTGTGACGCGGCGACGCTGAGAGTTGTGCAGTGTACCGACCGATGTCACATTTCATGAACGAGTGAACATGCATGTCGACGATCCGGTGACGCTGTGCTTGAGTTTTGTACTGACCAGCGTGTGAAACGAACGCGTCATTCGCCCCGCTCATGGCCCTGCTTGGCCCCGAGCCAGATTTCAGATGTTCGTAAGGCCAGCGTATATCAAGGTTTGGTTCTGGCTCGACACGGCAAACCCACCTATACCGCGAGGACCCCTGCGTCGACTCGCTCTGGGAGGTGCCAGTGGAAAATTGGTAAAACAGTACCGCATACTGTCACGCCACGGTACTCAAGAGGTAGAATGGATTAAATTGCCCCATGCGCTAATTTGCTCCGTGGAATTCGATCGAAAATTCCTCAATTGTGTTTCATGGCCTTGGCGTAAGACATCAACCGGCTATCTTAATTCACCATTCATGCTGAATCGCCCATTCCTGTAAAGACGCCCACTCCTCGAGTTCTAACTTAGCTATAGTAATAGGTTTTTACCCTTTTAACTGGCACAAAAACTGACACTTTATTCAAGGCATCATGTTTGCAATAACCACAACACAAGCAGTCAAAATGCAAACAAAAGAGACAACTCTGATAATAATATGCACTGTCCTTGAATTTGATTGGTCCACACCCGAGACGGCTTTTCTTAGAGCCTAGTTTCCACTGGTGTTGGACCAGAAGACGCCAAAAGGCGTACAACTCAAAAACAGTGCACTATCAGAGTATTGAGGGCTCGGGGTGAGCATTTACATTATGAGAACTCCTATGCCAGTTAAAAGGGTAACACATATTACTATATCTTGTTACTGGCAAAGGAGGTCTCATAATGTAAATTCTAACTTAGCTGTCAAGGAACCAGGTTTCATCAGCTGTGAACTGCTGTGATCTTAGGTCGTATACTTCGGTGGTATTACCACCTTGGTTCATGGTATACTACCTAACGTGGAGAAACGTTGACGTTAAATCAATTTAATAATGATGAGTTCAACTTGCAATGCGCCGCATATGATTTTCTCGCTCTCGAAGAATAAAGAACGACTCGGAGGCATTAGGAACCACAAAGAGGTAGGAAGGAAGCAGCCGAGTCGTGAGCTGGTGCCAACAATTGTCCAAGCTCTGTGCTCCTCTATATTTTAAGATGTTTTCAGCCAGAGCGATGTGTCTATACGTGGGGGACGAAACCGGAGCACCCGGAGAAAAACCCACGCGAGCACTTGGGCAACATTCTATCCCATACGGATGTAACCAATGGAGATTTTGTTAACATTTTGCTGTATCGCATTATCCCGGAAATTCAGGGTATGGCGCCTCAACACTCACGAGATGAAGCACTATCCCAAACCGTGATAATCACGGGGGTTGTTTGACCATACTTCACCATGGCTGTCACTGCGGGCTTTCGAAAGTGCTACCAATTTCTTTATATGGGCAAACATAAGTAATTTATGCAACTACCTGCTCATTTTTGTCAATGGGTTTCACGTAAAACACTTTTACTGGTAGGAAACGTAGTGGACTGGAAGCCCAACCGGGATTAATGCACAGGAGGCAGGGGATTCATTGTGTATGTCTGTGGATGTCTGTCCACGTGTATCCGGACACCCGGATATATAACAAATGCGCTCCTAGTGGGCATTACTGGTAGGAAACGTAGTGGACTGGAAGTCCAACCGGGATTATACTGGTAGGAAACGTAGTGAACTGGAAGCCCAATCGGAATTAATTCACAAGAGGCAGGGGATTCATTGTGTATGTCTGTGGATGTCTGTCCTCGTGTATCCGGACACCCAGATATATAACAAATGCGCTCCTAGTGGGCATTACTGGTAGGAAACGTAGTGGACTGGAAGCCCAACCGGGATTAATTCACAGGAGGCAGGGGATTAATTGTGTATGTCTGTGGATGTCTGTCCACGTGTATCCAGACACCCGGATAAAATGGGAGGGGTGGGGCTGGGTGGAGAGGGTAGGGTGGGGAGGGGCTGGGTGGGGAGGGGAGGGTGGGGAGGGGCTGGGGAGGGTGGGGAGGGGCTGGATGGGGAGGGTGGGGAGGGGCTGGGTGGGGAGGGAGGGGCTGGGTGGGGGGTGGGGAGGGTGGGGCTGGGTGGGGGGGGTGGGGAGTGGGAGGGGTGGGGCTGGGTGGGGAGGGGCTGGTGACCCCGTGGTGCCCTTATAAAACTCAACTTTTAACCTACTCACGCCGGCTTGTGCCCCGCCTCACAGTCAGGGCATATTTGCGGAATACACCACGTGCCGCCGTTGACTCTGGCCATTGACCGAGCAACCCAACGTTCCTACCAGCTCCCTCTGCAGGAATGTGTTTATTTGCCCGTGTAGAGACATTGGTGCGAGTGGAGATTTACCCTCCACATGTGGTACCCATAAGATGATGTATGGTTGTATGGTATTGGGCTGACGCATTTCCTATTGATATTTCACAATGTGGAGTGTCGGTGACAACACTGTCGGAAGCACACCGGTATTTATATATCTTAAGACTCATTTGTAGGAGGGTCCTGCCAGTGGCAGTTTCAGGGGGGGGTGGGGGCAATACGGGCAATCGCCCCCCCCCTCCATCAACCTCCCCCCTACACAACCTGGAGACTCCGAAAAAAGGTAATTTATTGATATATCAAATAAAGTACCGTATATTGAATGTTTATTGTTATATTTATATAGGGCCTTATTTTAAAAACTTGGCATTTTGGGATATCTCCTAAATCCCTTGGGAAGTTCCTAGATTTGCCCCCTGCATTGGAATATTTGGCCAAATTCCTGAAGAAATTGAAGTGCCGAGACAAAACCGAAGGGAAACGAAAGAATACAAATAAAAACCACAGGCAGGTTCACGTACGGTACCGACTTTCTGTACTGCCATCTGCTGGCCATCCCATGGCTCAGCAGGTTTGAGAATTTCTCGAGCGAACACGATCCACCCAACCTCCTTGCCTCCCCATTTACTGGACCATCACAAGCGTGTTCCGATATATTTCCACGAGTGCGGGATTTTAATCGTCGCAATTAGTCCAAAGGAAAACGTAGATGCACGCGCGAAGGATGCACGTGCTTTTTGCGGTGTCTGTGGCGATGCAGTGTCTGTGCTGGAAATGGGCGATTACGTGGGTGCAAAGATGATAATAATAATGTGGTGCATGCGCTAATTAGTAGGCAGTAGATGTTGGGTCCTGCTGTGTTGGGATATAAGGTGGAAGTTGCACAAATACTCGACTGTTTGGTACCTCCCTAACTATTATTACTTTCATCATCATTATTACCTTCATCATCATTATTGCCACAATCATCATTATCATCATCATCAGAACCATCATCATTATTTGTACAGCGTCTCAAGATGCGGTTTACATTGGAGGTACAAGAAATACACGTTGCATTGAGCTCGCTTGCGACAATCACGAGCGCTGAGCAGCTGTTTCACGGGTCTCAGCCATGATAATGTGGAATTTCAGGACCGCCAAGACGTTCACCACCCAGTTCTCATTTAAGCAAAGAGGACACGGGGAGATTCTGTTTTTAATTTTGACAGAAATCTCGTGAATTACAAATGTGAAAGTGTCCCAATGTAGTACCATCCTGAAAAGGAGTTTTGAGACATAGATGCTTCCGTGTGTAATTGGCATTATTATGTAAAGTGTGTATTTTTTGTGTGCCGTGTGATTGCTGCAGTGCAGTGTTTATGCAGATGACTAAGATTATGCCCCCCGTGTATAATATCTTTAGACGCCGAATTCTTTGTTTAATTATATTTTAACATCACGCACGAAGCTCTATAAGCCCACATTAGGCTTAACATGGTGAGACGTACGCACTAATTAAATAGCAGCATGGATTAATGATGACATTACATTTAATGCGCACTTACACTGCCAGTTCGGTTACGATCCACTTCATCGCCGCGATGAAGGAACGGTATGGCTGCAAATAAAACACGCACACAAACAAAGACAAAGATCCCCCATAGAGCGTTCAACAGACCGATGGGGGGCAAGTTCTGGACGGTCACGAGAGTGTGAGTGGCTAGCAGGACACCCGGCCGAATTGTTTCCACGATTATGATGTTTACACAACCGCACCGGGGATTCTTTTTGTAAGGCTGAGTCGACCTAGGGGCGGCTCAGGGACCAGTTCAGACATTCGTCACCAAACGTTGGTCGCGAGCGGTAATTGAACTCTGTTCGCAGGTCTCGGTGCGCCACCCACACACACACACACCTCCGCTGGCTACGTGCGGTGCCAAGGAAGTTCAGCACGTTACACACGTACGCGCGTGTACGCACGCGCACAACAGAGGCGCACACAACGGCTTGTTGAGTCGAGTGCACCGTTATAGTTGCAGCACCGCGCTGCAACATTACAGGACCACGTTGCTTTGCTCCAGTGGTAAAAGCACGCGGTGCGTTCGAGTGAGCGAGCGAGCGTGCTGTTGCTGCTGCTGCTGCTGCGAAGTCTATTTTTGAGCGCAAGATGCCCGCGGGGGAGGCAAGGCGGGGGTGGGGGTCTGTGAGAAAGAGGGCAACGCCAAAGCTGCGCGAGCGTGGGCAGATCTGGCGTTCAATTAAATTTGAACGCTTCGGGAATCGCGGGCCACTCACGTTGAGCAAGTTGAAAGCGCTGCTCTCGTAATCCAGGTGCCTCTTGCACATGGCCTGGTAGTCGTACATCTCCCGCCTGCAATGCAACGGAAGTTATTTGCAGCGGTCCCGCTTGCCACGGGGGAGAAGGGAAAAGGGGGGAGCCTAAGGGCAGCTCGTATGGGACAGGCTGCAGGCAGCACTGATTGATACTCAGTGCAAGACTGGTTAGCCTCAATCTGCGTCACCTGGCCACCATCTCCCGCGTGGTCATAGGGGCCGTCCATAAATGACGTCACGCGATTTTGAACGATTTTTGACGCCTCCCCCCCCCCGCCCATCGTCACGCGGCGTCACAAAAAGTCAGACCCCCCCCTCCCCTCAAATATGACGTCACAAAGCTCTGCCCCCTCGCCCCCACCAAAATAAAACATGCTTAAAATCGATTTAAACTATTGTCATTGTAGTGCGTATTTAATGTGGCGCTGCACTCTGGTGTTGTAGGATACATTTTTATTAAAAAGTCTATTTAACTAAGTAGAACGTGTTGTCTATTCTTATTTAAAGTTGCGCATTTTGATGTGACGTCACATTTCTCAAACCCCCCCCCCGTCACAAATCGTCACAAATGTCTGACCACCCCCCCCCCCCCCAGGTGCATTACGTCATTTATGGACGGTCCCATACAGGCTTATAAACGCCACAAGATTGTACATGCACGAACATTATTTTTTTGTTAATCCGTGACCGGACGAGGACCTTCCCGTGCCATGCTTTTTTAAGCGAGGTTATTTGACCGTGCACTTCGCTGAGCTGGTGAGAATGGGTTGGTGCAAGTGGGGAGCGTACACCTGGGAGACTAGAAGAGTAGAACAAATGTTGTTACAAAGACCCTATGCTGCCCACAGCATAGCCCAACAGCCCTGTGGCAACTTGCTCTGCACCTGGTGGTCAACCCACACGAGCAGCATCCAGGCTGCTTAGCTATCAAGGCATGACAATATTAATCACGTTAAAAACTGTACCCCGATTAAAATTGCACACCTACATAGAGGCATTATTGGTAAATTAAAAACGACGTTAAATGAAAATATCGGATTTTTATTTTGTTTTGCAATCGTACGAACAGCCTGTTGGTAACGAAGAGTTTTCCTCGTTCGAAAACCCTTCGCTTCTTTTTCTAAGGCTGTGCTATTTAGTGAGGAATTAATATATTTCTCTGTCGGCTGACACAAAATTGCCGAACCTCCACGGGAATTCACCGACCAGTGGTGGTGTGTGGCCAACAGAGGTAGGGAAAGGACGCAAGGCCGCCACTGCGCCAACCGTGGCACCCTGAAGGGTCACACTTGCCAAGGCCCTCCTACAGGTCTGAAAACTCCATCAATACCAGCCCGGCCACCATCATTACCACCATTAACATTACCCCCACATGCAACACCACCATTTGTACCTTCACCATTACCACGGCAATCACCACCAGCCAGCACCATTACAACATTAACACAACAGCCAATTGTCATTATGATCACCACCACAATCATCACTACCGTTACCAGCACCACTATCATTAACATTACCTGTACACAACTCTCTCATTTGACTACATCTGTTCCATCCGTATATACCCACATGAGCACTCTCATCACCATCAATGACACGATCACCACGATCACCACCATCACCACTAGAATCACAACCATCAGCATCCTCATTCCCATTAATTTCACAACCAGCATCACGACCACATTGTTGCTTCACATGCGATGCAAACTATATCCTCAACTTACACTCCACAGAACACGTGCTTCTCACTTGCTAAGTTCCCACGCGGTGACGGGGCCCAGCGGTAGCGTGTTCTCCACTTGCTGCAGAGGTTCACGGTTCGAATCGCACGGCCACTCCTATTATCACCGCGTGTGTGATAACCATTATTATAATGATAATACGCGCCCTGTCTGCTTCGCAGTGGACGTTAAAGATCCGCTGATGTCGTTCACAAGAGCAGGCCGTTGTGTGTCGGCGTCAGGGTGCAAATTTGCCATCGCAGAAAATTCCCCCCAAATTGCTGCGGTTGATGGTGGTGAAGGTGGCACGTTGACCAATCCTGCTCGGCCGGTTAACGTTCTCGCGGTCGTCTCTGCGTCACCCCCCCCCCCGACCTCACCGTATGAACGCTCCAACGCTGAGCAGCTCGCTCATAACGGCCCCGTCCACCACCCCGAAGAATTCTCCCGTCTGCGGGCAAGCGAGAGGCACGCGCGGATAACGTGGGGATGGTGAGTTGGTGCTGCTAGCAAGCTAAGCAGAAGCTTAGGGGGCCCCCGATCGGCTCAAGGTGTCCCGAATTGATGGAAAAAAATATATGGGAGCATCAAATATCGGCTTAAATTTAAATCCTTATAAGCATGACAGGTGAATGAACGTAAAACATGGCAATTAATCTCATCTGTACATTGCATATCTTTTTTTTATTATCAAACTTCATGTCGCTCTTGTCCAAATCTCTTCCATTTCACTCTCATCTCACCACATTTCTTTCTATCGCCTACGTCTCTTCTGCCATCTAATCGGTTTGGTGAAAAATAGAAAGCGGGGCTCCACCACTTTAGACGGTGACCGTGGCATTTTGAATTTGCATTTTCATTGCGATATCGGTATTGCTGGGTATGCACGGTGCCTCTGAAAGTTGTCATCTTTCACACACACGGCAAATAACAAAAACGTCAATCGTTACTTTGTTAATTTGTATACAATTGGGAGTCAGTATACATTGCGGTTTCATTCGTACATAAATGTTGGTAATACAGATGTAGCAATGAGTAATTATCATTGTTTATTGCGTTGAAAACGATGAATTTCCTATATTTTATTTCCACATTTGGATTGTCCCCCTTCTTGCTGTGCTAATTTAAATCCCGTTTTATGTCGCTCATATCCATGACAGAAATGTTGTGGCTTGGCTCTCCAACAAACCGGTGTGCTTTACTAGTGACGAAATGGCCACGTTCTGTTTACGTGACAACCCTTACTAGTTGGCTGTGTCGGGTGGTGACGGGTTTTAACGACACATTTATATATTTACCCCTTCTATTATAGATGATATTGGTCACGAAAGCCTACTACGTGTTAGATCGTTCATATCGTTGTATGCTCGACACCGATATTATGGGTCGCTGCTGCTGCTGCTTGGCTGCGGTTTCGGCAGCAGAGGGCATTGTCGTTGTACTGCACTATGCTTCCGCATCTCTGCTCTCCCCACCTTCACCAACCCGCACGGAGGATGGTCAAACATCCCCCACAACCAGCACGGCATGGGGAGGCCCTCGTCCAGCAGTGAATTGACAAAAGGGGGCCATGCGTGTGAAATGTAAATTTAAAGCTAAGGGGCCGTCCATAAATGACGTCACGCGATTTTGGACGATTTTGACCCACCCCCATCGTCACACGGCGTTACAAAAAGTCAGACCCCCCCCTCATATATGACGTCACAAAGCTCTGCCCCCCCCCCCAAAACAATAAAACATGCTTCAAATCGCTTTAAACTATTGTCATTGTAGTGCGTATTTAATGTGGCGCTGCACTCTGATGTTGTAGGAGAAAACATTTATTTTAAAAAAAGTATATTTAATTAAATAGAACGTGTTGTCTATATTTATTTAAAGTTGCGCATTTTGATGTGACGTCACATTTCTCAACCCCCCCCCCCTCATCACACATCGTCACAAATGTCTGACCCCCACCCCCAGGTGCGTGACGTCATTTATGGACGGCCCCTAAGCATCTTTAAATCAAGAGATTCTTGTTTTAATTAATTCTTATTTAGATTTCAAATAAATTCAACTAATATTGGCAGCCGAAGCTTATTTTATGTATTCATGTAGAGTTCATGAGCACTTGCAATCTTTTAGACAATCTGTTGTTTCTCAACTGCAGTTTTTGCGATTTTAATGTTTTTTTTTTTTTATAAACGAAATGTTCAGCCTTTTTGAGCTCGTTTCACTGTCGCTGCAATTCGTTGTCACGTGCCATGAGTCGACACAAAGGCAAATTTGATTTTGGGGTGGGATTCGGGAGGGGGAAGGGCGATGTGGGGGGGGGACAATATCAAGGAACAGCGCGATTACTGATGCGTCAATTTCGGACGATGCTCAATATTCGCGCAGTAGCGGCGACGGCGTCATTTGACCTCCCAGCATTTTTTTGTTGGAGGGAACTGCCGGGAAGCCATCACGTCGATCGAAGGAGACAAATCTAACGAACGTTCTCAACCGCTGATCGTTGGCAGCTGTTCCAGCAAATGGCAGCGATGTCGCTAAGCCCGGGAATTTCACCTTTCAAGAAAAGGTTTGAACGTTTTAGTTTTAGTCATGGAAATCTGATGGATACTTCATGACCGGACGATGCAAGCAAGTAGGATTTTAATTTCACATTAATTGGAGATGATTTCATAAAATGGATGACAGCGGGCAGATGACGATAATGAGAATCAAGTATTTTTGCACATTTGAGCTAACCGATACAATACACCGTGTGTGCTTACGGCGATGGTCATTGCCAAATGTGGCTTGAGAGCTTGCGATCGAATTAACCATGCTACTTACAGCGCTTCGAAATTTATTAACGCTCAGCTTCATGCAATGCACGGTCCAATTGTGCTTCTGTAAACACGAGCAGCAGAAGCAGATGTTTTGAAAGATGAATATTTTACATAAAGTAAAACTTTTTTGCATGACATCCCATGACTAAAATTAGCAAGATGAAGGTAAAAATGCGGAGCCCAGCGACTGCTTGCTCGTGTCACTGCTGGCGGGAGGCCCTCCACGAGAGGGAACTCTTGAGAGCCGGGTTATTTGGCCTACTCTTCCACGCTGGCCAGACGTCTTCGAAGAAGTGGGAGCACCCACACTATACCCCCAACATCTACGAACGTAAAAGCAATTTGCAGCTCTCATTCAATCCACTACTCCATGAACGCCTTCTCGCGTTCCTTCATTGGGGTTTTTTTTACCCATACTTAACCACGCTCTTCAATACAAATTGGTGAATGTTAGATTTTAGACACGACTGCGAATCGAAATCATATCAATGGGTTTGATATGGAAATGTGATAACCGTCGCTCCAGGGAGATGTGTAACAATAAAACTAAATATTACAGCGGAGTTAAATAATAAATAATCTGTGCAAACACAATATGGATGTATAAACATCACGATGCGTGGTCAGAAATTGTGATATCGCAACAGTTTAGTGTACTAGTTTTGAAATGTCTTGACAGCCACTCATGTGCACCGACACATACCTGGATAGGCTTCACTCACTGATCGTAATCATGACGAGGGTAGCACTGAAAGACGCCTCTGCACTAGGAAACGCTGACCGGAGGTGAAAAAAGCTGGCAAAGAAATGTCTCTAAAACGTTTCGGACAAGGGCAAAAACACGGGGGTCAATTGTCCTTCGTCGGCGGCCGAGATCCTCTGAATGCACGGCTAGAAGATGATGCTTGTGTAGTGACACGGAATGGGTCACTACGTAGCAGAGCGTTGGTTGCTGGCAGAGAAGGGGATCTGCAGTTGCAGCAGCCCTGTCTGTCAGCAGGCCACGTGATAAGCAGGGAGAGGGATGTAGGGCAAAGGTGATAGAGGGGGCACGTGAGGTAAGCCCGGAAACCCGCTGGTAGGTTCTAGAAGGGGGGGCGTGGCCGGGGCGGAGCGAGGCCACGCTGGGAGGATAAAAGGGGACCCCAAGCGAAGGCTGGGGGCTGTTGCCTGGAATGGGATCCCTTCATCGTGCCGTTGGAAGTCTTCGTCACCGTCTTCACCATCTCGGCGTCGTCAATCAGGCAGTCTGCCAGCTGCCCTGACTGGGAGCTGCAGTTACCTTTGTAGCCTGAGAAGGCTGTTAATAGAGTGCCTCCTACTCCTAGTGTCTCTGAATCAGTCGCTACACTCGTACGTGATTTTTTTCGAGCCATGTCAATGGGAGGGACTCATGTGACCCACAAAAGCAGGTCATTGTTTGGGTGCAAAAGCAAAGGATTTGAGCAAGGAAGCCGTGCAGCTGTGACCCTGTGTTGTGTCTGAAGGAGTGGCATAGCTATCGAGTGTGCAGGAGGTGCAACTGCTCCTGGGCCCACGTGGAAATGGAGAGCAGCAGCCAAATACTCTAGGCAGCAGCCTTTGGAAGTCCGCAGATGGGGCCCCATTCCATACCTCGCAACAGGGCCCATGGCCAACCACGCCATGCCACGCCGCTCGTCTGAAGTGCGCTTCTGCAAGACGCATCCTGCACGCTCACCTCTTCGTCGTTCTTGGAGACGATGACGAATCCGTTGTCGTCTATGATGTAGCAGTTCAGCGTCTGGCAAGAGGGTAACCAACGGAATAGATACCAAAGGCAGTGTGCAAGGAGAAGGCCCCATGCGTTCGAGTGTAGAACCCTCCCCCTGAGATGTGATGCCAGAACTTACCGGGTCCTCGCAGTCGATAGGACATCGGCCTTCGATGGCTGAGCACTGGAAGACAGCGGGGGTAACGACATATTAAATTAAATTGTCTTTTTTGGGTTCCCTACCCCCCAGTAATTTTAGCTGACTAGTGGATGAAAATGCACATGGGGTCGAGTGTTTCACTCACGTCAGTATCTTTTGGCTGAGATGTCGTTCGTGTACGTCGAGAAAAAAACAGAATAGGATATTAGTGATTCCACACAATTGTGTAAATACATAGTAACTGGCAAACAAGGTTTTGTTATTAATATTAAAATACCAAGAGCATAACCTCGGTGTGTTACAATTGGGTGGCCGTTTGATGAGATTAATACAATCCTTTGGTGCTACCGGCTTGTCAAAAATGCATTCGTAATTTCGATATCCGTAGCAGCTGCAGACGAAGTTTCATCCTCGCATTAATGATGAATAACGAGACGCGTCGACACGGTCGGTTTGGATAAACAAAAGCAATCACCTCGTCGTTTAATAATTACTTAATCACCTGTTTGGCTGCAGATAAAAACCTCTTCCTGAAGAAGTCCACTTTTATTTGGATTCCCACAGCTGAAAGAGAAGTCGGTGGGGGGGGGGGGGTCAGGGGTAGGGGAGTAGACGAGAGGACAGAGAAGTTAGACATCACGAAGCTTGTAACGCACAATTAAAGCAATCCGGCAGAGCTGCTCCCCACCCACTCGCTGTCAAACTCATGCTAGGACACCGAGGGTTTACTTCAGAGTAATTAAACCGGACCACCTGCTGGTGACCGCAAGAACAATTCAGAATATTTATTTATACTGAAGGAATCCGATGAGCTGTAAATCTCTTTTTTTTCATGGATGTCCAGTAGGGGCGCGGGGTCAGAACGTTACAACACAAATAAAAAAAAACACGATAGGAGTGCAAAGTATCGGAAAGATAAATGAAACCACTAAAAATATATACAAATAAAACTAAACATTGTTTTTAATCTTACCGGGTAAGGCCCATTGAGCTATTAGCCTATTTTTCAGAAGCGACCTGGCCACAAATGATAGCTCAGTGAAGTGGCTTATCACGTGGACATTTAAAGCGGCAAAAATTAATCTAAATAATCTCGACGCATGTTTCTAAATGTGGAGGGAACCACCGGAGGACCCGGAATTCCGTCCCCTGCGGGATTGGAGTGGAGAGGCTTGCGAGACGATGGGCAAAAAATATGGGGTTCGTATATGTTTGCATTTGAAAACGCAGGTCTCCTTTGGAAAATAAAAGAGAGACGTTAGGTATCAATGGAGCTCTCACTTGGTTGTAAATAGATATTTCTCTCGGCCTATTTTTTTCCCATCTTTGAACCAACAAACGAAACGATAGACGTTTACGATTTTTCCGTGGAGAAACATGTTGGTGCCCTTCGGCTGACAAAAAGGATCGTTATTTGTTCAATATGATTTTCCTTCTGAAAATACAAACAACATATTGCAGTGGGACGCGTCCGAATCGAGTGTTTTTTTCTTCTTCTTCTTCTTCTTTCCCTAGGAGAGGGAGCGAAGACGTAACGTCGTGTTGCGTGTTCTCGCTGGGTTGTTACATCGTAGAACTTTCAGGCATGGCAACGACTTTAGGGAGGCCTCCATCCAGCAGTGGATTGATCATGGTTGATGATAATGATGATTAGTTTTCATTAAAACAAATTTCACGCCAATCTTGGGCAGTTTTTAATTCATACATTTGACGTACGTTTCTTTTTTTTTAACTTTCAAATAAGTGCGTGAACAAAGGAAGATGAGTGCCAATGGCACCAAGTGAAAGTTGTCGGGTGTGGAATTTCGACAACTGATAACAATTATGGACGAGGTGACATCCTCGAATGTAAGCAGTTTCCTGTCCTCGGGGGCGCGCGACACAATGGCACGATGCCTTTTACCCATGGCGATTGCGAGTGTGCAACAATGGACGGGATAGAGTTACACAGCGCGGAGCACACGCTGGTCGTAACAAAGCTTACGGCAAAACTGCGTTCTGTGTGTGTGTCACGCCTAGAACAGCGCATTGTGTGTGCGCGTGTGCGTTTCGTGCGCGCTGTACCCGTATGTGTGCCTTTGAGCGAATGCGTGCATCAGTCGCGTGCTGACTGGGCACGTGTATGCGTGCAGAGTCCCGTGTCATTTTTTTTTCTTCTCTATTCCCCCCTTTTCACGCTCGCAGCCGCAACTAAAGCCGACTTGGCTCGTGCTGGGCGAAAACAGACAGCTCTTGTCAAGTAGGGCATCGTCGTCATCATCGTCGTTGCAGCTCTCCCAGCAGAAGCGGTGAGTTTATTTGTTATGACTCCGTCTGCCTTCTTGTTGTGTTCCCATGTGAATGTTTACAATTAGTGGCTGATTGAGGGCACGTTGTCTGCGCGATATGTTCGTCGTACAGACACGGACTACGTAGTTGGGACGTGGATGATTAGGAATTGGTCAAAGTGCCAACGCAGGACGCTGCTGAAAAAAAAAGGCTTGAGACTCGGTGAGGCCCAAATGGATACATTACTTAGATTACTACATTCCATAAAGCACATGTATTATACGGCCATAACTGGGTTCCCTGCTCAAATTGTGACGTTTTATATCATTGTTGACAGTTCTAATTCCGCTTTATTCTATGCAATGCAATGCATTTTTTTACTATGTTAAAATAATAAAATTAAACTTCATTAATCATTGACGAAGGGTTAGCTGGAATACCAATTTACAATCAATTACAATTCTGGTAAAATGTCAAATTGCTTTGTATATGGTTGAACACAGCAACAACCGTGGCACTGCGTGGAAAAATAATGCAATAATGTAGCCTCTCCGCCCCTAGGCTCTCATACACAGCATAGTACTGTCACATTCAATAGTAATAACAATGTGACCTTAACCATTATTTTATAACTGTACCATGACAAACTGAAAACTCCAACATTCATGAAGCTATTTTAAATGTTTATCGGGTGCAACACATTGGATGCGAGCATGACGTACCATTGTAAACTACTCCATCCATGAGTTTACATTTAATGTCTGTCAACGTGAACGTATCTCTATATATTCACACCACAGCTGGGAAAACGTTTAGCGAACAACTAGGAGATAAATAATAGTAAGAATGTTAGTTTTATGAACGGCATCAGCCACGCAGCGAACCGGTGTCAACAATTGCCCAAACTTCGCAATCCTCTACATATTCAGATGTTTCAGCCAATCTGTGAGTATTCATATTCTTTGCGTCTTTCGGTAAAGTCACGTAGATAGGTGAAAATAATAATAAAATAAACAAAAAGCAACGAACGTTTCGATCGCAACACAAGCGAGTGTTTCCACGTGGAGGAAACTTACAGTGAGGGAAAAAAGTATTTGATCTCCTGCTGATTTTGTACGTTTGCCCACTGACAAAGAAATGATCAGTCTATAATTTTAATGGTAGGTTTATTTGAACAGTGAGAGACACAATAACAACAAAAAAATGCAGAAAAACGCATGTCAAAAATGTTATAAATTGATTTGCATTATGAGGGAAATAAGTATTTGAACCCTCTGCAAAACATGACTTAGTACTTGGTGGCAAAACCCTTGTTGGCAATCACAGAGGTCAGACGTTTCTTGTAGTTGGCCACCAGGTTTTCACACATCTCAGGAGGGATTTTGTCCCACTCCTCTTTGCAGATCTTCTCCAAGTCATTAAGGTTTCGAGGCTGACGTTTGGCAACTCGAACCTTCAGCTCCCTCCACAGATGTTCTATGGGATTAAGGTCTGGAGACTGGCTAGGCCACTCCAGGACCTTAATGTGCTTCTTCTTGAGCCACTCCTTTGTTGCCTTGGCCGTGTGTTTTGGGTCATTGTCATGCTGGAATACCCATCCACGACCCATTTTCAATGCCCTGGCTAAGGGAAGGAGGTTCTCACCCAAGATTTGACGATACATGGCCCCGTCCATCGTCCCTTTGATGCGGTGAAGTTGTCCTGTCCCTTTAGCAGAAAAACACCCCCAAAGCATGTTTCCACCTCCATGTTTGACGGTGGGGATGGTGTTCTTGGGGTCATAGGCAGCATTCCTCCTCCTCCAAACACGGCGAGTTGAGTTGATGCCAAAGAGCTCAATTTTGGTCTCATCTGACCACAACACTTTCACCCAGTTGTCCTCTGAATCATCCAGATGTTCATTGGCAAACTTCAGACGGGCATGTATATGTGCTTTCTTGAGCAGGGGGACCTTGCGGGCGCTGCAGGACTTCAGTCCTTCATGGCGTAGTGTGTTACCAATTGGTTTCTTGGTGACTATGGTCCCCGCTGCCTTGAAATCATTGACAAGATCCTCCCGTGTAGTTCTGGGCTGATTCCTCACCGTTCTCATGATCATTGCAACTCCACGAGGTGAGATCTTGCATGGAGCCCCAGGTCGAGGGAGATTGACAGTTCTTTTGTGTTTCTTCCATTTGCGAATAATCGCACCAACTGTTGTCACCTTCTCACCAAGCTGCTTGGCAATGGTCTTGTAGCCCATTCCAGCCTTGTGTATGTCTCCAATCTTGTCCCTGACATCCTTGGAGAGCTCTTTGGTCTTGGCCATGGTGGAGAGTTTGGAATCTGATTGATTGCTTCTGTAGACAGGTGTCTTTTATATAGGTAAAAAGCTGAGATTAGGAGCACTCCCTTTAAGAGTGTGCTCCTAATCTCAGCTCGTTATCTGTATAAAAGACACCTGGTAGCCAGAAATCTTTCTGATTGAGAGGGGGTCAAATACTTATTTCCCTCATTAATATGTAAATCAATTTATAACATTTTTGACATGCGTTTTTCTGGATTTTTTTGTCTCTCACTGTTCAAATAAACCTACCATTAAAATTATAGACTGATAATTTCTTTGTCAGTGGGCAAACGTACAAAATCAGCAGGGGATCAAATACTTTTTTCCCTCACTGTACATATATTGCGAGGGGAGCAACACACTGTGTATCACGCCTGGCATAAAAAAAAAAGCACACACGTGTTCCTGCCACTCCAACTCTTCACGAGTGGAGGTGGCTTCTCTTTAATACCCTCACAGGCTGCAGGACTAAAGTGACACATTTTCATCCTCGTGCCTCACATCAATGACGTGATTGAAGGAGCAACGAGAAGCATGCTCTGCTATTGCCTTTAGTGCCACAATCTACAAATAATCACTGATTGGACGTATCACTTTATGTAATTGATTCAGAATAATTAAAATCAACTTTCATAGTAGGCCGAGGTCAAAAAATGTAAACATAAACTCCTCCCCCCCATAATTTTTGGGGGTCTAACAATGAAAAACAATTATTTTCTACGTTTTTTCATGAGTTAAATTAATATCGTGGACAACAATTGTGCCAGTGTAAGATGTGTAGCCCCTGTAGAACGTCATTTAGTCACAACTGTCTATTTGCAGTGAAGATACCTGCACGCACATGGAGCCATACATATCTGGATGTTCGTGACAACTCCCTGTCTTCAGTCAAGGCTTAGAACATTTTTGTATATGTTCCCAAGTGTACTTGCATTGGAATTGCATCCATTTGGAAATCAAGCAGTGCAACCTCCTGTGGTAGGGAAAAGCCTGCAGAAGTGGATATCACTGAACTACCTCTGAGATTTCGATTTAAAGCTTTCGTGACTGCAATGATTCATCTTCTTTGGTTCTTTCGGTAAAGTCACGTAGAATGAGAATAAAATATCAATTTATTATTTTATTCTCATTCTACGTGACTTTACCGAAAGAACCAAAGAAGATACCTCTGAGATCCCCTTTAAGGGATATTTGATTCCCGAACTACTAGGGGGCGGCTGCTGTTCCACACTCCCTGGCACAATGGTTGTCGCATAACAGTCGAATTTATTTTTACATTCAGAGCTGAAATGTAGTCAAATTAAGTGCGATCATTGGTAACTGGGATGAGCCGGTCAACTCAATGCACCTGACAACCTGGTTTAATCACAGGAGGCTGCCTGGATTTGGAACCTGAATCAAAGCGGTACCGGCTCCACGCTCAGACTTCTGGGCTAGCCGGCTTCCTCTTTAGGAACTATGTTAAGGTTGAGCGAGTTGGGGAGCCATGGAGACCAATGCCGAGTAGCCGTCGGGTGCAATGAAGGTGAATTATAATCAAAGGGGTACTTCCTATGGATTGGCCACTGTCCAAAAGTTGGGGGACAGCTCGTTGTCCACCTCGCCCGCTATATTCTCATGCTGCATCATCATCATCATGTGACATTTGAAAACTATGAACTGAACTATAGTGAATTTTACCATGTAAGACCCATTGAGCTATATGGCTCTTTTTCAGAAGCGACCTGGCCACAAACGATAGCTCAGTGAAGTGGCTTATCATGTGGACATTTCTAGCAGCCAAACACTATAAAGGCACGTTGATTCTAAATGTGGAGGGAAAAACCGGAGGACCCGGAGGAAAATCCACGCGACCACGGCGAGACAGACACGCAGACTCCAAATATACAGCAGGCGTCAGGGTCGGGATCAAACCGAAGTGCTCCTGCATGCCAGGCGAGGGAGATAACATCTCCCCACCGCGCCGCCCCTTTTAACATTTGAACCGCGTCTCCCATGCAGCACATCTCAAAAGCGCCCTGCAGCAAGGAAACCCCCGCTGCCAGCTGTCCCTGCGTGACACCAGGTGAAGGCAGCAGCCAGCCACAGCCAGCCAGTAGGCACGAGTCTGCATGTAGGGGGGGGGTGGGGGGCGGGCGACGTTGCTATCTATGTGGCTTCCCAATAAGAAATTTGGGAGCAAAATGATTGCCGACACACGCAACCACACAGGATCCTTCGCGTCCGCTGTGAATAACCAGGTCGGCCGCTGGGCTAGAACATTTTGTTCGAGCTGATTTTTGTGTTCAGTTTGTTACCCCCCCCCCCCCCCACCTCCGATTAGCACGGTTGGCTACGTAAGGTGCGAAAGAAGTTCCACATACATACATCCATACGTCAGATGAACACGAAGGCTCTCGCGACCAATATTATCCATAAGAAGTCATCCTGCGTCGTTAACCCACCACCACCCGACACAGCCAATTAGTAAGGGTTATGTAAACAAAACCTGCCAATGACTTACTGCTTCAGCAGCGCCGGTGTTATGGTCACGCACAACGTGTTACCGCTGGGCCTTTGCCCTATTTTGCGGCTGTGGCGACAAGCGCAGCACTCTACGTGGCGCAGTGTCTGCGATGCTGATGCTGATGCTGCTACTCTCGTGGAGGATGGAGAGGGAGGAACGTTGCCCCAGGCGCACCTCGCATCGCGACGGGCAACCGTCTGGGACAGCTTCTCACGTTTGTTCTGCGTTTGGCTCAGCCAGCAGAATTTACAGTGTCTCGTTCTCTCTCAGGCAGATTGCACGAACAGCTTCAACAGACGTTATTCGAATGATGATTTTTTTTTCTGTGTAGTGTTTTAGTTGCGTTCTGTTAGACGTTAAGATTATTGTTCGTATTTTTGACAAGAATCGCATGAAGGTATGCAAGGTCGCTCAATGCTGCTTGCCATAGCAATGTGGAATTTCCAACATGGTTCAGTGCTGCTGTACACAGCGATGAGCACCACCCTCGTTCGATGTTTAGGTTGGGATTACTGACAATTCCTTTTTTTAAAAGATATATTATTTCGATTCATGTGGAACAATGCATTGACCATTCAATGTCTTGAATTAAATTGGCCGGATACGGTGCGCGTTTAACAGCCTTGTTCTGCTGCTACCGACCCTGACTGATGTTTGTGTCGATCACAAGGATGTCTCGACTGTGCGTGGTTTGTGTTCTGATAAGCTTGTTGTTGTTTTCTTCTATCTTCCCCCAGGGGTGACGCGGATTCAGGGACACAGTGTGGATGAAAGGACAACTGTCTTCATCTTACAACTCAATAGGCATTGACACCAGCGTCAAGGAACTTTGACATCCATTGGATTAACTACAATAATAATAAAGAGCCAAAGGTGCTTACTGGCAGATCAGGATAGTCACATTGTCATCATGTACTTGCCAGGTAAGCAGTTTGTTTATTGATCATTATCTTACCCTGTTGCATTCATATGGTATATTATGATTTTTGTTATAATAATTATTATAATTAGGGGCCGTCCATAAATGACGTCACGCACCGAGGGGGAGGGGGGAGGTCAGACATTTGTGACGATGTGTGACGAGGGGGGGAGGGGGGGGGTTGAGAAATGTGACATCACATCAAAATGCGCAAACTTTAAATAAATATTAATTAAATAGAATTGTTACACTAATTTTTTTTCATTATTCACTATTTTGATAATTTAAATTTACGAAGGTCACCTTTTATTTATTCCATGTAGGAGCATTTTGCTTCTCGATGGGAGAATGGAGAAGCATACATTTTGTAAAAAATGTTTAATGATTGTTATTAAACATTTTGATTTTAATTATTCTACCAGGGCCTTTCATTCTGTGGAATTAATATGTGATTGTTATAATTGTACTCTCCATCTTGCTTCGTTCAACTACAAAGTTTTAAGTATTTTTATATAGTTATAATTACTTTTAATATTTTATAATTATAAGATAATTTCAATATAATATTCTGAACATCTGCAGTTTTAGTTAGACGTTAAATATTTTCAAGCGAATGTTATGCTAAATGTCAGCTTTCCAATGCCTCCTTTTTAATACGTGTTTTCTCCTACAACATCAGAGTGCAGCGCCACATTAAATACGCACTCCAATGATAATAGTTTTAGTTAAAAGTGATTTGAAGCATGTTTTATTTTCAAAATGGAAATATGGTTTGGGGGAGGGGGCAGAGCTTTGTGACGTCATATTTGAGGGGGGGGTCTGACTTTTTGTGACGCCGTGTGACGAGGGGGGGGAGGTGGGGGGTCAGAAATCGGCCAAAATCGCGTGACGTAATTTATGGACGGACCCTCTACGTCAATTTACCCAGGAAAAACCTCACTGAGCCTCAAGACACCTTTTCAGGAGAGTCCATGATAAGTTTTGCAAGTAGCGGACAATATTGCTGCGTGTAGTCCCAATTTAGTAATTGGCGGGTGATGTTTCAGCATTGGTATGTTTTGGCCAATCTCAGTTACGGGTTTTTTGTTTTAATCTATGGGGGGAAACCAGATCACCCGGAGGACACACTCCATGCAAAACAGGGGGAGAACATACACAACTCAGCACAGAAAGTCACTTGAGTTCAGAATCGAACCCAGGTACCTTCCTGCTGTGGGGGAAGAGTGTTACCACTGCACCAGCCTACCGCCCCTGCGATGACGTTTCGCGTGTAAAGATGTGCTTCGTAAATTACAGAGAGCGACAACCGTGCCAAACTTGATCCACCCCAACTAGATTCGAAGCTTTCGTGACTGCAGGAATTACTCTTTGGTTCTTTCGGTAAAGTCACGTAGAAAATGATATCAAATAATAATAGAATACGACGTTTCGAAACCGAAAGAACCAAAGAGTTGATCCCCACCCGGTTGTATCTGCTCGGGACTTGCCGTCCATTAGATTGGCATTTGTACGAGCAGGCAGTTTCTTAGCAATGCCGACTAGGACACAGACATCGTTTCGATAACGGATGCGTAATCTTTTTCGAAAATAGTCATTGCGTTAGCGTTTCTACGTTATGCATTTTTCATGACTTGCAGCCGAGATTATTATTGGAAATATTGCCAAACATTTTTGTAAAAACCTTCCGATTAAAAATCAACATCGTAATGTTTAATTTCACTACACAGCATAACAAGCTGGGAAGCAGAATAGTCGTTCATTATTAATCTGCACGAGCTGGTCTACGTGGTCATCATGGGTCCGAAAATCCAGGCTTACTTCGTGGGGAGGTGGGGGAGGCAGAAACTTGACCTTTAATTCCACCCCTTAATTAATTACAAACAAACCAAACGAATACGTGCGTTCATAGGAAATGCTGGCAAACATTATGCGGCGTTTGGTTCCGTAACGATGCCCTCTAAGGAAGTGGCACGAGATGAGAAGCACAGACGAGCGCAGCGCATGGGAGTGACTGCTGTCCCGTCCTTACCAAGCGAGAACGCCCGCTCCCCCGTCCCAGCGAGGCACGCTCCGGTTATGTTTCGACCAAATATTGACTTGCGTTTGAGCGGCCTCTTGTTGCTCCCGAACAAACGAACACCAAGATCCACCGTCTAGTTTTAACACACTGTTGGGGCAAGTGCTGTGAGCGAGCACAGCACACGAGGGGGTGGGTGGGTGGCAGGCACCATACCCGGCCACCTTTGTCTCCCTAGCGGCGTTGTTTGCACACCGCACCAGGTACTCATATGAGGCTGAGTCGACCTAGGGGAGGCCCAGGATCGCTCCAGATTATTGTCACTGCTGTTGGCCGTGACCGGGAATCGAACCCGTGTTGCCGGGGGTTCGTAGTGTGATGCACTAACGGCGACACTACCGCTCCACCACTACTGTTGTTTCAGAACACACACACACACAGGCCCGTGCGCTCGCAACCAATGACTCCCGTGAGTCTGCGCACATGGCCCAACTTACGAGCGGCATTTGTACCCATTTGTCACGCGTTCAAGGTGACTATTATTTGGGCTAGGAGAAGCGGTTATTAAACCCACACCCACACACACGCGTGCTCTGCTCATGGTATGCATAATAAAGGTTTTTTTTTGGAGGGTTAGATCGTATAAATATAAATGTGTCATATTCTTGGTTCTTTCGGTAAAGTCACGTAGAAGGGAAACAATAAAATAATACAATATAAAACAATAAAATTCTCACGACTTTTCGACTGCAACACAAGCAATCATCACACCTGATCAAACATCACACCTGATGTGTGATGATTGCTTGTGTTGCAGTCGAAACGTCGTGAGAATTTAATTGTTTTATATTTTATTATTTTATTGTTTCCCTTCTACGTGACTTTACCGAAAGAACCAAGAATATGAATCCCTGCAGTCACGAAAGCTTTAAATCAAAATATAAATGCGTCGTTAAACCTGCCACCAACCGACACAGCAAATTGGTCAAGTTTGTCATGTAAACAAAATGTGCCAATCATAGGCAGAGTTTGAAATATATTGGGGAGGGGATCGCTTTGTCCCTCACATTAGGAATCGCGGGTGCATATAATTAATTGGTATTTTAATCTTAATTGATGGTGCCCATTAGTTACTACTTCAGCACACCGGTGTGTTATGGAGTAAGCCCACAACATTTACAATTCGAGCACGACGTTTCGCTGGTGATTGCAGCCACCGTCATCATGCGATTAGCAAAAATTGTGAAGTCCTCCTGCTTCGGTCTTAAATCGAGCAGACGGGATGGGATGTCATCAGTCGCGAAGGCCAGATTTGGGGCGTGGGTCAATGTAGTCACATAAATTACAATGGATCATGCTAATTTCACAATATACGGTACCGATTATTGGACGGGTTATTTCAAACAAAACAAATACTCATGGATGATATCGGTCGCGAAAAGCCTACGCGCTGAATTGCCACAGTAATTGCTGCAATTCGGCTCACTCGTTCGAATAATCGACGAGCCGCTTTACACAAACACGTGGCCGCGCGGTGTTTGCCTCGCGCTTGTTTGCTCGAGCGATTGTCTTTCTTGAGCTCGAGCGGCGGCCGCTGGGGTGGGTGGGTGGGCGAGGGGCAGGTGCTGTGTGGCGAGGCGACGTTCAACAGTGGGAGCGCGCGGCCCGGTTAACTCCTCGTAGGACGCGCGCGCGGTGCTGCTGCGGTGCTCGTGTTACGCGTGTAGTTTAGAAACTGCCGCCGGAACAAACAACAACAGCAGCAACAGCAGCAGCAGCAGCACCCCCCCCACAATCCCTCGCGCGCCACGAATGACGTCCCCCTCCTTTCAAAACATAATCGGCCGGCGTGGCTGCGAGCTACACATGGGCATCACGATCTGCAACATTTATTATTTATCGCAAACCTCTTTGACGTTGGCCAGGTCACCTCCGGGGGTGGAGGAGGCGGGTCTGGTGTTTAGTTCCTCTCCCTCTGGGGTTCAGATTGAAAACTAATTTCTTTCGATTGAAAACTCATTTTTTTTTCATTGAAAACTCTTTCTTTAGATTGAAAACGCATTTATTTAGATTGAAAACTAATTTCTTTAGATCGAAAACTTTCTTTCGATTGAAAACTAATTTTTTTAGATTGAAAACTAATTTCTTTAAATTGAAAACTAATTTATTTAGATTGAAAACTCATTTCTTTAGATTGACAACTTATTTCTTTAGATTGAAAACTCATTCCTTAAGATTGAAAATTCATTTCTTTAGATTGAAAACTAATTTCTTTTTATTGAAAATTCATTTCTTTAGATTGAAAACTGATTTCTTTAGATTGAAAACTAATTTCTTTAGATTGAAAACTAATTTCTTTAGATTGAAAACTCTTTCTTTAGATTGAAAACGTATTTTTTAGATGGAAAACTAATTTCTTTAGATTGAAAAATAATTTATTTAGATTGAAAATTCATTCCTTTAGATTGAAAACGTATTCCTTTCGATTGAAAACTCATTTTTTATTGAAAACTAATTTCTTTAGATTGAAAACTAATTTCTTTAGATTGAAAACTCTTTCTTGAGATTAAAAACGCATTTATTTAGATGGAAAACTAATTTCTTTAGATTGAAAAATAATTTATTTAGATTGAAAATTCATTCCTTTAGATTGAAAAATTATTCCTTTCGATTGAAAACTCATTTTTTTTAAATTGAAAACTAATTTCTTTAGATTGAAAACTAATTTCTTTAGATTGAAAATTCTTTCTTGAGATTAAAAACGCATTTATTTAGATGGAAAACTAATTTCTTTAGATTGAAAAATAATTTATTTAGATTGAAAACTCATTCCTTTAGATTGAAAACTCATTTATTTTTATTGAAAACTTATTTCTTTAGATTGAAAACTAATTTCTTTAGATTGAAAACTATTTTCTTTATGTTGAAAACTAATTTCTTTAGATTGAAAACTAATTTCTTTAGATGGAAAACAAATTTCTTTGTATTGAAAACGTATTTCTTTAGATTGAAAATGTATTTATTTAGATTGACAACTAATTTCTATAGATTGAAAAATTATTTGTGTGTTTAGTTTGTTCCCCTTACTCTGTACCTCCAATTAGCAAGACTGCAAAGAAGTTCAACATGCATACAGAGTTTGAAAGTTTGAATTTGACCTCGACGCCTTGACGGATGGGTTTCTGTGCCATTTGTCAAATTAACTTGCTGTCTGACAAAAAAATCGCGTGGATGTAAAATGAAAATGGAGCGATCTATAATTGGTAATTCGATGCCATTTGTAGAAGCAGGCGAGCGTACAGTATTGTTGCAGTCAAATCGTGAGACGAGTGTTATTTAGTTTTCCAACTTGCTCGTCAAATAATTGAACCGGCAACTCTGAGAATCTGGGTTCAAACCCTGCCAACCACCCGCAATGATTGAAATGGTTTCTCAAGTAAAACGAGCTGACAGTTTCAGCTTCGTGGCCACTATTAATTGCTCAAAAACAACATCGTGTGAATGTTGCTGTCACACTTAATTTGGATTATAATGGTTCTGAGGATAAAACCTACAGTTTGATTTCCATTCGCTTTGCAGAGCATAATCAAGTGTGCTTTATATATATAAACCATACCCATACTCAATGTACTCTGATCTCACCAAATCTCAGAAGCTCAGCAGTATGGAGCCTGGGTAATACTGAGATGGGTGATCACCAGTGCCTGGCAGGTGTTCTTGATGAGGGGCTCCAAGTTAGCCAGGGGATGGCAGTGTTGAGTTTGACCTGTTGTCAGTGTAGATATTCTCTGGGTATTCTGGTTCCCTGTGAAATACCAACCACTCATTTAATGGACTTGGACAAATATTCCTCGCAATGCAGGACCTTCCTGACAACAGACTCTGGCGTTTCATTGAGGCTTTCCTGGACAAATAATTTTCATTTTTCTGTGCTGATAAGAGACCGATCAAAGGGTCTTCAGAAGAGGCATTTTAAATTCATACGTTTGTCATGTGACAAAAATAGGTGTACTATCGGAATACAATTGCAGAAATAAGCAAATAAAACACATATGGGAGGCAAGTATAAAATATAACGCATATGTATACAAACGCTTCTATTTATGGCAGTTTAATTGACAAATCTGTTGATATCGGCGCAGCACCAAAAGCCTCGGTACCGCGGCTGGACACCACTGACAGCGCAACACCAACGCCTTCCGTATCGTCACGCTAACCATGACCCTCCAGGCCACGGCGCCGCGTGGACATTCGCGCTGCTCGCCCTGCTCCGGAGCCGGGCCGCCCGCTGCTGCCCGGCGCAGTGCGACTGCTCGGCGCACGCCGGCTCCGTGGACTGCGCCGCCCGGGGCCTCTCCGCCGTGCCCTCCGACCTGCCGCCCGGCACCCGCTCGCTGCGCCTGCAGCTCAACGGCATCGCCGAGCTGCCCGACGGCGCCTTCGGCGCGGCGGCGCCATCCCTCGAGCTGCTCGACGTGTCCGGCAACGGCCTGGCGGCGCTGCGGGCGGACGCCCTGCTCGGGCTGGTGCGCCTCCGCGAGCTACGGCTCGCCAACAACAGCCTGCGGGCGCTGGCGCCGGGGGCCCTGCGCCACTCGCCGGCGCTCCGGGAGCTCGACCTCTCGCTCAACGAGCTGCCGCGCCTCCCGCGCCGCCTCTTCTACGGCCTGCGCAACCTGAGCCGCCTGTCGCTGCGCGGGAACCGGCTGGCGGGCGTGGAGCGCGACTCGGTGGAGCCGCTGGTGGGGCTCCGCTCGCTCAGGGTGGCCGGCAACCCCTGGAGGTGCGACTGCTACACGGCCGAGCTGCGCAGCTGGCTCGAGTGGTACACCTACCGAGGTGCGGGGGGGAGCGGGGGGTCTGCCCTCCGAAGATCGTCGCGCCTACTGCCGGGTTTTTGTTTGAGTCGCATCGTGTTGATGGAGCCGTGCGGTTTCAGCTTCGCTTGTCTGGTTTTTGGTGATTTATGGGATCTTGTTTGCATCGGCCGGTTGCGATCGATCCATGTGGTCGTGATTGATCCGTGTGGTTTTTGGCTGATCCATCCGTTTTTGTTTTTGTAGTTTTCGTGATCCTGGAAACTTAGTTCGATCAATGTGATAGATTTAAAAAAAAAATATCTATAGTTGTTTCATGGTTTTCTTTGATCTGTACAGCTTAGTGTGAAGTTTAAATATGCACGATTCTGTTTGATTTGCGAATTTCTGTAAGACTTAATTAGTTTCGATTGTCCTGTGTTTTGTTTTGACTGTGCTGCTAAATTGGCTTCATTTAATCTGCCCGTATCAATTCGTTGCCATGTTAGAGATGGGGGGGGGGTCACAAGGGAAACGACATCCGTTTGTCTCTATCACAGGAGGGCTTGTGGACGAGCTTCACTGTGCCCTGCCACAGGAGTTCAAGGGCAGGAACCTGCTCTCCATCCCCTCCGAGGTGTTCTTCCTCTGCTCCCTCGCGCGCGACGGCTCGCCCTCGAGGGGGCAAGGTGGAGGAGACCGGGCGGGCAGCGTTCAGAGCGGCGCGGCGCCGTGCACCGTCGCGTCCCGCAACCCGCCGGCGAGCGTGCGCAGGGCAGTTGGCACGCTCGCCGTGGCGGGCGTCATCTGCGGCGTCATCTCGCTCATGATGGTGGTGGCCGCCACCTACGGCTGCCTCTACGCGGCCATGATGTCAAAGGTGCACCAGCCCGAGGCCGCCGCCTGCCAGCTGCTTGTCCGCGACGCGTCCGACGAGAACCGCGACACCAAGGGGCCGCTCAACCCCGGCACGGCGTGAGGGAGGGCCACCGGCCCGCCCCCGCCACGCCTCGGCTCCCGAGGTACCGGCGCGACCGTTGGCGGGCCATCACGACGTTGCCACCACGGGTCGGCGGTCTCAAATAAATGGGCCGCGTAGTGCGCCGCTTCCCGCTTCGACTGCTTAGGCCTGTGGGCCTCTGTGTGTGAGCCCGCGGGTCCCGTTGTGAGTCTGTGAATCTCAACGCGAGTCCGTATCTCGAAATCGCGGAACACATCGTTCAACGGCACTGCTGCCCGCTTCGGTCGGTCACCGGCAGCATTTCAGATAGTCACCAGGCTACTCGTGAAGCCACCTGCTTGCTGACCAACATCGACATGAAATTGCAAACATTAATGATCTACTCCTCCCCACCACACGAGAGAAGAAGGGGATGATGCAGCGATTGTTAGGGCCTCGACGCCCGGCCACAGACCGCGTTTCTGAATCCGTGCGCGCCAACTTATAAGTTTGGGTGCCAACTCTGAGGTACAAGAAACCGGGACATACTACGGCAAGAAGAATATCTCACAACACCTGAAGAGGGAAGAACCACGTGGTTGCGCGGTGTATCATTGTTGTTATTATTAAGAAAGTGGCAATAACTGGGACATTCTATGTTCTGAAAAGATTTGAAGATTTTTCCAGGGCAGCTTCCTGACAAAAAAAGTGTCGATACTGGGAAAACCAGGTACAAGTGGCAACTCTGCTCAAACAGAAGCACTTTGGCAGCCAGCCTGCATGAAAGTGCGCTTTTCTATTTTATTTTCCAACAAAAATGAACGGAGCTTACCCGAGCGCGTTAGTGATGCCCTCCTGCGGCACAGCAGCACTTATTCGCCGCCGGATAAACATCACCTCCAGCGTCGACGCTTTACGACTTAGGTAGCAATTAGGTGTCCCTGCGCTTGATGGAACTTGAAGCTGCGATGACTAAAAACAATGGTGGTCTAATAACCTCTCCGCGGCTTGAGCGGCGAGTGTAGAATGTTAATTTGGGGGGGGGGGGTGGTGGAAGTGATGCAGAATGCGTAGCTTGTATGCACCCAGAGGTGCTTTCAAGGTGGGAGCAACTTGTATTTGGATCCACGGGTGATTTGTACAATGGTGAATTCAACAAGAGAGCACGTTTTCCAAAGGCCCCACTTGTCTTCCTCCGGGAAAAAGCCAAGATCCTTCCTGTCCTCTTCAGATTAACGACCGCTGATGCGAGATGCCGGCTGCGTCTCACAGGGATGTGTGTAGGTTCACATGTTTTAAATGATAAATTGGGAAAACATCGACGTTTTGCGAGAATTTTAACAATGTCGAAGCTTTGTGCGGTTACGCGCACGTCACGATGCCGTTTATTTAACCAGGAAAGCATGATATCCACAGGATTCTTTTTCACTAGTTTCCTGCAATTCCAAGATTGAGTGTTTGGCGTCATGTGGGAGGAACCCAGAGGGTTACCCACAGAATTCCCCGCGCAATGCGAGGGGATGACACGAAAAAGCTCGGCACAGATGGATTCAGTCCGCCACTCTGCTGCCATCTTCTGGCCACCTTGCGAACCAAGCTGGCAACACCAGCAACTCGCGAGGCCGTCTCCTACCTAAGAACAAACCAGAGGCTCGAGCATGATTCGCTAGCTCCTGAGTCCTGGCGATATTGGTCACATTCAGGGTCATATGGTCATAAGGCCATGTTTGATGTATTTGTTGTAAAACATAATGGTTCAAGTGCAATAAGATATGAAACTGAGCAGGCACTGATGGAATGTGACATGATTCTTGATGATACACGTATATATATATAAAATCACAATCAATACCATGACAAAATAATTTCATATTGTCAACATGGAACGTTTTCGAATTAATTTTCAGGTCGATAGTAATTGATTTTCCCTCCAAGGTTGTAGTTTTTTTCTGACCTCCATCTCCAACCCTCTTGTTGTCTCGCTCAGTAACTCTGGGGCTATGCTCATGCATCTATGGCGAAAGGCACCCGCCCGCCCTTCACGTCTCATTCTGCGAATTTCTCGCCACCAGACAAATTCAGATACGGAATTCTATTTGCGATCATAATTAACTTACCAGAGAAATGAAACGTTGAAATTTGTATCAGTGTTGTTCAATGTCCAGACCGCTGACCAGAATTTTTTCAATGTTTTCTGAAGGTGTAGTTCACATTGGATAGTTTGTTATATATACATATACAAATGATAAAGAATGAAACGTGTCCGAGAAAATGTGAGTTATTGGAATAAGTTAATTATCTTGGGAATGTTAACTTCTTAAAATAACCTCCGGTATTTATTATAAAGTCTCGTGTGTTTCTGCTGCGATGCTTCACTTCATTTGTACAGCAGACAAAGAGAGAGAGAGTTCACAGATAATTTGACAATAAGTCATTTTTCACCCTCTGTGAGTTTTCCGGTTGTTTGGTACGATGCCCGACGTTCCGCTCCACCGCTCTGTTAGGAGCGGTACAAACAAAACTAAACACACCGGAGAGCTGGGAAGACCTTTGCAGTAGTAGCACATCATATTCCTCGTTTATTGAACGGCTATATTTATAATTTCATGATGAAGGATGGTCTGTATTTTCCAGCTTTCCCCACTCCAAATTCTTCCTGCAAAGCAAGAGCGCTGCTTTGTGTTCAAGTTATTCTGAGCACAATTATTAAGTAGCTGCCCCTTCTCAAGCCCCCCAGCTGTTTTCCTGAAACACGAAGTATCCAGTGAGCCTCCGCACGAATGCGCCCGTCTTTCCGTGGTTAACGCTTTTTTTTTGTTTTTGCACAGCCAGAGCAGTTAGTCCCCCTTCACCATCGCGTCGCAGTGCTTGCTGGCGAGTCGTGGAGGTGATAACCGACTGGACGATTGAAGCCCCACTGGATGACTTTTGCAGAGATGGAGTGATACAATCAGCACGAGCGCGAGATGGGTGGTTGCATCGCAACGTCACGAGATAAGGCAGCAGCTTGGGAAGGAACTTGTCGAGCAGTGGATAGAACGTGGCTGATGATGATGATGATGATTATCATGGGGACTTTTATTTGCAGCCCAGTGGCGGTGAATCGAGCTTGTACTAATTAACTGAATATTGTTCACTGATTGAGGTTACGTTTGCTTCACGAATAGCTCATGAGTGCATAACGCATCCAAGAGTCGCATCCATGACTTGACAGGGTGACTTCCCAAAATTGGTGTTATTTTTCCTTAAGTGAGCATAGCTGAACTTGCGTAGATTATTACAAAAAATCGATGGATGTTTTAGTGCCTTTTCCTTTGTAAACGACATACAGAATAAGCAAAATTGTTCAAAATAAAGTAAGCTACATATTTTATATTCAGTTTACCTAAATCGTATTGCTAAGCCATTCACAGAGTGTCTTCCATGCAACAGCAAAGTATATTTTGGATGCTACGCACTTATCCGCCGATGCTTTTACTTAGACTCTCCCTCGTTACGGATGCCCCTGAGAAGCATAACCCTCACCGTCCTCAATAAATACCGCGTTTCGTTTAATCACGGCTCGCGTCTGCTCGGGCGAGCGAGGCTGTCCGTGTGGGGACGTTTTGTCGTCTGGATGACCGCAGCGACTGTGGTCCTCACCCAGAGGAGGAGGAGGCGGAGGAGGAGGAGTAGGCGCCGTCACAGCGACACGCCACTCCGCTATCGCCCGGCCCGATCACCTCGATGTCAATGTACAGGTGTTGCTCTACACGTGCGTCAACCATGCGAAGGAGAGCAAGGTCGCCTGGATGGAGCCTCCACTAGTGGCCGTTGTTTGAGTACCCACGTGCCCTCGGCCGCGTCCTCTCCCAGGAAGCACTCACCAGCGGCCACGGCTGTCCTCACGTCCTCGGTGACCGTGATGACGACGCTTGCTGTCACCACCATTTTTTTGTTGCCTTTCGCCCCTGCGGTGACAAACGCGGGGAAGGGGGCGTCGGCGGAGGGACATCAGCAGCAGGGCGCGGCATGCCGCGAGCCACGCACCCCAGAGGGCAACGCCTGCGCTGTTGTAGGTTCTGCCCACGTTGACTGTGGTCACGACGATAGCCTGAATCGCAACACTCACCGCAAATCCGACGCTCTCCATGTCTGTGGCTATAATCGCTTATTAGAAAAGCGCTGTCCCTGATTCACACGCTGTTCATTCCCCTAATGCGGACTCTATCCTTAGATCCTAGCGCGATCCCTAATCTTGACATTTATCTTACCACCGGCTCTATCCCCATCATGAACACTAACCTCAATAATGTCAGACATTTAACTGAAAGCTGACATCAGCCACAGGCCAGGACATTCTTACATTTGTAAAAGATGAAGCAATGTTCTGGTTGCATTTGTCATGGGCAGCGTTACCCCAATACGTAATGTGAATTATTTGTTGCATTTGATTGGAAATGCAATATCATGGGCATCTAAAACGGGCCACCGCCTTCACAATCGTACGCCCACCATTTACAAGTTCATACACGCTCTCGGATTTTTAGCAAACGTCCTACACTTTCACGCGGAACTTTGACAGGCGTGGTGCTCAAGCCATCAAAGTCAGACTGGCTGGATGTCTGTTTGTGCGAGCGTGTAGCGCAATCAACCATAATCAGGTCAACTGATTCTCAAAGAAATCGGTTGATGGCTGCCCCTGTTAAATTCATTGTGCAAGTGCCCTGTTGGGTTGATGGAAGGTTACCCATTCTCTTCTCTTGGCCACTTTATTCTGGGATGTCCTTCCCCCCAGCCACGTATGCTGCTGCCTCCCTGCTCCAGTTCAAGTACAGGTTCAAGGCCTTCCTTATTTCCTCTGCCTATGACCGATTGTCTCTCATCTATAAAATCAACATATGCCCACTGTAGGTTCTCGCTAACAGCTCTTGCCCTAACAGCTTGTTAGAGGCTACACGAGGATCTTTGTCCGCGTGTGTGCGCGCTAACCCGCTTGGTAGGGCACGGTGTAGATGATCGTGCCCGGCGGTTGCTCAGCAGCGCGGCGGTACCAGATGGGGAAGTGGTCCATGGTGAAGACGCTTTCCTGGTCCTTCGTCAGGAAATCTCTGCCAGCGCACACGCTCAATGCAGCCTCGTTAATTCATGCTCGTGACGTTGCCACACGGCACCGTGGTGACATAGGTGACTGGGGACATATCTAACCCCCCCTCCCCCCTCTCAAACGTTTATACGGGGAGAAAAAGCCATGCACTGTGTCCTCTAAACCCCTTGTTGGCCTCCTTAGCTGCTTGCCTGACAGTTCAAAGAGTGCCGCTATGTACCCACATCAACATTTACGATCTCACCACCGCAACCACTACAATCACCATCACCCTGAACACCATCACAACTAGTTCAAAGCCAATTTGGGGCTTTTAAAGCATCCCTTGGTTACTTGAACAGAGGGCACATGGCAGAGCGGAGAGTCACGTGAGAGGGGGAGCAGGAGCCTGGGGGTGAGTCTATGGACGACCTTGAATGCCCTTGATCGCATGACAGAAGCCACTGCGGTAACTGTTCAAAGCAGCGCGCACGGAGCTTCTTACTTGTCAGAGAGTTTCTCCTTGCCGATGTAGAAGCTGGTTCTGGTCAGTCCAGCCCGTGTCCCCAGGAAAGCCATTTCAATGCCCTTCTCAACGTTCCTGCGGTCAACCCAAGATAGTAAGAGCCATATGGTCACGACAGATTGGCTTTGTGATATTTCTTGTAAACACCACTCCCAAACACAATGCTGTCCCAATGTTACAATCAGTGTGTATGTTTTCCACATTTGCAAAAAATTACCCTCGAATAAGTACCGTAATACTCGGCCCGACTATTAAAACAATCTTGAGACTCGGCGAGGCTTTTCTGGGAAAACAAGCATATGTAATGGTATTCCATAGCAATGTCGTGCGACGAATAATACATTTGGATCTCTTGCAGCAAAGTGCGATCCTCCTTGTCGTACAATGTCCGAAAGAAGCAAATATCACAGAATATACTTCTGAGATAATTTGAGTGACCTTTGCTCCGCCGCACTGCGGCGCAACACTTTCCCGCCTGCCCCCGCTACGGAGTAGTGTCTGTCAAGCGATGTTTAATTCTCGCCACTGGATTTTAGCCACATTAAGTACAGGACCAAATATGCGTGAGCGAACAAACAAAAATTCGCGCAGTGATTGGTTACTGAGACCATCAACACCATTACACTTCAGAAACTTGTTTGAGCACAGGCAAGCTGCCCGGACCCGAACCCAGGCTCTCAGCGGTGCCAGCTCAGCGCGGTGACCTCTGAGTCAACAGGCCACCTTTGTTTTTGTATTTGCTTAAGTCGCAAAGCGATATTGCGCGTGCGCTCCTCGCAGCAGCAGACGGCCGTTAATAAAGAGTCCTCTGCTCATGGGGCGTGACAATGAAAGCATCCTCCACTGCTACCCCTCCATGATTACAATTCCTCCAAAAACGCTGCCCTGTGTGAAAAACAAGAATACTTTTTTACCCTTTCTGGCAATAAAACAGGTGTTACGATGTTCAAACACCAAATAGCAAACGTGCTCTGATAATGATATATGCATTGTCTTTGAAACTGATTGGTCTACACCAGCGACAGTAGCTTTCTTTACAACAGTACAAAGACAATGCACTATCAGAACATTTATAGCTCGGGGTGAGTAGCTATGTCATGGGACCTTTTTGGCCAATATCAAAGTGTGAAATATATGAATATATTTCGCCTGTTCGCCCTTCTGGCGTTCTCTGCTCTGACACTGGTAGTGAGACAAGGCCCTAAAGAAGGCTGTCTCTGGTGTAGGCCAATCAGTTTCAAAGACGATGCCATATATTGTCAGAGCACGTTTGTTTGCATGTTCACCACAAGTAGGTGTGGTTAATGCAGACGTGATTCCTTACAAAAGGTATAATCTATGTGGTGTTTGAACATCTTAATACCTGCATAAGATGTTCAAACACCACAATGGTTGACAACATTGAGCGGATGCAAAGAATGAGAAAAGTAAGTGGGCCTGGGCTAGGACACGTTTGCTAGAAGTCACGTTGGCCGGTTGGCGAGTGTGCAAATGGCAGGGTGGCAGCTAAAGGAGGGATCGTGTCTGAGAATATGTCCAGTTCAAGTTGGCAGCTTATTTTGTTGAGCCACGCGGTGAGAACTCGAGAGACCATGATAAGGCTCATTGGCAAGAGTGACCTGGGGCATTGATCTGCCCAGTAGGGGGCGATGATTGCTTTGTAGAATCCCGATTAAGTGATTTGCGAGCAATTTCCGAATATGGGAAACTGGGCACGCAATGGCCTCCTCTTGCGAATGGCGTCAGGGGATGTTTACCAGCAGGCAACGCGTATCATTGTCATTTCTGTCGTGGTTATCACGCGCGCAGTGATAATCGGGGCAGCCGCTGGATTCGAACCGCGAACCTCTCTCCAGCAAGCGGCGAACGCGCTGCCTCTGGGCCGTGCCACCACCCCATCAACCGTAGAAGGTGGACCGATAAACTCAGCTCGAGCGCAGGTGCGAGGTGGAATGTTACATCGCAGGATCGTGAGAGATGGCGACGACTTGGGGAGACCTTCATCCAGCAGTGGATCGAACATATAGGATGTATGTTGAACTTCTTTCGCGCAGTACGTAACCAACCGCGGTAGTCAGAGGTGCGGGGGAAGGACAACAAACTAAACACAAAAGGCAGTTTTTAAGAAATGAGTTCTCAATTTAGATGATTTAAAAGTGTGTAGCTCCGGTGGCTTCCTAACAATCGGAAGGGAAGAGCGTTCCAGACGGCCGCAGAAGCGCATCTGAAAGCGCGCAATGCGGTGACCGCCGTCTTTGTTCGATGGGGTTGACCCTGATGATGATGATGACGACGACGACGACGTAAACTCACTCGGACTTGTTCATCACGAGGCTCGTCCAGTAGGCTTCGAGCGGGGCCGTCACGACGGCGTCAAACAGCACCTCCTGGAGGAGCTCATCGTCACCTGCGACCACAGCGCCGAAAGGGGGCCCGGTGCAGCGTGCGTCAGGGACAGGTGACTCGTCCTGTTTAACTGCTCCCCCCCCCCCTCCCCCCTGCTCACCGATGCCCCCCACACACACGCCCCCCCCCCCATCGCCTGCATTGTGGTGCCTCGCTGAACGCGACATGGAGAGCGTGCATTGAGCGCGTGTGCTGCTGGGAATAGACTTCCTGACAAAAAAAAGGAAGCATTCGTGATGAAGGTTCTTGGCTTCACACCGGTGTGCTGTACTAGTAACTCATTTATCGGCACCGTTTTCTTAACGTGACACACCTTACTAATTGGCTGTGTCGGGTGGTGGTGGGTGAACGACACATTTTTTATATATTTACGCGCTCTAACCCAAAAAAATGTATGATGGAGAATATTGGTCGCGAAACCGCAAAAGAAATAAAACAGGTTTAGGCAACGGTACTCAATGCAAGGGCTTACATTGCAGATCAGGTTCAATTCCCAGCAGATACCTCCTGACGGCCTCCAACTGCGTGAGCTTGCGATGGTCCGGGTCAATGTCCACGTTGCAGTAGATCCTGCGGGAGACGAGAAGTGGCGTGACATGGCAAGGTGGGAACGGAGCACATTGCGTACCAGGCGAGGGAGATAACATCTCCCCACCACGGCACCCCTTCTAACATCTAAACCGCGTCTCCCGCGCAGCACATCTCAAGGCGCCCTGCGGCAAAGGGAACACCCGCTGGCAGCCGCCCCTGCGTGGCACCAGGTGAACGCAGCGCCCAGCCACAGCCAGCCAGTAGGCACGAGTCTGCCTCTAGGGGGTGATGTTGCTAGGTGTGCATCCCAACGAAGTTATTTGGGGGCAAATTATATTGCGTTTGGATGTCGGCACACGTAGCCACAGGATCATTTGTGTGCACTGTGAAGCGGGTGGCTCATATTTAGTGTTTAATATTTAGTGTTTAATATTTAGTGTTTAATATTTGGTGTTTAATAGCACCAATAACCAGGTCGGCCGCTGGGCTCGATCATTTCTTTAGAGTAGTTTTTCATGTTTAGCTTGTTGTGCCTTCCCCGCACTTACGATTAGCATGGTTGGCTACGTACGGTGCAAACGAAGTTCAACATATGACTGGCTGTGGTTAGGCTGTCAAAAATAACAGCAGCAGGGTGGCTGGGTGGCTCAGCTAAATCGCTTAGTTGTAAGTTGCATGGGTCACACTCAGAAAGTTGCGAGTATCAATCCTGGTCGGTTATATATCAACCCCCAGCGCTTCATCGTGTCAAGAGTAATTGAGCCAGACGTGCTGAGAGCCTGGGTTATATTTTAAGGCAGCCACGTGAACTGGATTCTCAAGTGGAGTATGTATGCTGAACTTATTTCGCGCCGTACGTAGCAAACCGTGCTAATCGGAGGGGCAGCGGAAGGACAACAAACTAAACACAAAAAGCAGTTAAAAGAAATTAGTTTTCAATCTAGAGTAAGGTTCATTGTCTCAGCCAAGTCACCAATGATCGCATCAAAACAATTTAAAATCAAATGTGTTTTTTTAAATTCTTAATTTGGCAAATTTCAGCACAAAAAACAATTGCCGTTAATTGCCATGCGAAGAGCACTCGTTGCAGGGCACGTGAGAAGATGCACCGCCTCATGTGGATAAGAGACGATTGAAGAGACTTCAGAAATAGTTCTGGGACATCAACTTCCGAAGGCCCTTCACTGACAAAAGGTGATATGCACTACTTTATGTGACAGATCTAAGATAAAAATGACTTCATCCCATGATGAGGTACAAATAGCACAATGCAAATATAATTATAAGAGCAGAAGAGCAACATGTCTCTATTATATTTACCAACACTGAAGAGTGAATCCACAACATTTAGAATGATGACGTCGTCCTGCACTAATTAAGACCGGAAGCAGGTGGATGGCTTCACTATTCTGGCAAATCGCCCGAGGATGCTGGATGTAATTACCAGCGAAACGTCGGACTCAAATTCTAAATGTTGTGGATTCACTCTTCAAACACACCGGTGGGCTGAAGAAGTAACTAATTGGCGTTTTGTCAACGTGACACATTTTTTACTGATTGGCCGTGCCGGGTGGTGGAGGGTTGCGACACATTTATACTTACGCAATCAAACCCAAAAAAAAACATTATTACGAATAATAGCGGTCACGAAAGCCTACGTGTTAAACTGGTCTGCAGTGCTGGTTGGCTGGAACTTACAAGAGCAAGTGTTTTACCCCCTAAATAAACAAACCATGTACCATTGGCTCTTACCAGTCACTGGCAATGTTGAGGTCAGGGTGCAGTAGATCATGTAAGCCTGTGAAAGGAGCAATAGAAACATGTTGTGTCACGTGTCATGTCTAATTTCCCTGTAATGAAATGCATTTTTCCGACGATAGACACAAAATTAGACTTGACAGGTAGGTTTTCGCAGCCAATATTACGACTCGTAATTGATTGCGAGTTCAGTCACAGGAGGATCCGTGCCATTACGAACCCTCCACGCGGTCCAGTCAGTCAGCGTAACAATCCATGAAGTCAGATTCGGACTCAATGAATTGTTCATCTGACTTTCTGGATCTTGCTCTGATGGTGCCTGACGTCGTTACAAGCGAAACGTTGAATCTCATTGGCACAATTTTATTTGTTTGGCTGTGTTGGGTGGTGGAGGGTTCTTAATGACACGGACATGGTCAAATCATTACGTGGCCAAATCAAATAATTTATAATAAATTAAAGGAACATATATTGCAGTTACATAGTCATGTTTCAGAGGCGTATTTGTATTTAATTTGCACGTGTCAGTGTATTGTAATGCATGAATGAAATTGCACCTACGTGTTGTTTTTGTAAGCATCGTAAAGTATGTAGCTAAATAAACACATTCCAGTAATGTATTTACTGGGGCATATAGAGTATTCATGGGTCCACGCTAATTTAACTGTTACGATGTTCATAATCATTATCCATCATCCATCATATATCTGTCAACAGTATAAATGGTCATCATCATGTTTATATTTTTTACATAGGGCTGGGATTGTGAGAGCTTGGGATTTACTGCCTTAATGTACACTGCATCAACGCAATTTTTGTCATCTACCCTTGGGGTATGCATAATGGTATTTGATATTCATTCGTCTTTTTTTCCAGGAAACCGATTGAAAACATAGCCTCCAATCACAGTGAGATTAATTGTCCACCAAGATCATTGGGAACGTAATAATAACAATAGTGGCCTACCAACCACGTGAGCAAAGCAGGATCAGTCAAGGTATTTGTATTTATTTATTTCTACCATCGCTACGATCAAAGCGTTCGCGTTACTCTTCTGTGATACTTTGTGCTCAAGTGAAACGGACGACGTCGCTGCTCAACAGAACGACGAATCCATTGACTTTGAAGGCTAAGGGCTCGGTCGCTGCTGATGATAACGATGACGATGTGCGCACACGTGCGCGTGCTCGTGCGCGCGCGTGTGTATCCCCGTTTCGCGGCCGCGGAAAATCGTCGAGAGCCGGTCCTCGTGCTGCGGTCATTCACCCTCCTCCTTGGACACGTTCCCCATCAGCACGTACTCTCCGTGGCCACGCGACAGGACAACTCCTAAACTGAACGAGACACGGGCGATTATTCCGCGTGGCCTTCCGGCGCGTTCACGCGGAACAGGACGACGCGACGGAGCCGCGGGGAACAGCTGGCAACCACCGACCTGAAGGGCGTGTCCTTGAGCGCCGTGAAGAAGTAGTCGTTGGTCAGCATGAGAACGCGTCTCTGAGAGCCACAAGGGTTGGAGGGGGAGAGGGAACGCACCTGACATCCGGTCACCAATTCTGGGCTGTGATTTCAAAGGCGAACGGCCACAGAATGCGCCGCCGTTCGCGGCTGATTCGGCGGGTCGGATCGACGCGAGTAAACCGCGGGTCGAAGGGGCCCTCCTCCACCCGACGCGGTCAGCTCACGCAACCAATGTGGTTGAGCGGCGAGAAATACCCATGCATCGATCAATCGCGCGTGATGCCCTTCCAAAAAAAGCAGTCCGTGATCTCTGTGAAACGCCGTGAGACAAGGAGGAGTGTGTGGCTGTCTCGGCGTGAGAACGCTTGCGGTCGCACAGAGTGGGGAGCGCAACGATGTCGTGGCCAGACAACGTCGGGGGAAACGGAGCGTGAGGGACACAATGTAGTGAATGTGGACATTGGCGTGAGCGATGTACGGGCGCTTCCACGTTGGTTTGCCTGCCACGGCAAACGCCGACCAGCCACCGTGGCCAACGCCGTTGGTGCCACTGCACCTCACCGTCAGAATCACAATATTTATTTATACTGGAGGAATCCGATGAGCTACACAGCTCTTTTTGACAGATGTCCAGTAGTTTTCAGAGATGCCCTTCACCTGTTGCACGGTCAATCCGCAACCTTCAGTCTGCTTAGAAAAACATGCCTCTGAATAATAATGAGAATAATTGACTCTTTTTTTTTCCCTGCTCCACACTTCCCCTTCTCACCCTTTACAATAATTGTTCTCTCTCTCTCATTTGGTTGTTGTTTTCACTTTAGGCTCGTTCGTCGTTCAACAAAAAAAAGTTATTTGTGCTGCGCAGTGAAATATCCGGGCTTCGAATCCCGGTTTGTCTCCGAACTGCAGTGGGGATGTGTGCATACTTTTGTCGAGGGGAGAGCGAGAGTTTGGGTTTGAGCTCGGCTCTGGGTAGCTCAGAGGCCCCAGTATAAGAACCCCCCCCACCATCGTCAGTGACGAAGTACACGGCTCCCTCTCTATCGCCCCGTTCGGGCCTTCTCGCTCGTGGACACCGTCGCCTCGGTGGGGTTTGTTCAGCTGTGGCTGTCGGCTGTAACTGGGAGCGGCGCGTCTGGCCCGTCTTACCCCCTCGTCCACGGAGTTTTTCACTTCCATCGAGAAGGTGCCCGTCTGTCTGTTGACCATCGCAGTCCGCAGCTGGGAGGAGAGGCGGTCGCAGACCCGCCATGCGGATGAAAACAGACGGCGGAGAGACGCCCGAGTCAACGTGATTTCAGTGAATAAGATTGAAGTGTACTGCGGAGAACAGATGGGCAAGCGGCGAGGCAATGCTGTTCCCTCGAGCGCGGTCGTTTCGTTTAAACGAAAGAAAAAAGTCGAAGAAAGTCAAGCATCATGAATCACAATTCAATAGCGATGTTCACGTAAACATCTCAGGTGTCACGGCAAGGTGTCTAGAAGCACAACAACCCAGGTATACGCATTTCTTTTTTTGAATAAACATCATCATCAGCCATGATCAGTCCACTGCTAGATTAAGGCCTCCCCAAGTCGTGATCTAACAATACACCTATTTCATCGTTTCATCTCCTCCGTGGACGTCATCTTAAACCAAATCCGTTACTCGGCTGCCACGCCATCCAAAATACTACAGTAACGTTCAGTAAGCTTACAATAATAACAACAATGTTCATAAATACTTAGCGAAAACATAACTTGATATCAGGTCTAGCCTTACCACATGACTGATTTGATCACAGACATGTGCGACTACGTGCAAGTTAACATTTTCATCAAGGAGCCGTCCATAAATGACGTCACGCACCTAGGGGGTGGGTCAGACATTTGTGACGATGTATAACGAGGGGGGGGGGGTTGAGAAATGTGACGTCACATCAAAATGCGCAACTTAGAATATAGACAACACGTTCCACTTAATTAAATATACTTTTTTTAATAAATGTTTTCTCCTACATCATCAGAGTGCAGCGCCACATTAAATACGCACTACAGTGACAATCGTTTAAAGCGATTTGAAGCATTTTTTTTGGGGGGGGGGGGAGCAGAGCTTTGTGACGTCATATTTGAGGGGGGGTCTGACGTTTTGTGACGCCGTGTGACGATGGAGGGGGGGGTCAAAAATCGTCCAAAATCGCGTCACGTCATTTATGGACGGCCCCCAAACAGCAATGAGAGAGGTAAGTTCAGAAATCACAACTCGGGATGTGACTGTGAATTGCTGTTAGGTCAAACCGTTCCACAAGAGGGCACTATACATTAGCCCAGCTCTTTGAGTTCAAACATCGTGTGCACGTACTAAACTATATATATTCTTGGTTCTTTCGGTAAGTCACGTAGAAGGGAAGCAATCAAAAAATAAAACAATTAAATTCTCACGACGTTTCGACTGCAACACAAGCAATCATCATCAGGTGTGGTTTTCACACAGGTGTGGTTTTCACACCTGATGATGATTGCTTGTGTTGCAGTCGAAACGTCGTGAGAATTTAATTGTTTTATATTTTTATTATTTTATTGTTTCCCTTCTACGTGACTTACCGAAAGAACCAAGAATATGAATCCCTGCAGTCACGAAAGCTTTAAATAAAAAAATATATATTTTTAAAATTTTACCAAGTAAGGCCCACTGAGCTATTATAGCTCTTTGTCAGAAGCAACCTGGCCACAAATGATAGCTCAACGAGGTGGCTTATCGTGTGGACATTTATAGCAGCCGAAAACTCTAAATGCTTGTTTCTAAATGCGGAGGGAGAATCCAGAGGACCCAGAGAAAAATCCACGTGACCACGGGGAGAACTTGCAAATTCCAAATATACAGGCTTCAGGGTTGGGCTCGAACCCCCAAATTGTCAACCCACTGCTGGATGAGGGCCTCCCCACGCCACGGGCATGTAAATATATATATCACACGAGAGATGCATCACTCGGAGGTGGCTGTGTGGCTCAGTAGGGCAATGCCGTGTTAGAGCACTCTGAGCTCACACTGCTGCTGAGAATCTGAGTTGAGATCTGGGCAAACTGCCTGTGATGAAACTGGGTTGCAAGCTGATGACTGCATAAAATACATGCAAAGATGGTTTTGTAATTAATTTTGTTAAATTCCAGCTCAGTGAACAAAAACGTTTGGTTTCATTGGCATTTGACGAACACTCTAGGAGTGTGCATAAGATGCAATACAAGGGGACCTCAGAATTAGTTCCATGACAACAATATTTCGGAGACATTCTCTGCCACCAGATGGTGCAATGGTAACAGCAAGTGTTCTACATGTACGTGTGCTGATATGATCACGTGATACCGATAACAACATCGGGAAAAATAAAGAGATTTGAAAAAGGTGCTGCCCTTCATGTAGATTTTTGCAGTGACAGCTCGTAGCTCCGGGTTTAAGAGGACACCTAGTCCCCCGCAGGTTTTCCAGTCTCAGGTGATATCACGTGCAGGTAGTCAATCGGTAATTGGGACAGAGGGACCACGTGGTGATCATTTAAAGCACCGGTGCTGGGCTCCTACAAGAGCAGTTCTCCTTGGAAACTGCATGGGCTGCGCGCGCCTGTTTGGTCAAGAAAGGAGGGATGATGAAGCACACTGCCAGCGCATTCACGTTTCTCAGTGGATCGCTGTGTGAGTCTACATATCTCTAGGTTAAGCCTATGGATCTCAATAGAAGTCTATCGGTTTCTACATCACTCTGTGTATCTCTTATATCTCTGTATGAGTCTGTGGGACTCGTCGCAAGAAGCCACTGCCGGCACATTCTAGCGCCTCAATTAAGTCCACCTGCACGCGTTATGAATCTGAGACTGGAAAAGCTGAGGCGGACTTGGTCTCAGCTTCAACCTGAACGTGCAGCACGTGGTAGCACTGCCCGATTGAGTGGGAGGCGCTCCCCCCCAAACATTAGCCGCTCGTCAGCGCCGCTCCGACGAACGCGACGGGCGCAGCACCTCACCACTTCGTCCACGTCCTCCCACTCCACCTCGGAGAGATCCACGCTGTTGTAGTTCGGCTTTGGCTTCATCTTCTTGCCCTCTTTGTACTGTGGAGAGGGAACTGCGGTTGGGAACGGAGGAGTTACCCGAGCCACCGGAGGGTGCGGCCACGTGGCTACCGCTCCCCCACGTCTGGTTCGCTCTGCGCGCACGGCCGCGCGGGGCGAAGGGCCACGCGGCCAATTTATGAAGAAGCCAGGAGGGGCAGGAATTTGCAACGTGCGTCGCATTCCCAACAGACAGCCCTGCCCACTGCTTTTTGTCAGCGCTGCCACAATTTGATCTGAATCCAGGTAAGTCGCAACTTGTCCTCGGTCGGAATAGCCAGGGCAATAGGTTGAATGCAGATTGCCGCTGTTCGTAATTATGCTGGGTTCTCAAGTGCAGCGAGTTGATGGTTTCAGCATCACTCATTGCGTGCACAATTTTTTGTTATCCATCAGATATTGTTACCCTTTAATAACTCATAGCTCTGAAAATAAAAAAAACACAATTTTGGCTGACATGTGATGGAGACTATTTGCAAGGCAAACACAAAGTATGTTTCGAATGTGGATGAGATGTAACAGAAGGGACATCAGACGAACAGTTAAATGGGCAGCTTTTTCTTGTGTGCAAGTGGGCGGTGTAACTGTAAGATCGATTAGCCCACCTATTCGCACTGAACATATACAAGTGAGGGTAATGCAGTTAAAGACATCTGCTTGTAAATTCTTGGTGCCATTCAGACATTAACTCACAATTCAGATTAATTAGGTGGAAGACGCAACACTAAATAGGTAATCTCAATTTACAGGCATCTGTTGACTCAAACTTCTGCAGGAGAATGCATAGGTGGTCGTTGGCTGGCTTTAACAGGGCCAAGCTCCTTCGAAGTTATTCAGTAAAACCTCTTGATGCCAGACTTGGTGAGAGAGCACACAAGGTGACCGCTCGTCGCGCACGTGGTCAACTGCCGCAATTGGTGACCCCGTGCCCAAAGACGCGTGTCAGTGCCCGTGAGTGTAAACCGTGTGTTCTCTAGTTTTAGAGATTTATTTTAAAACATATCGTTGTAAAAAAAAAAATCGTTTATAAACAATTAAAACAATTCAGCCGCCCAAAAATAGTATTTTCACCTTAAACCTATGGACCTGCTAAAGCATGAGTACAGACATCCACAGTAGCGAGAGGGCCAGACAACTAGAGACAGATAGCACTGCCTGGGGGTGAAAAGGCGTCACCGAGGTTGATGCTTCGCGCCACCGCAGCAGGGAAATGAGCAACGCCAACACGTGCTCGAGAGTCTTAACAGAGAGTGGCCACTGGGGGGGGTCGACAAGAATGACATCTGGGTGGATTAGAAGGACTCTCAATGAAAGAACGGTGGAACAATCTTGGCAGACAAATAATCGAATGGACCATACATGCATAGTAACCGCCTGCGCTGAAGAAGTGAGCGTCTTCCCCCGAGGCTTTCCCATCACTCTCTGTTGCTTGAAAGCAGCGTGGCAGTACACTTACACTTGAAGCTCCCGACCCGTTGGGAGACGCCAGCCCTGCGTGCTCGCTGATGCCCTCGTGTCGCTTTGCACACGAGGGCATCAGTTGGAGGCGGGGGTCGGGACTGCGAAGAGGCCCTCCGTCTCGTTGTTTTGTGTGTGTGCAGGACACTCACCATTGGGCGCAGGTCCGGGTGGGTGACGATGTAGCCGTTGTTCGTGATGATGAACGCATAGCCATGGACGCCAAGCTGCGGCACACAATACAATCGTCGCAACCAAGCATCTCAAATAAGCTCAATCTCTCCGACAGTGTAAGACTTTTTGAAAGTTAAATGAAAATGGAACACCCCAAAAAAAAAAAACAAGAGACATTTTCCTGTAGATAAAATACACATGTCCCAGGCTGTCTAAAACAAATGTGAAGATATATGCTTTTTAAATAAAACACATTAAAGTTATGGCCAAGCACACCACTAATGTACTTTAGTGATGTCACTGCAGTGACGTATTGAAATGCACAGCAGTGAGGTCACAACAATGTCGTGACGGTGATGACACTACAATGACAGCTTGGGAAATACCGCATGCATCTACAAATTGGGAGCTTTGTTATTTTGTACTCCTGAGCGACTCCCTGGATGAGTTGTGCAAACAGAAACAACAAAGTCCTTACAGTTTACATTTTCACCCAAAAATGGCCATGATTAATGTTCCATAAGTAAAAAAACGCTGCTGATAATGCATTAACTGCTGCACGGATGGTAAGGTGTGGAGAGGCCTTCATCCAGCAGTGGAATGGTAAAGGGCTTCATTTCAAATGAATGCGAAGTTTTGTGACCCATAACCCTACCGGCACAAGCGCACAATCGCGAGGTTGACCCAATATGCGCCCATCATAACCATCATCATCATCATCAGGCCTTAAGCGTACCTCCCTTTTCTTCCCCCGTGCCTCTGATTGGCACTGCTGGCTACGTACGGTGCGAGAGAAGTTCTACGAACAAACACACACACTGGACATACCTTGTAGCGAGGAGCCATCTTGAGCAGCTCCTTGAGTGGCACGTCCGTCCCCACCACGCCCAGGAGGATGCCATGGGACCTCTGAACGCACAAACCGGCAACAGAACTCGTGAATGCAAACGTGTCTCGCATGCCCGGCGTTTCGTCCCTGCCAGCTAACAGCGAATAATGCCCATCAGCCGATGCTCTCCGATACATTTCACTAAATTCAAAAGTCAATCGCCTTAATAAGTAATGGAGCACCACCCTTATTCCCAGTGCGGGTTTCCAGGTTGGGCGCGTGTTGAACATTCGCTATCACAAGCCTTTGCCGCGCACTGCTGCTGGTATCTTCAGGAATATGCCTGGTGCATGCAAAAACCTACGCACGTGGCTAGACTACTCTTGTTCGTGACCAGCATTGAGCCAGTGGTGGAAATTCCTCATTCGTGTGGCGAGGCGAGTGAAAGGCGAACGACTTTCATGCGCAGTGGCACCCATTTTTATTAAAATCTGGGTCATGAATCGTCCGAGCCTGGTTAATTGTCTTGCCTGCCAAACCCTGTTGGAACATCTCATTAATGTTATTTTCCAATGTACGTTTTTTTTAAAGTCTTTAATGCTTTTTTTATTTTGCGGGAATGCTGCCATAAAGTGCTGTGGCTCTGCAGTCGAGAGCTATGAATTAAGGGCAGCACTGTGTGTATCTGATGCCGAATTCAGCCCATGTTTATGCTGCACAGCACGAATGAGATGCAAGCATCTCTTAATTTCTCAAATGTCCCGTTTCCACCGGTCAAAACAGAACTTGGAGTGGCATTCATGTTCAACAGACAAAAAACACAACGATGCATTTCAATGGAGTATTAGGTGAACCCCACTCCCCCTTAAAAAGAGAAATACATAAAACATTTCGAAGGCCAAACAGGGAATATACGTCTCAATATGGCCGTGTTCCATCAGGTAATTTAATAAAGCACTTGTGGCAGTGAGTAATGTGTACCACAGGGCCTCCAAGCGCCCGGCCCCAACTCATTTACATTTTGGTTTTAAACTGCTCCGTGAACAGGAATTGGATCTCATTTTTTGTTGTTGATCCGAGTTAGTAAGCTGACTTCGGTTTACCGCGTTGGTCAAATGTCTGTTGCAGGCTTCACTTCATTTTATTTACAACTCAATTTTGATGAGAAAAAAACCCGAACCCATTCCTAGACGTCCCCCCCCCATCCCACCATCACTGTTTTTTTTACAGTGGTCAATTCTGAACTGCGTGGCATTTGTAACCCTGTGACCTCTGGCTCGCAGCATAGTTGAACACCACATGTTGTGGTCAGATTGGAGGAATATTATTTGGAACACACGAACCCCTGTGTGTGCGTGTGTGTGTACATGTTCATATGTGTGTGTGTATGTATGTATGTGGGGAGTGCTGGTGTAGCGGTTAGCGCGCTGCACTACAAACCCGGCGACCCGGGTTCGATTCCCGTTCACGGCCAACACCGGTGACAATTATTTGAACCGGTCCTGGGCCTCCCCTAGGTCGACTCAGCCTCAAATGAGTACCTGGTGCGGTGTGTAAACATCGCCACTGGGGAGACAAAGGCGGCCGGGCGTGGTGTTGGCCACCCACCCCCTCGTGTACCGTGCCGGCCTCCATAGGTTTTCGCTAACAGCACTTGCCCCAACAGTCTGTTCAGGCTATACGGGGGATCTTTGTCTTTGTCTTTGTATATGTGTGTGTACCTGCTTGTGTGCGTTTGCATGCTTGTGTGTTGCGGGGAGAAATATTATTGGGACTAGTAGACTGCACTACGATCCCGGCAACCTGGGTTTGAAGATTACCTGAGCTGGTCCTAGGCCTCCCCTAGGTGAATGTATCATTAAATGAATACCTTGTGCAGTGTATAAGCAACAGCACGAGGGAGACAAAGGTGGTCAGGCGTGGTGCTAGTCACACCACCCCCACGTGCTCAGCGCTGCTCTTGATGGATCCTCGGCAGGCTGTCTCGGCTATGCACGGGGTCTTTGTGTGTGTGCGTGTCGTTTCCCACCGTTTCATTTTTCTTGCTGAAGACAGGCATGGCCACTGTGGTCATGAGCAGTAGCCCCTGGGACGAGGTGGAGTAGAGCTGGCGGGTAACAGAGCAATCGGCGTCAGTCATCGTCACATCATCGGCACGTCCGTGCGAGACAACTCAAATCTCCCGCGAGACTACGGCTGAAAGTTTAAACAACACAACAACAACAAATTCACGTTACGTCACATTGTCCTTGGACGTGAAAACGTGACATTTATCTGACAGGCGAGTTTGCAAATTATTTATTTAAACGTATTGAGGATGGCGTGTGCGGCGAGGCGTGCAAATTACTCTTTCGTAGGTTCCAGTAGCTTTTACTGTCGCCAATGGGAAAGAGGTGGACTAATTGTCGCGCGGTGGAACGACGTTAGAGCGGACTGGCATTGACATCTTCAAAGCGCCACAAAGTGCGTCTCACTGAGCGTCAGGGTCAAGGGGTCGCACACCAAATGCCACGACGAGTCTCTCTCTCTCTCTCGTTCGTTTATCGATCAGTAGACAATCAAAGTGCACCTTTGCATTTCAAGGGCTGCAAAGCATCAAGAGACAAGTGTTTTCCCTCTCTATTTACCTTAATATTAACTTGATTCACATTGTTATTATTAACGAGGTGGATATTTAATTCGCAAAATTCACAGCTGGAATCAGCTATGTTTGAGCTAGTCCAACTATAGCGGGAGATAATTCATTGCCGATTTAGCAAAGACAACGCGACACAACTGCAGATGACATTAAGGCAATAGGTGCAGTCCACGGATAGAGTGGGTCCTCTCTGAATCGCGTCTGTCTGCAAAGTGAATCCATCTGTGCGGAGCTTTGGGTGCAATCCCCTCGGATGCATAGATTTTCTTCAGCAAATTATTCCCACGCGCCAAATGGTCATGAATGGAAATGGCCAAACATCCCAATGCAGGACCCTCATTAAAAAAAAATGTCTTGAGACTGAGTGAGGCTTTCCTTGGTAAATAACCAGCATACATTATTATTATTATTGGTTTCCCTGCAGTAAAATTTATTTGCTGTGCTCTTACCTTTTGGGCTTGGGGCAGCTGTTGATTTGAATAGGCAGCATGCACAAAGTATAGCCAACCATTCGGAGGGAAAGAAAAGTGTATTTCAGCAACCCAGAATCAAAACGCAATCCCCACATCAGTGATAATTTCACACGTTGCGAGGGCCGCCAAATTATTCAATAAGCAAGCAAAACAAAACTCACATTCATCAATAACAGTGGCCTTAAAATGGAGAATATATAATCGCAATGGCCCTTCTTCGTGTGGTTATCTGGCTTGACCATTTGAATTTCTTTAGTTTGTTATCCTTTCCCCGCACCTCTCAAGAGCACGGTTGGCTACGTACGGTGCAAAAGAAGTTAAACACACATACATTTGAAACTTTGGTTGTTGCTGTGCATCTACATTAGCCTTGCCAAAGAAGAAGAAGAAGCTCTTCTTCATAGCACAGAAATGACATAAAGGACGTGTGTGCTTAAGTAGCATCACAAAATAAATTATTAAGCAAACCACGTTGTTGCAGATGTAGTGCCAACGAGTCAGAGACAGAGACGTTCTAGGTGGCACTTTTTTATTGGAGGGGAGTGAGATGAGAGAGGGAGGGGGGGAGGTGAGGAGAGTATTTGGAGAGTAGTGGAGTGAGGAGAGAGGTAGGAGAGTGTGTGGAGGGAGTGAGTTGAGGGTGGGGGAGGTAAAGAGAGTATTTGGAGAGTAGCGGAGCCAGGGGAGAAATAGGAGAGTGCGGGGCGGGGAGTAGAGTGAGATGAAAATTGAACTTCTTTCGCAACACTTTTTCAAAATTTCTTGTTGTGGTTTTCACACCTGATGATGATGATTGCTTGTGTTGCAGTCGAAACGTCGTGAGAATTTTATTGTTTTATATTTTTTTATTATTTCATTGTTTCCCTTCTACGTGACTGTACCGAAAGAACCAAGAATATTCTTTCGCACCGTACGCAGCCAGCCGTGCTGATTGGGCGCGCGAGGCGTGTCACCCATGCCGCGTTCCCGCGTTTCTCGGCCCCTCTGTGCGCGCGACGTCGAAGGATTGGCGGGGTGGGTGACGAGGGTCACGGCGGGTGGGGGTCACGGCGGGTGGGGGTCACGGCGGGTGGGGGTCACGGCGCGTGGGGGTCACGGCGGGTGGGGGTCACGGCGCGTGGGGGTCACGGCGGGTGGGGGTCACGGCGGGTGGGGGTCACGGCGCGTGGGGGTCACGGCGGGTGGGGGTCACGGCGCGTGGGGGTCACGGCGGGTGGGGGTCACGGCGGGTGGGGGTCACGGCGGGTGGGGGTCACGGCGGGTGGGGGTCACGGCACGTGGGGGTCACGGCGGGTGGGGGTCACGGCGCGTGGGGGTCACGGCGGGTGGGGGTCACGGCGGGTGGGGGTCACGGCACGTGGGGGTCACGGCGGGTGGGGGTCACGGCGCGTGGGGGTCACGGCGGGTGGGGGTCACGGCGGGTGGGGGTCACGGCGCGTGGGGGTCACGGCGGGTGGGGGTCACGGCGGGTGGGGGTCACGGCGGGTGGGGGTCACGGCGCGTGGGGGTCACGGCGCGTGGGGGTCACGGTGCGTGGGGGTCACGGCGGGTGGGGGTCACGGCGGGTGGGGGTCACGGCGGGTGGGGGTCACGGCGGGTGGGGGTCACGGCGGGTGGGGGTCACGGCGGGTGGGGGTCACGGCGGGTGGGGGTCACGGCGCGTGGGGGTCACGGCGGCCAGCCCCTCGGCCGTGACACTCACCGTGCTGTCCATGTACGCCTCGGTCCAGATGATGTCGTGGTCGTGGTTGATGACCATGGGACGGCTGAGCACGTGTAGGTACTCCATCACGTTCTCCTGCACGTCGGCCAGCGTTGAGATCTGTGTGTAGTAGCCTGCATACGCACACACACACAGCGCAGAGCACTGCAGATCACTCTGCTACCTACTTCCCCCCCCCCCTCATCTCACTCTACTCCCCTATCTCTCCCCTCTCATCTCGCTCCACTCCCCTCCACACACTCTCCTACCTCACCCCTCTCATCTCACTCTACTCCCCTATCTCTCCCCTCTCATCTCGCTCCACTCCCCTCCACACACTCTCCTACCTCACCCCTCTCGTCTCACTCTACTCCCCTCCACGCACTCTCCTACCTCTCCTTCTCATCTCGCTCTACCCCCCTACACACACTCTCCTACCTCTCCCCCCACCACGTACCCCCCTACACACACTCTCCTACCTCCCCCCCCACTACGTACCCCCCTACACACACTCTCCTACCTCTCCCCCCACCACGTACCCCCCTACACACACTCTCCTACCTCCCCCCCCACTACGTACCCCCCTACACACACTCTCCTACCTCTCCCCCACCACGTACCCCCCTACACACACTCTCCTACCTCTCCCCCCACCACGTACCCCCCTACCTGCGTGCCGGCCACCTGGGCGCCCCCTCCCCTCTGCGAGCTGGGCGGCGCATGGCCTCCAGGCCAATCAAAATGCACGCTGGGCGGTGCGTGGAAAGTAATCCAGCCAGCGAGCAAAACTTGATTATTATTTTTTAAAACAAGTACGATAGTGTAAGTTAAACGTTTAATATCAGCATTGCTGTAGAAAACCTGAACGGCTTCAGATAAAAAAAAAGACACTAATGCTGTGGTGTGGAAAGTAGGTTGTTCAGTTCAATGTTTTCAAAAAACTTTGCACCCAAACTGCAAGAGCAGCCACGTGATGTTCTGAGCGATGCACACAGGAAAAAAACTAAATCACAGACGGTGGTAGCAACTGGATTTGTGTTCGCTGTGATTCATGCGTCTGCTTTTGGGCAGAAATTCATTAACGGCAAAAGAGCCCAGGATCTTAAACAAATAGCCCGGCGAGAAAATAGGTGACTTGCCAACTTAAGAGCAGCACACATTGTTGCAACAAATCCATCTTGTTTTCACAGTGTGGTGTTCTGCTTATCTTGCAGTCTGTGTTGTACGAGGGGAAACTAAGTTACAGGTCCATGTGTCGTGCCATTTACATCAATAATGATTTACGTGAGATGAAACGCCTGAAACGCCTGAGCACCCAACCATGCCAACGGAATGAATAAATACATTTTTTTTAAAGTGCCCCACAGGGTTCCCTGCTCAGCCACGTCGCTGATGTCAGCCGTGTCTCGTTCGTCCCTCCCAGTGGCACAGTGTGCCTTTGGCGGGACGCAAGGATTATGCAAAAATGGACTCGGAGGAATCATTGGGGGAAAAAATACAGCTGTGACATTTTGCGCAGGGACGGATCCTTTTCAGCCATGGGGACTAATTTACGCGGACGTGAAGGCAGAGTGAGTCCTTGTGCTTTATGAGCCCAGAGTCAGCCCTGCTCGCTGCTTGCACATGCATACTGTGTCACGCAGGTAGTGGCAGTTCTTCGCAAGCGTAGCAGCAAATGGTAAAGGCGCAGCCCTGCAATTTCTTGGATCACGCCACTGCGGGTAAAAGGGCATCCACGAGAGGCTGCTTTTAAAGAGCCACATCCAGATGTCTTGGAAGAGGTGGGAGCACCCACACGCCTTTACCCCACAACGCACGACGTGCAGATCAGCTTAATTGTGGTGGTACCCATTTACACTTATGGGTGGACAGAGTCGGAGGGATTCAAGAAACCTGGACCATCGTTTTAATTGCCGTGCCGGGAGATCGCATCACACCTCTGGATTGTAATTCCAGTGTACTCACGATGATACTCGGGCGGCATTTATATGCTGCATTGCATACCGAGTTTCTTGCATCCCACATAGAAGCAGACCTGATGTAGGCAGTAATGAGAAGGAAACTGGCACTTTTTGGACACATTTGTAAAAGGTCAACAACAACGGGAGAATCAAAAGGGTGTTGTTGTTTGGAAAAAATGGAAGGAACCGGAAGGAGAGGAAGCCCTAACAGAGAATGGCTTGACAACAACATCAGAGATTGGTGCCAGAAAGATATGGCACTGCTTGAGCATATTGGCACAAGACAATAAGAAAATGTAAATAATTGACGAAATGTGCAGTGGACACCTATGGGATATATCCCATGGATCGTGATGACGATGGTTGCCTACCTGCGATACATTATTGCGTAGTGTCTTTCAAAACAATCATTCTGGTGAAGTGAGCATTACATGCTACTCATTTGCCTTTTGTATGTGTGAGCCAGGGGTGGAAATTCCATATTTATATGGTGGAGGACGAGTTATATCGTAAGGCAACCACTATTGACATCCCTGTAAAATAGTGCTTATTTTATCGACCCTGGATGGACGAATTTACTGAGCCGACCCCCACTCTCTACTGCTGTAGCACGCGGCCGGTAGACGTGTATGATACTGCGCTCTGTGCGTATAGATTACGACTTACCTTTGTTTGCACAGGCCATCCACTTGATCGGGTTGGCAAATGCCAGCTCTCGGCCAATGAGGTAGGTGAATATGCGGACCTGTAAAAGGCAGTGCTCGCAGAATGTCACCACAGGGCAGTGACACGCATAGAATATCCACGATGCATGCACGCATGTACACTTACATAATCGTACTTTCATTAGCATTACAATACAAAAAAACGCCTTTCACGCTTAATTAGAGCGAACAACTTTGCGGTTCTTCTCCCTGTAATGAGCTGCATTTTAATTGGAGCTCTCTAATTTATACTGTTGGCCTCGCTATGAAAGGCAGAATTAATCGTATGGAATGGACCCCAATTCAAGGTATTTAAAGGGGGCTGCTGCTTCGTTTAAATTCGGAGAAAATAGGACGTTCCCTCTGACCTCTGCGGAATCTTAACGTAAGTTGCGTTTTTTTTTACAAGCCAGATAGTTGATTCGAACGGCTTTCATATCTCATCTCGATATTTTGACAAAACATGCTTAAGTCCCCATTCACCATTGGCTAACGTATTAAATACACAGTCTGCGTCATTAATGAACGATAAAGTGACCGCAACCTAATTACACTTTTTATTTTACTGCAGCTCCACACGATTAATTTTTGTGAAGCCCTCACGAATCTTGACTTACGAATGATAATTAAATACAATTTAATAAAAGCGGTGAAAATTGTGAAGAAGATGAAGAAGAAAAAAGCTATGGTAATCCCGGGGGGCCATCGGACCCTTCCCAACGGGCAGCATGGTTGCCAGATTAAATTCCACCAGTGCCGGTTAAACAAAGGACAGATAGACACGGGAGCGGAGGGGATGAGGTAAACGAAGGACCCCCCTCTGTCTATCCCTTGCTCTCGCTCCGCTTTTCACAGTAGCCGTCACTCGGCGTGAAAAATCAATCGTCATGGGGCTCCGTGTTTGTGCCTCCGGCCTCCTCTCCCTCAATCCGTCCGTTCAATCCCTCCTCCATCAAGTAGGCCTCTGCCCCTTCCATTCAAATTGGCTCAGCTAACGTGCAAATTGTTTGTTTACAATGTCACCCGACGATATTTTACCGCTCTCTTTAAGATTATTTGTTATTTGCCTGCCCCCCACACGAACCTTAATGTCCACCGTACGTGGTCCCCATCTGGGTGGGGTCAGCGAGCCCCACAATTTTTTTGACCCCATCAATGTGTCCTGCTCGTGCCCAAATCGGGCTGCTGTCCCACCCGCCAAGTTCTGTGATCGGCGTTTTGTCCCGGGCTCGCGTTGAGTTGTAATAAAACAACAACAACAACCATAATAATCATAGCACATAATATTTGTCATTTTTTTGCTTGCGCCTTCGTTATTTGCTTGCGCCATCGTTATTATCGTTGTTGTTAAGAAACATTTAAAGGCGCGGCCCTACAATTAATTGCTTGCTCACACCCACTGCTGACAATAAGGGTGTCCGCGAAAAGGAGCTCGACAGAGAGTACTTTTGCCTAATCTTCCACATGAGCCAGACGTGGGAGTACGGACACTGTACCCCACTACACGCGACCTGCCGATGGACTAAATTTGGTGAACCCGTTCATACCCCACAGGCTGAACAGAGTTGGTGATGGCGGGCGGGGGGGGGGAAGGGAATTTCAGAACCCAGCTCATTATTTAAACTGTCACTACGGAAGAATGAACGTGCGACCTCTATATATTACAAGTCCAGTTTGCTAAAAATTGCATTGCGGCGGCAGCTCTTGGAACGAAACACACACGGTTGTGTCCCTTAATGGAACACAGTCAAATAAAGTGTTGGTGTGTGTGTGTTGTATATAGTATGAGGAGCGGTAGTGTAGCGGTTAGCGCGCAGTGCTACGAACCCGGCGACCAGAGTTCGATTCCCTGCTCACGCCCAACACCAGTGATTATCTGAATCGGTCCTGGGCCTCCTTTAAGTCGACTTATAACATTTTTATATGAGTTTAATAAGGCCCATAACGTGTATATTTTTTTTACTTCAGAATAAAGAGACGCACTACATCAGCTATAATTATTGTTCATTGTGTGTCGTGTGGCTCATTAAGCTATGCCACATGCTTGGCCCAGCCAGGAACATCTCTGTTGGTAGTAGCCCATTACCGCTAATGGAATGTGAAGCCCTCTAAATTCGTTTTGAAGCTGCCTGGAAAAAGCCACTTTAGTAACCGAATCCTACGAATGGTGCATCAAAGTGCTTTTTTTTTACAAAAGTTAATTTACTTACAGTATAAGCTTTAGATTCGGTCGTGTGTCCTCTCAACGTTGCCTTTTGCGAGTACAAATATAATAATTCGGTATATATGGCGCCTAAACCAATGCTGGCGATTTGCAAAGGTGTACGTTACAATGTTTTAAAACAACAATGTCCAAGCATTGCAAACAGCGTCCTCCTGATGGTACAGTCTCATCGATGCTCAGGTTTTTGCTGAAATGTGGCCAGGGAAGGTGAGTGTGATGTTGTAATTTTAATATTTCCATAGCTTGCGATGAAAGAAAGTAGGGCTTCGTTTCAACCCCATCATGAAGCTAAAAGATAAAAGTGCAGACCTATCATTTATTGTTCACAACCTTGCTGGAGAAAGGGACTAGAAGGATATCTGGAGAACCCTTCTCGAGGGTATTTGGCCTACTCTTCCATGCTGGCCGGATATTTGTTGCATGTGCAGAATTCCATGCTTCGCAGCTCTCAATCGCAACCCAACTATATAATTTATATTCTTGGTTCTTTCGGTAAAGTCACGTAGAAGGGAAATAAGAAAATAAAATAAAAAAAGAACCAAGAATATGAATCCCTGCAGTCACGAAAGTTTTAAATCGAAAGCGCATAATTTGTTCGTATTATTCGAGCGGGTCGTCTATAAATGTGTCACCCTGCGTCGCACGAAAGAAAGAGAAGAGCAGTTCCGAAGCGTGAAGGCAGCCGGTGATTTCAGTTCACCGTGAGGATCCACTGCGAATTGTACCTTCTTGTCGGGCGAGTTGTACTTCTCAAAGACCTCCTCGAAGGTCTCGACGGCTCCGTCGGTGACGACCATCAGCGCCTGATTGCAGCTGCTACCCTGCCCCGTGGCGTTGAACTGCAGAAGCGTCAAGCGAAGCGTGGTCACAGCGCCGAAAGTAGAGCTCGGCGTGGTGTGCAAGGTGCTGGACACGAAGATTTTGTTCTTATTGTTATTGTCACCATTCAATTAGACGGAGAACGTGGCCTGTTGGATCGTGGTGGGGGGGGGGGGGGTTAATATCATTGAGATTCTAGGTTCAAACTTGGGTAGCCAGCTGTGATTCCACCGCGTTGATGGTCTGTGCAAAGAGTGGTTGTATTGCATGTGCAGGAGGTCGGGGGTTCGACCCCGGCCCTGATGCCTGTATGTTTTGAGTGTGCGAGTTCTCCCCGTGGTCGCGTGCATCTCGTTCTTTGGGTCCCCCGGTGTTCCCCTCCACATTCAGAAACGCGCATTTGGAGTATTTGGCTGCTGTAAAATTTCCACGAGATAAGACACTTAATTGAGCTATCGTTTGTGGCCGGGTCGCTTCTGAAAAAGAAGCTAATCGCTCATTGGGCTTTACCTGGTAAGATAAAAAAATAAAAACGTGTTAAGTTTAATTTGTATGCATTTTTAAGTGATTTGTTTACCTTTCCTGAATTTTCCATTCCTATCGTGTTTTTGTATTCGTCTGTTTTTATAACGTTCTGACCTGCCCCTACTAGACATCTGTGTAAAAGAGCTTCATAGCTCATCGGATTCCTCCAGGATAAATACCCATTCTGATTCTGATAATAATTAGACATTTCAGTTGGACATGAACCAAACACTTTCAAGGGGGCAAGGACGGTGTGCCCCGCTTGTTGGCAACCACATCTGTCAAGGTGATTTCAGAAAGAGTTCAGGTGACACCATCTTCTGGGACCATTCTTCGACAGAAGGTGGTGCACTCATATCTGTAAAAGTGATAATAGAGATTTCTGCATGTCGTGACATACTCGAATTATTATTATTCTTTTTTTTACCAGATAAAGCCCAGTGAATTATTAGCTCTTTTTCAGATGCGACCTGGCCAACATGATAGCTAATAGAAGTGGCTTATCATCATATGTTGGAATTTATAGTCATAGCCAAACAATATAAAATAATATTTCTAAATGTGGAAGGAAAATCCAGAGGAGCCAGAGAAAATCCAGGCGACCATGCGGAGAGAGAGAGAGAGAAAGAGCACGCGAACTCCAAATATACAACAGGCATCGTCAGGGTTGGGATCGAACCCACAAACGCCTGCATAGCAGGCGAGGGAGATTGTATTTGCAATATACTTTGGAGAAAGGAATGATGAAGATGCAAATCATTGCAAATCACGAGGTCATGGATTTCATGCAGCTCGGTGGAATAGGATGCAGTGATTTAAAACTGTACACATTTTCGCGCTGCATTTTAGGATTTGGACATTTGTCGAGATGAATTCCACGAAAAAATGTAACAGGGCTCTGCAAGAAAAAGACACCACAGGCGTGGCCTGAGCTTACCTGGTCCAAAATCACGAAGCCTTCCTCCAGGGCATTTGCCAAATCTGCCACCCCCTGTGCATGCATATCCTCCAAAAGCTGCTTAAAGTGCTGAAACATACATACATACATTTTAAAAAAGTATTATGAAAGATATACACTTAAACTTAGGCACAAGCACACTTCTTTAGATATGTTTTAATTTATGTTGATTTCCCGTGAGAGAAATTCCCATCGCTTGCAGCGATCGTTGGATGTTTTTAAAGTTTTTACAAAGTCTTTTTTATGTTCCGTCATATTCAGCAGAATTACGATGTTGAGTGGGACATAAGAGACTCTCAATCGATATTGAACATTTGCGCAATAAACCAGAGCCACGAGTCTCGGAAGCCACATGCGAAATAAAGTCAGACCGATCAGATGAGTAAGTGCAAACATATCAGGCAAACAAGATCACACGCTAACTGCTCTGTGCTTTGAACTGGTTTCGGCAATGCTTTTTGCCACTATCTCACCACCGTGGCCATGTACACAGGCGCTCATCTTGATGCAATGCATCCTAGGACTTCTGGTTCTCCAGTTGGAAGACAGACTGGCAGGCACCCTGTGCCAATGTCCAGCTGAGACTTCTCCAATAGCCCCCACCTTTGCCGCCCGAGTGGCCTCGTGTGGTGACAAGCGGTGGGTCTCACGTACACTTTGGCAGTCCTCAATGAGCCGTTGTGAGATAACGGCTAATTGACCAGTCTCCACTTCAGATTATTCCTCCTCAAAAAAAAGGTTAATTGCATTTTGTAACACGGCCAATTGTTGCAATTGCTACGAGAATCGCTCACCCTCGGTTCACCTTTGGTCGTTGATGTATAAAGTGTAAGTAATAGCATATTTCATTAAAATAATATATCTAGTGTTAAGATTATATAAAATAAGTAACCACATTTGACTCAAATGCCTAGTATGTCGAAATACTTTTTTGCTGTGAACGCCATTTTGTATTAATTCTCAAACAGTATACTTTGTTCTAACCGCTTTACAAAGTACCGTTTAGGAATTAACATTTACAGCCTAATTTGTCATTCTACTGCTGGATGAGGGCCTCCCCCTATGCCTTGTGACCAGTGCAGGATATCCGATCAATTCCCTCTCCTGCCCACAACGCCCATCAAACCCGCCTTTCGTGGACGTTTCTCACCCACATCCCAAACGCAGTCCCGGATCGACCCTGCTTAGATTCTGAGGTCTTGACCGGGATCGCGAGGATGGAGGGTTGATTTGGTCATAGGCCATTTTAAAATGATGCTATGGGGGGTGTCATTTTAGAGAGGGGGTTTTTTTCCCCCACAAACAAACGAAAAGCAGTGGAAATGATGGTGGTTGTCTGGAGATTTTAGTTCAATTAAATAGGCTCCTTGGGGTGGGCACAGCGGATCATTAGCATTGAAAATCGCCATTATTCAGAACCCGGAGTCCCACAGTCAAATTGAAAGGGTACCAACAGGCGAGCAAATCCAGTGTGACAATCTGGAAGCGGATTTCTTTGTAGCATTCACGAATGCCCCTCATAAAGTATCACCATTACCTTCCGCAGTCCCGCACCTCCAATTCGCACGGTTGGCTACGTACGGCGTCAAAGAAGTTCAACGAACAAACATACAGACGTGTTGGAAAAAGACAGGCGTACCCGCACTTTACCCCCACCATACGCAACCTGCAGATCGACGTCATTGCAGGAGCACTCATTTACACTGGTGGATGGACAGAGGCGGGATGAATGTAATAAACCTACATACGTACACATACACGCTTCCCCAGCACCCTCGGTAAAAAAAAAAACGTTTCCGTGAAGCCATTCTAATCACCGTTTCACTCAGCCTGAAACGGCATCGCTCGTGCCACTGCAGGCTGAAGGACCTTCCACTGTTGAGAGCTCTTGAGATCGTCCCATCTGGAGTGTATTTTGCCCTCCTCTTCCAACGCCGGCCAGACGTTTTGGAAGAGCTGGGAATTCCCCACTAATTACCCCACCGCACGCGGCACTTTCGGTCATTCATACCGCTGCATGGACAGAGACATTGGGTGTATTTAGGAAACTTAGCCCCATTGTTTCACCTGCCCATGCCAGGAGACGGAATCAAACTGGCAGATTCTGTCTTGCAGGTCCAGCGCGCTTCTCATTATTCCACCACAGCATCCGTTCAACTAAAACTAGAGCGACCAGTTTGTTGTTAATCGTGCCACGCGTGTTTTACAATGCTTGTTTACTCTTCTATCAGCCATCGATCTTTTGTCAGGTGGCTTTGAAGAAGATTATAAAAAACGGTACATTATCTCTGCCCCTCCCCACACCCATGTCATTAACGCAACTGCACTGTAAAAATGCGCAAAACACAGTTACCTAAACAAGTATGAATATAAATTGATCGCCGCATGCATCTCTAAATATCTGATTAGTTTGTTGGATTTTAGACTTTTAGTGAGGGTGAGCAAAAAAAATACGAACAAATTAACATTTTTTATGGCGACGAATTTACATTTATTGACGGTCGCGCTTATAAATCACGACTTTTTTTAAGCCTTCAAATATCTTGGTAAATTAATTTTGAATGACTATTATATATTCTACATAAAGCTCTGAGTTATAACATAATTGAAAACATCACGTACTTGACGATTTATTTATAGCTGACAAACTTCACGGGCCAAAGTAATACCTTCTCACGGTGATGTTAAATGCATGAGCTGCAGCGGTGGATGCTGGTGAGGTGTTATGGTCAGTACACTAGACTTGAAATCCAGAGGTCACTGGTTCAGTATCTAAAAGGGGTACAATATTTAAAAAATATGAATGTTTCGTTACCCCCCTCCCCCCCATCCCCCCATCCCCCCCATCCCACCTCTATTTCAATTATTTGGCTGCTATAAATGTCCACGTGATAAACCACTTCGTTGAGAAGCTATCATTTGTGGCCAGGTCGCTTCTGAAGAAGAAGCTCATAGCTCAGTGAGCTTTACCTCGTCAAATAAAAATAGTTCATCTTCATTGTTTATTTTTTTGTGATTTGCTTACTTTTTCTACATTTTGCACTCCTATTGTGTTTTGTGTTGTGTGTTGTTCTCTCTGACCCGCTGGTACTAGTCATCTGTGAAAACTTGTTTCATAGCTCATCGGATTCCTCCAGCATAAATAAGTATTCTGATTCTGTATACAAAGCAGTAGAAATAAGAACACCACCCTTAGTAGATCAGGTGGGTTGCATGTGATGGGGTAAAGAGTGTGGATACTATCACCTCTTCCAAATGTCTGATCGGTGTGGAAGAGTAGGCCAAAAATACCCACTTAGAGGGGCCTAAAGAATGGAACATCCACTAAGGAGACAGGGCGTTGAAATCAGCTCGTGTGTAGGTGCCAGGTGGTCGCTACAAACATAGAGAGATGGCGACAGCTTAGGGTAGCCTTCATCCAGCAGTGAATTTATCATGGCTGATGATTGCATTGTTGTTGTTGTGTGAGGCACAAGTACAAATCAGACAAGTCACAGGAAAGACTTGTTTGACGAGCCGGTGTGCAGGCTTACCTCTCTGTTGTCACGGTTTGCCTGCACCATCCCTCCTTCGAAGCACGGCTCAATATAATGCAGCTGCTCATTGTACTGGCACACAGAGAAGGGACACACCATCATCATAATCAACCATCATCATCATCATCGCCCGCAGGAGTCAAGGCCACTCTGCCTCTTTTCAGGTCATCCAGATCAGCCATTGTTAACTAATTTCTTTCGTGCTGCTTTTTGTGTTTAGTTTGTTGTCCTTTGCCCGCACCTCCGAATATCAAGGTTCACTACCTACGGTGCAAAAGAAGTTCAACGTACATACATTATACTCCTGCACATGACTTGATCTCATCGCCCCATCTCAGGGACGCACAAATACGTATGCACTCCTCTACGCTATGGCTACCAATCTGTTCGCAGTTTCGTCCATTAGCAATCATCCATTCAACAAAGTATTTCCTGCCCAATCCGACATTTCTCAGCATTCAACATTGCGTCTCTGAGTTGTGTGTTGCTTCCTGATCCACGAACCCCCTGTGTTTGCCATTTAATGCAAGTCAGAACATGCATCTGGTGTATGTTTCTTTGCACACTTTTCAGCTTTTGTTCCAATTGTTGTTTCAGTGTCCGCATTTCTGCTCAATGTGTGATTAATGGCAGTATAGAGTCAATAAAAAAAGTTCCTCTTCAGCCAGAGATGTGACTTTGATCCACATTCATTTTTAGGGATTGGTCACGTGATGGTTGTTTGATTGCCTACATTTCTTGTCGTTAACCCTCCACCGACATGACAAGGTTGGCACCTTTTACAAAGTCATTATTCTTACGTGGCCAAGTGTATCGATCGAGTTCTGACCGACAGAGCCCCTTCAGCAGTTGCTCAAGGGGGTTCTTTTTATTTTTTCACGGCGGAATTCGACGCGTCGCTTCGGCCTTCACCAGGGTGGTGGGCTTGGGCAAATTGGGCACGAGACGCCACACTGTGACACTGCGACGCTTGTGAAAGATATGCAACCCCTCGTCCACGCATTCCGAACATCGCGAATACGTCAGAGCGCCGAGGCTCTGCGGCGGCGCGCTTTTGTCCGCAATGGGAGTTGATTGATGGTGCGACATTTCTCGCAAATTACATATTTATATAGAAATTCGAATTTGACAAAAACAAATGATAAATCGGTTATGGCTCATGTATTCACTTGATTTGCACTGGAAGTGCTACTTAAATTCGAAAAAAAGCCATTATTTCCCTCATGGGATGATGATCAGTTGAAATGTAGGGCTTATTAGCAGCACATTACAACGTACATTATTTATGATTTGGAGCAAAATATGGCGTAAGTGATGGGGCGGTGTAGTTCTGTGGATTAACAGACACACGTCGAGCCAATCTGTTTATCCAGGAGGTTCCAGACACCATTAAAAATCAATTGATGCCAGGTGTCGCGCTATCATCAGCGTTCTTTCAAAGTAAAGCACATCAACTAGATTCGTCATGCCTCACAGAATGACTGAAAAACAACAGCGACGCGCTTCAAGGGAAGGCCGCTGCCTGGGTTGGTGCCACAGTCTTTTGATCACGCGTGACGATGTTTTATTTACGGATCTTTGGATGATGCTTTAAAACCGCCAAGAATTCTGGATCGATGTACCCTCCGATGTGTCTCCGGGTTGTGCCGTGCGTTTGGAACTACGCGGTTCCTCGTGAAGCTCCCAGGCACGTGGAGATAAACGTCGGACATCACGCTGAACAATACGTGGTCACAATTGGGATGCACATCGTTGAAAAGCTATACGGCACAACGCGACAATCCTACACAGTGTTATCAACGAGGTTTTTTTTACATTTTCTTACGACATTACAACTTGGGGTGCTACAGTGGCGAGATGTTAATTACCTCGCCGGTTATGCAAGAGATTGTGGGTTCGATCCCAACCCTGACGGCTGTATACTTGGAGTTTGCATGTCTTCCCCCGTGGCTACGTGGATATTTTCTCCGGGTCCTCTGGTTTTCCCCTCCACATTTATAAGCATGCATGCGTTTAGAGCATTTGGCTGATATTAATTTTCCACGTGATAAGCTACTGCATTGGGCTATCATCTGTGGCCAGGTCGCTTCATAAAACAGAGCTATATAGCTCAGTGAGCCTTACTTGTTAAAATAAAAATTAGTCTTTAGTTCAACTTACACACTGTACAATGGCGAATGATGCAGATGGAAGCCTAACACAGTGTGGATTTGCAATAGTAATACACGCGTGTTTTGTTTGTTTTACTTATAAGCCCTTAATCCCACGGACGGTTTTAGTTTTGACAAGGTACGCACCCATTTTTTTCATAAATTATTCCAGCAACATAAAGCAACGTGAATAAGGGCGCGCCCCTTGGGACTGGGAGGAAATTGAAGTGGGGCTGATAAAGTAAAGGACATCGCTTGATTTGTTGCGTGAAATTGCACGAGAAAGCACTTCCTCTGCCAACAATTGTTGGCAGAGGAAATATTTTATCTTATAGAAATTAATCCATTGGTTATAGGTTAAAAGCAGTACTGGCACATTCCCAGATGTGTTGCTGCTTGAAAGATATTATACATACAAAGAGAGTCCTGTAATTAAAACGTCGATAGCATTTATACCTAAAGTGCTCGCCATTAAGTTGCAGGCAGAAATAACACAAAAAGTTGATTTTATGAAGTCGAAAGGCAATGTGCCCAGAACGGTAGAGCATTTATCTGTGAATACGAAAATTCGATGTTCAACGCAAGTTCATGCGCACAACATCGATTGCCCGCCAAGGCTTAGATAGTGCTGCTTGCCTGTACCTCGTGTGCCCAACGAGCATGTATGTATGCTGAACTTATTTTGCACGGTCCGTAGCCAACCGTGCCAATAGCAACGAGCCGTGGATCATTGCGAGCGAATTCGGAGTGAAGCAGGCAGCGCTGGTGAAGAGCGATCACCTTTGGTTTTATGCAAGAGCACTCACTCTGCTGGGCTCAGTGACTTCCCCTAGCCTAAGCCCCACTCAAAGCTCTGGGTTCGGCCCCGCTGTAGGAAACCCACAGAGGACGTTCCTGCCTAGCAGCAGCATCAGTAGCAGCTGCAGCACTGAAACAAAGCAATAATCCCAATTCCTTGGTGGCAATAGGCGACCGTCCTTCAGCGAACCATGCATTGCATGAAACGCCCGAGCAAGGCCCACGAGAGAAAATAAGGTGCTAATGCTCCGTGGTTGTTTCGTTTTTTTTGCACGATAGAAACACCGCGATGAGAATTCAAGCGGCAGACGGATGTGGCCTGGAAACCGTGGATTTGCTGAGCAAGTGGGGAGCTTTTAGACCTTTAAATAATGGAAGAGCCCTTTTTACATTTTTAAATTCGTAGAGAGGGGTTGATTTCTGGAGCGTGTAATTGTGTATATGTGTGCATGAATATATGTCAGTGCGCACATATAGGGTAATGGAATAGTGTTAGGTTGGTGTTACAGACGGTTATTATTTTGGCAGAACAACTTATCCCAACGTTATTGTAAATATGCGCTGACATAGAACAGTCCTTCACATTTGGATTGTAATTTTGACTTCATTTTTCTGGCTACATCACTGCGCTCTGAAGTTGTGACCTGCGGTCAATACCTGGCCACGGTGAACATCAGTGGTGTGTGTTATCTGAACGATTCCTGGGCCACTCATTTCACCTACCCACACTGATCAGCGAGTACGGTCAACCCTATAACTGACATGGAGTAGGGAAGGCTTCATCCCGCAGTGCATTGACAAAGCTACGTAAATTGCTCTGACAGTATTCTATTTTGAAAACGATATCAAGGAATTGAGGCTCACTTATTGTCGTGCGACCGCTTTTTTCCGATAAAAACGCAGCAACGGCCGAGATGGTCGATGACACCGATGGAGCGTGCGCAACGTCGTGGGGGACACTCACAGCGATGACGTTCACGAAGTCGTTGTCCCCGAGTGTGTCCAGGATGGTGCTGATGGTCTGCTTGGCGATGGTGAGGCGCAGACCCTTCATGCTGCCACTCACGTCCACCAGAATGACGATGTCCTTGGGCGACGTTGCCGCCTGAATGTACCTGCGTGCGGCGAGATCGTGAGGGTGGTACAGACCAGAACGACGAGCAGTCTTGGCTTACCGGTGAAGTGGCTGATCAACTAATTGCCTGACTCACTAACTCACTAATCAACTGAGTTAGTAATATACTGACTGACAGACTAATTGACCGACCCCCTGATTGACTGACCAGTTGACTTATTGACAGACTGATTGATCATCCGATTGACCAATTACTTTCCTGGCCAACTGACTTAATGACTAATTATCTTATTGAATAATTGACATAGGAACTGATTGATCAACTAACTTACTGAGAAACCTATTGAATTAGTGACTGAATGATGGACGTAGCAAATGACCCACGGACTGACAATAAACATTTGATCAGCTAACTCATGCCTTTAGTGCATGCCTTTGTGGCAAAGCTGGGTATGGACCATATAACTCACTTTGGAGGCAAGGATCGTTGTATCACGTAGATTATGTGAACCTCCAAACCACGCTGGCCAGAAGATAGCAGTACAGAAAGTAGGTTAGAAACCCATCTTAGTAATTGTCCCTTTTTATGCATGGTGGGGTTTTTTTCTGAGTATGTGAGCTTCCTCCTGCATAGTCATTCGTGAAATCGGTCAAACATCCAAATTGCAGAAAGTATTTTGAAACTCAGTGAGCTTTTTCCTGGGTAAATAAATGACGTCATTATTATTACTTTTACAAGCATGTACAAATACTCACCAGCCCCTGTTCCTGCAGTCAAATGAAATCACTCCATTTTCATCTGGCGTCCATTTGATACCTGGAGATATGGGCATCTTAGAATCGGCATCTGGTGTCGGTGAATCATATAACACAGGGGTATTTGATTAAGTAAAGAGACATATGCTGTAAGTTATGAGAGTGCAATTTTAGTCAACTAAGATGTGTTACTGAATTGGAAATCATACCATCACTTTTGTGCCCTTACACAACTGTACATCAGAAGAGCACTGTGCTGTTATTTGATGAAAATCATCAAACATCACGATGACTATGGCCTCCTGTAGCTGTCAACGATTAACTACCCTGAACCAAGATGCAGGCAGTGGGGAATACTAAATGCGATCATTAGATATATATGTATCTAAACATGATTACTGACTGCACTGATTTGGCTGATGTGATAATTGTGGATCCCTCGCATAAGACATTTAATAACTTAAGGATGGACAAAAATTTCACACGGTAAAGGTGAAAATGCAACCCTGCAAAATCCGTTCATTGCTACTACTGGCGTGAGGGCCTCCACCAGAGGGAGTTCCAGACAGGGCCCTCTCGAGTATATTTGACCTACTCTTCCACACTGGCCAGACGTCTTAGAAGAGGCGAGAATACCTGCACTTCACAGCACCATACGGCTGGGTGGTCAGAGAGTGCCGGGAGTATTTAAGAAACGTGCACCTTTTGTTTCAACTGCTGCACCAGGTGAGCCCTGTGGCCACAGCGTGCGAACCGTTGCACCGTAGCTCAGACCACAGCCAGGGGGTCAAATGGCGTAAAAAAGTTCAGCCAGTTGGCAGATGTCCGGAGACGCACGGACGTGGCCCCGTTGCAGCGCCAATGCTCCGCTTACCTGGGTACTGGCGGAAGAATCCCGTGGAGCTGCCGTAGTATTGCCAAGTGAGGGTGGCATCGCGCTCGAAGTTGTCCTCAAACACGGGGTTCAGGGCCTCGGACCAGAATGCCCCATTAACGATGTTCGGCTCTGAACACAGGAGGGGAGAGTTAGGGGGCTGCCCGGTACTGGCATGCCGTTTCACATGTGGTCGCGACCGATGCATCGCACACACAGGGGAAATCAGGGCGATTCTTCCACGATTGACTCTGGCTGTGAAGTGAGAGGCAATGATGAATTCTGGGTTGTGACATTGAATTAAGAGTCAATGTTTGTTTTATATATGCTGTCATTTGTTAGAGCAGCTTTGTTAGCCATACGTGATGAACCGAGCATTATATGCTTAGGTGGCATACATACGTAAGGATAAATACGGTATATGGAAATCATGAATGCAGAAGTATTACATGTAGATTCAAGCAGACAGGAGAATGGATAATTGTAACTCATGAATAGAGGATGACCAGTGGGTATTGCTTTGATTGCCCAGAAATTACATCCAAAGGCTTTCAAATCAGAGAATGCTTTACAAAGAGAGTGATTGGCAGATAAAAAAATAGCGCAAGTTCAACTTGCTTAAGTCCCCTTTGGTGACTCGCATCTCTCCAGCAGAGAGAGCCAATCTCGTGATTTAAAATGAAATTTGACAAACAATCAGAGAAACAATTAAGAAGTTTTGCATCCTGCTAGAGACAATGAATAACCAGAGGCTGCCACATTCAGGAACAGTGGTGATCTCCGATATAGGGTGTTTAAAATGATGGACCCAATTTCAAAGCAGTATATTTCACGATGGCAACATGTTACAATTACACGAAAAGTTACAAACGGTTTAATGAGTTATCAAGCTTTACTAACCATTTTATAAATGCTCTATGTGCCCTCCATCGGACAACATCGAGACGATAGTTTAATTCGTCCCAAACGCCTCTCTTCTCACGTTTTCCTCTGAGGTGCGTGGTCGCCCTGTGCTCTTCTCCTTACATAAACAACAGCCCGTTTCCTCAAATTGTCGGTACCAACGACGAATGCTCTTTGACATTGGCGGATCAATGCCAAAATGCCGTTTAAACGCACGCTGCACCGCAATTACGGATTCAGTTTTGCTGAACTGCAGAACGCAAAACGTCTTGTGTTGCGGGGTCGCCATCTTGCGAATGACTGAGGCTAGGGGCTGTTTGGTTCTTGCACAAAAAAACTACGGGTTAAGGATATCGGGATGAGGTCAAATAAGCAAGGGAGTAGTGCTCATATACATTGCTGACTCTGAGCCAATGGTGGAAGTTCCACATTCCCTTGGCTGGGTCCATTATGTCCATAGGTTGACCACTGTTCACGTCCTGCAAAGTGGCACTTAATCTATTTGTTAGTCTTTTCCCCAAAATGTATTCCAATTGTGCGAATGGCATAATGTAATGAGCAAAAAAATCAATAATGCACATTTCACAGTGAAATGTGTCGATGTGCCAGACAATGGCTGCACGAGAGATGTTTTCACGGGACTTCTGCAATTCTTTTTTTTCAAATCGCCTTCTGATCCAGGTTCTCAGCGGTTCCAGTTGAGCGATCTGACGTCTGGACAACTCGGGCATTTTGGAACTTGCATATTTACCCAGAATTAATGATAATCTCTCTCAACCCTCCAACCAGGATTTTAACTCACCAGCCGAAGTCTCACAATGAATATTGGGTGAGAGCAGTGAAGAGGTGGTGAGCAAAACCGTGCCATGAACCCAGAAAGCCGAATTCAATTCCTGGCCACGACTAACATCTGAAATCATCCATGGTGCCCCTTGCTCTTTACCAACCCTCACTGACCAGTATGGTGAAGTATGGTCTCAAACAACCTCCAGTATTTTGAAATATTCTTCTTCCTGTGACAATCTGCGTCCTGGTTTTTGGTACCTCCGGTGTTAGTGTGAGCTACTTAGAGTTCCCCTGGCTGTCACCTTTGTTGTACACGTTGGTTGGCACTTGCACGTTGCTGAGCGACGTGTTGACGGCCAGGTTGTTGAAATGCGCGTTGGGCTCCAGGATGAATTCCCTCGCCAGCTCAATGTAGTTACCCTCCTCGTCCACGTCGTTGATGAACACCGCGTTGTAGTAGTCGTACTGCGAAACCAGGCCCAAGAGCGAAATGCGTTCACCCAGCGGGCACAATTATCAAGTGGCCAGGCGGTGCAACTGGCCCATGAGCTGGTGATGCTCGGGTGCTAGATTCCGAAGAGGTGGCAAGGGGTTGGTGAGCGCTGGCGATTGGCTGAGGGCCCTGGCGCCACCGGATTTAGGCGGAGAGGCAACGTGAGTCATTTGCCGAGGGCGCTGGCAGATTGTGGGGACTCGGGAGGGGCACAAATGTCAAAATTCCTGTAAACTAAAACTATTTTTTATTTTACCAGGTAAGGCCCACTGAGCTATACAGCTCTTTTTCATAAGCGACTTGGCCACAAATGAACGCTCAACGAAGTGGCTTATCACGTGTGAATTTATTGTAGCAAACAAACGTCCTAAGCACGTGTTGATTCGAAATGTGGAGGGAAGCACCGGAGGACCCAGAGAAAAATCAATGTGGCCACGGGGGAAAACGTGCAAACTCCAAATATACAGCAGGCGTCAGGGTCGGGATCGATTCCATGGCTTCCTGCATAGCAGGCGAGGGCGTTAACATCACTGAGTCATCACAGCACGGTGGAGAGTGCGCACGTGAACTGTCCAAGTGGAGCCAAGATGCCTTGGCCATACATCAACGCGCCATGGGCACGTGAAGACGCGAGTTGAGAGGGGGCAGTGATAGAACACTGGAGGCCTGATGTATGCGTAGCACCGGTGCCCAGACCAGCCACGCCACACTGCTGCGCTCAGCATGGGGAAATGAAGACATCGTAAACAGTTGAGAATTGGCATTAGTTAACGGTGCCGGCAAGGATAGATAAGAGGTACCGCTCTGTGGCATCCACATAAATGACGGCCATGCTTTCAATAATTACGCATCATCTTATGGCATTTGCAGACGTGATTTACGTAGGTCCGACGTCGCCATGTGGCTGACAGCAAAACGCAATGGAGAAACGTGAAGTGCCAACCCTTATTGTGCCCGCGCTCGCCCGGGACAAATGTCCTGTGCCGTTTGCTCACAGTGTTTCGGTTTGATTTCTGACTCACCTGCATTTCTGAGTTGAACTCATGCTTGAGGTCTGCCTCCTCTGCTGCCTCCACCAGTCTCTGTATTTCACAAAAAAATAAGCAATATTATTATTCTGCTGCTGCTGCTGCTACACATTGACAACGCCACCAATGCTGAAGGTGCGCGGCCTCATTTACTTTGCAGCGTGCATTTGTCAGTGGCGTAAAGTCCAACTCCTCTACACCGGCTGTGTAGAGGCGCTGTAGCCAAGGGAATAGGACACTGGGTGACTTCCTATAACGTGTGAAGGAAATGGATTTGAATCACCGCGTACTTCAATTAGCTACGAGTCCCACAATGCAGCTAAAGTCTGTGAGATGAGGAGTGGTGGCACGGTGGTTAGCACACTGCGTTTCTGAGTGGTGTCACACCAACCTGAATATGTGCTCGCTATACGGTGAATCTTTGTCCTTGCTTAGGGTGGAGTGACGATATAACAATGACATACATACACACACACGTATGTTGAACTTCTTTTGCATCGTACGCAGTCAACCGTGCTCACCCAGCGAGCTGAGTTCGATTCCTGACCAAAACGAACATCAGTGGCGACCGATATCTGACCTGGCGCTGGGCCCTCCACTCCTTTACCAACCCGCACTGCGCAGCGTGGGCCAAGAGCATTCGAGCCCCTCCAACCCGCCCCCACCTCCTCCAATGGCGCTGCCATTGACGCGACACAAAATGGAATTGTTGACCAGAGGCTTTGACTGTAACGCTGTCACCGTCCACGTTTCTGCTGCCCAACGTCTCGTCTCCTTTGGTTGTTTTGAGTCTGTCAAGTGCTTGCCTCCGAGGTGACGACTACAAGGTATTGAGGGAGCAAGCCTGCCACAGAGGTGGGCATGGTCATTACTAGAATCATAACGAGGGCAGTGTTATAGTCTGTGTGCGCGCGCGTGCGTGTGTGCGTGCGTGTGTTGGAGGTGAGGTGTTTGTAAATTGACACGGTGTGCATGCACGATGCTTTATCGTGGTGTCGGGAGCAGTGGTGCAATGGTTATCACGCTATGCAATGAAACCAGTGAACCAAGTTTGATTCCCGCTGAGTATTATCTGAACCAGACCTGGGCCTCCCCTAGGTCGACTCAGACTCAAATGAGTACCTAGTGTGGTGTGTAAACATTCCCACTGGGGAGACAAATGCGGTCGGGCGCGGTGCTGATCACCCCCTACTCGGTAAACCGTGCCGGCCTTCATAGTTGCTTACTAAGAGCGCTTAGCCCAACAGTCTGTTCAGTCCGCGAAAAGGGGGATCTTTGTCTTTGTTGCAGGTGAGGTGCTTGTAAATTGACACGGCGTGCATACAAGATGCTTTATCGTGGTGTTTGTGTTTCTGTGTGTGAGCGTTACAGAAACACTGCATGTGAGGTGCATATAAATGTGCCAAATAATAACGATATAGAAAAATCTTGACTTAAAGCTTTCGTAACTGCAGGAATTCATATTCTTTGAGTATTTCGGTAAAACCACCTAGATAGATCAAATAAAACTAAATATTGTTATTCTTTGATTATATATATTTTAATTATGTTTTATTATTTCATCTATCTACGTGGCTTTACCGAAAGACCCAAAATATATGATATAGAAAAAGTAATATTCACATGCTCCGCACATTTTCTGGCATTAAAAAAATTGAGTGAGAAAAGCAAATTCATTATTGTAAGAAGCTCTTGCTGGATTGTTTTAATAAGGCAGAATATATATTGATTGCATTCAGTGATAAATGGCAATGCTCGCTTAATTAAAAAAAATATATCTTCAGAAATTACGTTTGCTGCATCGGTCACGGACAGCGTTAAATGTTCCAACTATACGCTATTGATTTAAACAACGGAAAATTAAATGTGCAAATTCATATCCGAGCCAAAAATAAGACTTATTTTATTATTTGTTTAAGCGTGTTCTCTTATGAAGTAATCAACGGTGTGTGCAATTGCATTACTGTGATGTGTTAACACTTCACCAAAATAAAAAAATGCATGCGTTTGTCACGATTTATGAGCAGTTTGTGCAACTCCTAAAACACTTTAAAAGGAGTGTCTGTGTCAGGACAATATCAAATGCATCACACATCCTATCCTTCATAAATAATAATTCGTTTTTTTTTTAAAGAGCGCCCATTACGCCTGAGCGTCTCAGAGTGTTTTACAAGCAATAAGTCAAGGAGCACAAACGATCACGCGAACTCTGGCCATCCTCGCAGCGGCTTTTGGCTGGACATTGAACAAAGACGGTCACCGCATCGCGCGCTTTCAGTTGAGCTTCTGCGGGCCGTCTGGAAAGCCCTTCCTTCTGATATTAGGAAGCCACTGGAGCTATGCACTTTTAAATCTCGATAAAAATTTCATTTGTTTAGAACAGCTGTTTGTGTTCAGTTTGTTGTCCTTCCCCGACACCTCCGTTTAGCACGGTTGACTACGCTCGGTGCGACATTTCATTTTTTTTTTCAGTTTTCATTTATTTGGTATAGCCCTGTGAGCCATTCGGCTCTTGAATCGGGTGCAACCGCAACAAACAAAAAACAAAAACATGAACAAGAAAACATCTTAAAGTGACTTTGTGTTGACTGTGCAAACAGAAAATCCAGGAAAAAAAACAGCAAAATATTCCTGAAAAAGCACCGTACACCAACGCTGTGTGCAAAAATCCCAGTGGGATGCAAGTCAAACAACAACAACAACCACAAGACAACTTAGATTAAGGCCATCAGTCTAACTCCGTACTGCAACAAACAAACATGGCCAAACCAAAAAACGTTTTCGACATCACCAAAATAAAGCCATAAAAGCAGTGTAACAGTGATCATAGGGACTGTGACCGAATTTTCACAATAAACGACAAACAACATGTAACACCAAACCCTAGAGCCATAGCTGGCTGCATACATGCGACCGCATCACATCTCAAGTATTGGAAACGGCACCGCCAATAATAGCTGATCTTGTGTGGCAAAATGTTGCTAAGCACCTGGCCTGCAGGCGTAAATTAGTTTGCCAGTAGGGGGCGATAATTGCTTCGTGTAATTCTAATTGGAGCAACGTGCAGGTCATTTAAAAAAATATATATTTTGGCAATTGGACTACGGTGCCGGCACACAAATGGCCCACTCATTCCAAATGACGTGAGGCAATTGTTAACGTCCACTGTGACGCAGAAGGCACGTATTATTGTTAAGTGCGGCCTGCCGGATTCGAACCGTGAACCGCATAGAGGTACAACGCGACCATAGTTACCGTATTTTTTTGCTGCACTGTCCTCTACTGACAAAATAGTCCCACAGCACACCAGCCTTCGACGGCCGTTTAATGCGTGATGGTCACCCATCAACACATTATCGACTATCAATGTTGATTAGCTTTCGAGATCTGGCGATATCCGGCGCATTCAGAGGGAAGTGGTTTTCGGCATTACATCCCTTTTAAACAGAGAGTGTGTAAATGGATATTTCCTGACTTATCACAAGAAAAAACATGTTTTTGTAATGAACGTAACAGTGTTCGGGAAAGCATGTCTCATAGAAACCAAACTGTCCCCGGTTTTTTATGTCACGACCACATTTAAAGACGAATTTTTTTTTTGGTATGTGGCTGTCACTCTGGCGGCTGTTGAGATGAAATTCTATTGCACAGGTTACACTGGTTCAAGGTATCTCTTTTTAGAGGGAGACTGAGAGCCAGAATTGCAGGCACGTTTCACTGACGGTTCATTGTGATTGTTGCCAAGATTAATTATACTGTCATGGGTTTTCTGCAACAAGGCTAACCTTAGCTGTGACAGACAGAACCGGCGAATTCAACGAGGGCCCATATATACATATTGCAAAGACAATTCTCGAAACATCCATTCATCTTTTACGTCAACTAGGGCGGAGCTGTTTACTGTAATGGTGCATCAATACACTGTGAATGCAAATGTGTCCGTACGAATTTGCATGTCACCAGGTAAAGCTATATGGCTCGTTTTTCAGAGGCGACTCGGCCACAAATGAGAGCTCAACGGAGTTGCTTATCACGTGGAAATTTATAGCAGCCAATTACTCCGCATCATCGTCACCAGCCATGGTCAATCCACTGCTGGATGAAGGCCTCCCCCAAACCGTCGCCATCCCTTATGCTCCTGCCTGCGATGCAACAAGTCACCCAGCACCTGCAAAACAAGCGGATTTTGACGCTCCATCTGCCCAGTCGCCGTCCCTCTCGGGCGCTCACATATCTACGGTAAATTCTCCCCACGGACATTCTTCGTCATAAATGTATGAGATTCCGTTAAAAAAAAGTTCACAAAGTTACACTAGTAAAATTACAGGGATGTTAGATATGGTATCAGCTATTGAATTGATATTGACCTTGTATCATTTGTACCCACTCCCCGAGCCTGTATGCATGGAGTCAGATGATTCAGCAGGGGCCAATTACACAAGCAGGCCCTGTCCAATTCCAATTAAATCTAGGTAGGTCACCCTCCGAACCTCCCACTGCGTTAGAACAGTCTATGCATGAAATAGCGCTCACTTTGAGAGGAACTCGCCTTTTTAAGACATTGACGATGTCAAAGCAAATGTGACAAAGACGATGGAGAGACTACTTTGCGCAAGACTTCAAGCACTGCTCGCAGAAACCGCAAGATCGATGGCAGAGATAAATGAGTTATAAAATTGACCGCCAATAACATCTGGTAACATGGCAGCATTTCTTTAACAGGCCTGATTCGACAACGTCGATTAGACTCAGAAGGTCAAAACCGGTGCAGAGTTTGTGTGCTTAAACAAATGCTTATTGACAATTTAGGACTTGACAGCCAATAGGCCAATTGACTGAAAAATATGTCCATTGATATGTGAAGGCAGAGGAGGAATCTTTATTTATACTGTTTATTTGAGCGGCACTATTGGTTATCCAGAACAGAGCACAATGCAATGCGCGAGACATTGCAGTGATACATTCCGCTGCGACTGACGTGGTTGTCTGGCTCGACCACCTGAAATGTGAAATTGTAGAGTTGTTGCTCTGCGTCTCACATCAGCAGCCGTACGGAGGAAGAAGAAGAACTATCATCAAAAACTCGTAGCTTAACTGTAACGGATATTAATAACGTTGCCCTATCTGATCAGCAATGCTTTGGGCAATGACTCTTATTCATAGCACATGAAGAATCCCGGACGAAGCAGGGCCATTGCCAAACATGTTGACTGCAATGTGCACTGTTTGCTATTATGGCAGTGTTATGGATGGATTTGTCGAGTACTTTGTTTTTTTTTGCGCTTACGCATGACCGCCAACACAGCATCACGGAGAAACATGTTCGTTTCTGGACGTGATGCAGTGGGGGTGCGCAGTTGCCACCACCGAACATTGGGTTGAGGAGGGTGAATGCCAAAGGGTCACGACCTTCACTGCCTCCGTCTTCCTGCTCAGCATGTCCTCCATGAGCCGCGCCAGCTTGCGCACCATCTTCAACCCGTGCATCTCCTCGATGTAGACCCTCTTCTCGTAGTCCTTGTATTTCTGTCCAGAGAGGGAGAGCGCCAACAGGAACAGCAGCAGCAGCAACAACAACACAACAACGGTTTAACAAGTAGCAGGCTTTCGCGACCAATAGTATTCATAAAAAAAGGATTGTGGGTCAGATCGCTTAAGTATAAATGTGTCGTAACCCTCCACCACCCGAAACAGCCTATTCTGGCAAATGGCGCGATGATGCGGGATGTAATTACCAGCGAAACGTTGTACTCAAATTGTAAATGTTATGGATTTACTCTCCAATACAGCGGTGGACTGAATATTACTATGTGGCGTTTTGTATACGTGACAAATCCCTTAATTAATTGGCTGTGTCGGGTGGTGGAGGGTTTCTACACATTAATACTTACGCGATCCAACTCAAACACCTTTAATATGAACAACATCTCGCCATTCGCCACGAAGCGGCGTTGACGTCACCACGGCCACGTGCACGATGTGCCAGGCCACGTGCACTCAGTGCGGAGAGCCAGGCTCCTGGGTCAGCCGCAGGAGCCCACGGCAGCGAGTCAACGTGAAGCAGCAACGTGGGATGGGTGATGCACGCTGCCTGTGCTGACATTAATTACGACTGCAACAAGAACAGCAGCAGCAGCAGCAGAAATCAGCGGCTTACGTTTGTAATGCGCTCATAACGTAACGGACGTCTCAAAGCGCAGGAGCAGATGATGAAGAAGAAGAAGAACGGGATAGGGAGGCAACGGGGAGCGACTAAGCAAAGGGAATGAGAGAAAATTGGGCAATTGTGGGAATCCAAAGGTGAGTTCAAAGAGGAAGCTTTTGAGGAGACAATTGAAGACAGAGAGAGAGGAGGGGGGGGAGGGGACACAGAGACTTGGAGGCAAGGTTGGTGGATCACAACAAGATGGAGCAGTCATGGATGTGAGATACACAACCGCAGGGACACAAGGTGCCACCTGTAAGAAGCAGTATAGAAAGTAGATTTTGATCCATCTGTATTCTTCACAGCTTTCCGTCCAAACACTTTGAACTTTGACAGTTCAAGTTTCAGCTTTGGGGCCATCCATAAATGACGTCACGCGATTTTGGACGGTTTTTGACCCCCCCCTCCCCTCGTCACACGGTGTCAAAAAAGTCAGACCCCCCCTCAAATATGACGTCACAAATCTCTGCCCCCCCCCCCCCCCAAAACCATATTTCCATTTTGAAAATAAAACATGCTTCAAATCGCTTTAAACTATTGTCATTGTAGTGCGTGTTTAATGTGGCGCTGCACTCTGATCTTGTAGGAATGTTGTTATAACAAATAGTGTTGTCCTAACAATTCTATATTTTGATTTAAAGCTTTCGTGACTACAGGGATTCATATTCTTGGTTCTTTCGGTAAAGTCACGTAGAAGGGAAACAATAAAAATATATTTATAATTTAATTGTTTCCCTTCTACGTGACTTTACCGAAAGAACCAAGAATATATAATTCTATATTTATTTAAAGTTGCGCATTTTGATGTGACGTCACATTTCTCACCCCCCCCCCTCGTCACGCATCGTCACAAATGTCTGACCCCCCCCCAGGTGCGTGACGTCATTTATGGACGGCCCTTTTCTCCCGCTGAATGTTGGGATTTATCCAGTCGCCGTAAATGTATTTTCTCGTGTCAAATTACTCAGGGAACTTGTGAATCAGTGTGGGCAGGTACCTCCTGAGCAGGATGGTGTTGGTGGATCACATTAATTAATAACATTTCCCAAACCCAATGGGCTGTGTGATGGCTATTTCAGTGCTAACCCCTTGTAATGTATCTATGGGGTTTCTCTGGGAGCTGCAGCTTAATTTAATTCCACAGATAAAACACTCCGTCACATTGAAATGAATGCTACACAACGGTATGACCGTCCCTTAAAAAACGGGCGTGAAATGCATTGTTCGTGATATATAGTGTTATATCGGAATGTAGCCACGGCTAACATCAGTGGCGAGCGATAAATCAAAACTGGTCCTACCCTCGCCTCACGCCCTTCCCCCCCCCTCCTTCACCAAGCCGAAGTGACCATAATGGTCAAGTATGTAAAAATAACATACCTATGCCCCACATGGCATGAGCAAACCTTCAAATATCGGTGGATTAAAAAAAAACGGCTTAGAATGTCTAACTTCACATTATTTTTGTACCCTTGTAATGCAACTCCAAGGGACATCAGTGCTGGATGAAGCTAGTGCGGGGCCTGTAGCATTTGTTATAAAGGGGTCCTAAATAAAAAAAAAAACACGTAAATATTAAAACACACATTTTTAACTTGCATAGTAAAGTCATTGTATTTTTCATTTGCTATACAGCCAGGTAATACAACAAATCGCTAACCTTAAACACCCAGTCGTTCATAAAAGTTAAAGGCAGTATAGTACTATAGTAATAGAGCAAGTAAAGAATCACTGAACCGGAATTGATAGCTTGAAAGCGTTTAGCGCGGGGCCCTTGAAAGCGCGGGGCCCGTAGCTACTACTACACGTGTAGCTACTTTGGCTACTAGGATAATCCGGCACTGATAGACATAATGAGTTCATAATCAAGGTTCTCAGATGTAAAGTTATGGAAACATGGCAAAGTGCCTCGCATCGCTGCGAACCGCTCTCGTTGGTGTTCGCTCACCTGGCGGCCGCTAGCAAGTCCGGCTGCTCGTGTGCAGGTGCGAAGCGAGGCTGATATCGATCGTTGCGAATATCCAGCCCATGCACCCCCCCGTCTCGCGCGCTGCTGCTAGGAGACCCGGAAAGGTCACAGCTCCCATCGTGGAACAAAGCGAACCCATCAGCAGGATCAAATGTCGGATAACTCGGCGCCTGTCGGAGCTATCCAATTGGTTTCTAATAGCTCATGAAGGTATTATTATTATTATTGGTATGGGACAATCATTATCAGCAACATCGTAATTTGTATCATCACCATCATCATCATCCTCATCAGCCATGGTCTATCCCACGGCTGGATGAAGAAGACCTCTTGTCGCCTGCCCACGCTGTTGATGAATTCTATCGAACTCACTCTCGCACAGGATGCTGAACGCATTGTTCCATCCCTTTAGTGATTGCCCTTATTGGCGCGCTCTCTCCTTTTACGACAATTCTTGTCCATTTTGTGATGTGTCCTGCAAAGCCAATTTTTTTAATTGATGAATATAAATCACTTTTTGTTCACGGTGTAACTGTGATTCTCGCTATCGTCTGGTTATTTCATATCGAGACGTAAACACAGCTGGGCTTTAAATATTTATGGTTCTCATGTTTAGGTTTGTTACCGAGTATATTTTACAGACGCCATGACTAATTCCGGTATGTTTATGCAGACACCAGTAAGCTACATGTACAAGTTAAAAGCGTAATTTAGCGTAATCTTACGTGTGGTTCAGGATTTGTTTTCTTATTAAATGTGGCTGCGATGAGGATAACCGCACGCCACGTGGATCCTGGGGGTTATTTGACCATACTTCACCACGCTCAGTGTAGGTTTGTGCAGTGGGGAAGCATAGGTTTTGATTTATCATACAGTACAACAATGGCTTTTACTGCACGGCGATCTGCCGACAACTCAGCCCGCAAGCAGCAGCAGCAGCCTACAAACACTAATTCTGTATGTGCTGGTCGCACATCCAAGCAGTATCCAGGCTCGACGTAGCGTGGCTTTCTGAAATCTGACACTATCAGGCAACGTAGTTGTAAATGTATGAGTCGGTTCTTTCATGGGATGTGATACCTCAAGACAAACAAAATTAGGCTACCACCGTTCTAAACCAGTGTCTAATTGGGCCAGCTTAGCCTCAACAGGCTTGTGCGGTTAAAGACCACGATACGTGTATTACGTGACAGCAGCAGGCAAGCGGGGGAGGAAGCAGAGGCATCTCCCTTCCCATAATTGGCTCATTCTCTACGTGTCTTAGGTCCCTGTTTGCGGAATGTAAATGAGCTCAAACTACAACAGAATCGCGAGTCCAACAACGGGTTTCCCTGCCGTAGTGGACACCGTGAGAAGGCAAAAAGAAGCGGAGGAAGACAGAGGAAGAGTGCGGAGGAGGCGGCGAGACGAAACCAACGAGTTGGGGAGGTCAATGCCGCACAGGAGACAAACGGGGGAAATGGAACGAATGGAAGAATATTGGGGAAGGAGTTTGTAAGTTACCAGCTGACAAGAACAACGACAACAACAGCAGCAGCAGTAGCGTGGGCTCGTCGCCTAAACAAAAAAGGACAAACTTGCAATGAAATTTCACCGACGTGGGACGTTCACACGCGTTGCCAGGTCGTGCACGCTGCCATTGAGTTCCAAACGGGATATTGCATTGCCAGCCAACTTGGCAAAACGATCTCCTTGGCACTGAAATTTGCAGCGTTGCGCAGCATTGTGAACACTCAGTGCGCATGCCACATTAAAGCATTCAACGGATTTTACCCTTCAAACGCAAAAAAAAAATCGTGAGAGGTAGCCAGATGGTTTCAGGTTTCGCAGCACTGAATGGTACCCACTGATATTCTGGGCTTAAAATTGGGCAGCCAGCTGTAATACTGTATCACCTGGTCATATTGTGTAACGAGTTGACTGCGCGGAAATTATATGTAATATTACATTTATGTTTTCACTTAATTTGCCAAAATTCCAGCACTGAGAATAAGAAAAACACGATTGGCTTGACTGCCAGGCAGCAAACACGGGAAGTGTGCCCACCAGTGTTTGTGTCAGATATTTATATATACTGGAGGAATCCGATGAGCTATAAAGCTCTTTTTCACAGATGTCCAGGAGGGGCGGATTAGAACGTGACTACAACAAACAATACAAAAACACGATAATAGTGCCAAGTACAATCACCCAAACACATACAAGTAAAACTATACCAACCCCATCCTACCAGGCAAAGCCCACTAAAGTATTAACTTATTTTTCAGAAGCGACCTGGTCACAAATGATAGCTGACCAAAGTGGCCTATAATCTGGAGATTTATAGCACCAAAATAATCTAAATAATCTCAA